TTATTAAACAAATGTTTTTTTTATTTATTAGAAGCCTATATGTTATATATCTTGAAATTAGGCCATATTTTTCTTTTGGGGTTTTTTTTCTTCTTCTTTTTGGTTCCTTTAATGGTAAAGTTGCTTGGTCCAAGATTCTTCTAGGCTTTGTCATTGTGGTGGGGTGAGGTGGGGTGGGATAAGGTGAAGATGCACATGAGATCTCTAAGTCTTTTTCTTTAGGGTCTATTGTAATCTAAGTAACTTATAATTCATAAATGGTCCAAAATGAATTAATAAACAAATAAATTCGATTGTCATGATGAAATAATATGAACATTACAATAAACAAGTAAGGAGTTTGTAGTTACGAGCATTTGTTCAAGCACCCAAAGTCTTATGTTCGATTCATCTTCTCCTCAATATCGCTTACATCAACAACAACAATAAAATCAGAGTAAACAAAAGAGAAATGAAGGGCTTTGTTGTAAAACACATTCCTTTCCCTCCAACGGTTGAAAGATTCAAACATACGGTTAGGACATTACGAGCCTAATAGGTTCGGCGCCAATTTTAAATGTTCGTTAGTCAGAGACTATGATTTGATGTGGGCCCAAAAATTAAAGTACAATTGGTAGGACCCAAAAACCCATGCCGGCATTACGTATTATTAGTTAAGGACATGAGGCTGCCGGCCCAAGCCCAACACCACCAGCAAGTGGGATCCACGGTCCTCCATTGCAATATTATAATAAATTGTGATTCAATAAGGTCGTTTTGATATCATTTTTTGTTTTTCAAGATTAAATTTACTTATAACTCGGATATATAATCATCAATGATTGATACATGTGTAACTTTTATTTTATAGGGTTCTAACATGTGTAACTTTTTGGTTATTACTATTGTTGTGGTAATTATAATGACTTGCCCCCAATAAGCAACTAGAATGAAAAGGTTCCAAGGCTTCCAAGTCAAGAACGGTTGGTTGAGGATTGAGACAAGTTAGCACAATATGTATGGTATAAAATAAATTAGGGGTGCCCAATTTTCCACCAAATGGCTAGCTGCCAAGACCAACCCCAATACAAGGTCTCAATGAACCCAACTGTTTTTGGTATTTAAAACACAGGATCTTAGGGCATGGCTTTCACACGCTCATAGAAACTTAGAAAGAACGTCAATGCACTATGTCCAAACAAATCTCCATTTTTTGCAATCTAAATCTTAACCTAACTCACTCGACCCAAATTTATCATAATTAGCAGCATATATTAAGGGTGTTCATTTTTTTCAATTTTTTTTTGTCCACTTACACTTTCTTTTGTTTTTTTAATTTTAATTTTTTTTTACTATAACATACAAGAGAGTGTAAGTGAACAAAAGAGGTGTCGGAAAATCAATTCCCTATAATACCCATGATGAAAGAAGTGAGTGATTGAGTGAGACCAATCATATTCATATGCAAGGGTGACTGGAGAGTGAAATTAGTCATGATGACACTTTCCCCTAAAATCATGACAGGATCAAAATTTTATGTCTTCTTGCTGCCTCATATATTTTGGACCAACTAAATAAAATGGAAGGTAAAAGGCATGTCATAACTCATAACTTATAAATATATCCCAGTACTAGGTGACCTTTTTAATAAACACATTGACATTTCTCACATTGTTTTGTCTGCTGGTTCATCATAAAAATGAAAAGAAACCCAACATTTTATTAATTGTCATTTGTCCCTCTAAACTTTGTTCAAAACCATAATCAACCCTCTATTATCCTAAAACTTAGTTTTAGGTTTAGCCCATATGCCAGCTTTATTCAGTTCTACAACCCACCCAAGGACCCATTGGCAGTCCAAATCTCACCCTAAAAGACTTGTTAAATTATTATGTCTCTGTATATATCCTCCTTTAATCTCACCCTAAATCTAGCATGGATGAGCTACTATGCTAAAAAGATAAGCTAAGATGTTGGTATTGAAGCTTTGATGTTCTTCTTTAAGGGGCCAAGATTATGTTTTCATAAACTAAGCCACTAGGATGGTCCCTAAACATTTAGATTGAGTGGCTAGGGGCTTATGCCTAATAGCCAAAGTCATTGGATTGGACAACTCAACTCCCCTTCAAGTCATATCATATTGTGGGGAGGAAAGGAAGTTGATGAGTTGTTAACCTAAAAGAAAGGTGATTGATTCCAAGCTTAATAATATTGTGTAAAATATTGTATCAAGTTTCAATAAAACATACCTATCATGAATCTAATCAAGTAGCAGATATTCTAGCTAAACATGATCATTCTTTTTCTACGCGTGTTTGGTTTAGAAATCTTATAATGGATGTTCTACATAAGTTACATTGTGATTTATATGATGTGAATATCACTAGAGGATGTTATTTCTTTGTAATATTTGTTTCTTGACTATTAAAAAACAAACAAAAAAAACAAAAAAACAAAAAAATGGGTTCAACTCCAATTCAAACCAAGTTGAAAGCCCAAACAGAAAGTTTGATTGCTAACCCACAAACAAAGGTCAAGACCCAAATCTGGTTGGGTCAGCCCAAGCCAAAGTTGTTATGGTTTCCAATGCTGGTTGGGCCCAAGCTCAAGAATAATGATGGTGTCCAAAACAAAGCCCAATTCACATATATGGTGTATGACGAAATTCTATAGTGAGGGTGCCATGTATGGATTCCTTATATAGATATTTATATTAGCCACATGATCATTTCATTAAACTTAAGTGAAGTTACTATTCATAAGAATTATGTGGCTAATATGAAGGTCTACATCTATAGTCCACATATGACAACCTCACCTTAGTAGAACAACTCGTGGTGTTCATCCAAAAAACTTAACTTTATCCTCAATTGTTCATCCCGAAGCCCAATTAAAATGATGATTGCACATGACAAAAATGAACCCCATTATCTTTTGTAATTAATGACTAATCTGTTCTCTTGTGGTTCTTGTTGGCCATCTTACAGAATCCCTACCCAGATGGGTCAGTTAAATTTGAGTTATTTGACAAAATCTGGACCCAGGATTTAATCTTCAATATTTTGGGTTGCAAATGGGGGAAAAGTAACGATAAAATAGTACTGTAGCTGAGCTGTAGGTTCATGTCATTTTGTGGGGAGAATCATTGGGTGCATTTCCATACTGGGCTGGTTACTAATGGTGGAGCTCCACAGACACATTTGATGGGGTCTCAGCAATTAAAGAAATCCTTTGAATGATTATGAATAATAATGATGGCAAATGAAATAATAAAGAAAGCAAAACTTGATTAATTAAGAGCTCGTTTGGGAGTGCTTCTCGAACAGTTAAAAATGCTTTATGACAACCAAAAGCGCTTCTGACAGCATTTGATAGAAAAGTTTAAAAGTGCTTTTGGACTATAGAAGCGATTTTTAGAGAAGTACCTGCCATGTGCTTCTTCAGAAAGCACTCTCAAGTGCTTTTCCCAAAAGCACTTTGAATTTTTATGAAAATTTCAACGTCTTTATAATAAAAGCGCTTTTGGTAGAAGCGCTTATACGTAGAAGTGCTTCCTAGAGAAGCAATGCCAAACGAGCCCTCTCTTTTAACTTTATTACTAAGGGCTAGTTTGAGACTACTTCTTTAGGAAGTACTTCTGCTCATAAGCGCTTCTATGACCTAGAAACGCTTTTAAACTTTTCTACCAAACACTGTCAGAAGTGCTTTAGTTATCAGAAAGCACGTTTGACCCTTCCAAAGACACTCCCAAACAGACCATAAATCTATTTATAAATGCATATTTCTGGCAGGTTATGATTCTCCATCAGATTTCGACGTTGGAAATGTATCTTACAATATATAAATTAAATTAAATTAAATTAAATTTTATGCTTCCTAAAATGGGATTTTAAACGATTTGGCTTTCCCTTTTTGTATCCCAATATAAAATTGGGTTTTAATCTGACCAAAATAATTTTTTATTTTATTTTTTGTTTTAACTTAATAAAAAAATATTATTAATTTTCGTAGGAATTTTTTTAAAAAAGTAACTCTTTTGGGGGGCGCTTTTTGGGGTTAAACAACAATCAAATCTTGGCAGTCAGGAGCTGCAGTGACACAAAATATACCAAACTTACAAAATTTATGTACGAATAACGGCCCGGAAAGCAGAAGGGTATTTTGGTAAGTCCAGGAAAGGAAACCTCCAACGGGGAGGCCAAGTTGCGCACGCCGTAAGAAGCAGCGTTTTCTCTTCTCGCAGTATAAAAGTTTTGGGTGGAAATAAAATAACATATAAAAGAAAAAAAGAAAAACGCAAGGAAAACAAAATATATACAATTTTTTGGACCATCTTCCATTGTTTCCGGTGCTCTCTTTCTCTCTCAGGTACCCACCGCGCACCTCCTTCCCTCTCTCTCTCTCTATCTCTCTCTCTCTACCTCTCTCTACAATTTTCTGTTCCTCTGTGTATGTATATATAGGTATTTTATCTGTGTATTTGTATGAATTGGAATTTGATTTTAAAAAGATATATAGCCCAGCTCTGGTTTTTATTTCTGTGTTTTTAGCGATGAATTATTTTTGATGTTTTTGTTTTGATTTGATTCTTCAATTGGGAATTTGTTATATCCTTGTGTTTTGTTGTTGGTATAAATTGAGTTTATAAACTTCAAAAAAAAAAAAAAAAAAAAAAAAAAAAAAAAAAAAAAAAAAAAAAAGAAAAGAAGAGAGGGGAGATAATTTTTCTAAATGGAGAATGATGTTCTAGGTTGATTTTTTTGTTTATGGATTTTGGTGTGGTTGAAAACAATTTGTAGGAAAGCAAATCTGGGTTTTTTCGTTTGGATTTTTAATGCCAAAAATAGCAGATCGGTGATAGGAAATATTTGGTTGGTTGTTATGCTCGGTTAATGGGTAAGCACGAAACAGAGGAAAAGAATTGGGGACGATTGAAATTTGATTTGTTTTAATTGGATTTTGGAATCTAAAATTGGATTAATGTGGACTTTTGGCTTTTTTATTTTGGGTGCTAGGAGCAGATGGTAAAGGGAGGGAAGGTTAGTTCCAAGCGAAAATTTACGTCAAGAATTCAGTCGAAGTATAAGGATTCCGATGATTCGGATGAGGATTATGTCATTTCAGATGAAGAAAATGAAGTTTCTGACGATTTGGAGGAGGATTATTGTTCTTCTGTGAATGGAGATGCATCAGAAGAGAGCTTTGGGAGTTTTGTTGAGGAGGAGGAAGATGAAGAGGAAGTGAAAAAGGTGAGAAAGAAAAGCAGACCAAGAGCAAAAAAGTGTTCAGATGGTTTTATTGTGGATGAGGAGGAGGAAGAAGACGAAGAGGAAATGAAACATGTCAGGAAGACAGTCAGATCAAAAGTTCAAAATGGGTTTTCTGGGCGGCAGAAAAATGGGGTTAAACCATCACGAAAGAGGAGAAAGGTTGCTTATCAAGAAGCGGAGGATCAAGATTATGATGATGAAGATGATGATGACGATGAGGAGTTTACACCAGATGAAGATGATTTTTCAGAGGTGGAAGAAAAACCGGTGGTGAAAAAGAAGAAAACTAATGTGAAAGTGGGCAAGCAGCGTTTGAAGAAAAAGGGTCCTCTAAGAGGTGAAAAAAGTAGAAAATCTGTGGCCTCGAAGAAGCCTTTGAGAAAGAAAGGTAGAAAAGGTCAGGCTGCGAGGAGGAAGGTAAGATGTGATGATGATATTGAAAATGATGGTGATTTTATGGAGATTAACCTGCCTGTGAGAGAAAAGAATGAGAAGAAAAGGGTGAGGAAAAGGAGGAGATGTGTTGTACCGTCAGATTCAGATTTTGTGTCTTCTGGATCATCTGATTATGACTACACCATCTCTGAGGAAGAGAGAGAGCAAGTGAGGGAAGCCAAGGAGTTGTGTGAAAGCTTGAAAACTAATTTGCGAAGTTCATCCGTGTCTACTAACATTCAGGAGCATAGGCTTGTACAGCAGCCAAGAAAGCCTCCTAGAAGGAAGGGCAAGGAGAAGATTGAGCAAGTGAAGCTGGAGGCGGGAAAGCAGGTCTGTGGAATTTGTCTCTCAGAGGAAGATAAAAGAAGAGTGAGGGGAACACTAGACTGTTGCACTCATTATTTTTGTTTTGTTTGCATTATGGAATGGGGAAAAGTGGAAAGTCGTTGCCCATTGTGCAAGCAGAGGTTTAAGACGATCAGTAAGCCTGCAAGATCTGCAACAGGAATTGATTTGAGAGAAGTGGTGATACAGGTCCCAGAGCGTGATCAGGTACCTTATTACTTGTTATGTCATGCTTTATATTGCATTCTGTTTGCTGCTTCTTCTTCTTCTTTTTGTTCAAGTGGGTTTATTTCTTTATGCAGGTCTATCAACCAACAGAAGAAGAACTCAGGAGTTATCTTGACCCTTATGAGAATGTGATATGTACGGAATGCCACGAAGGTGGGGAAGATGGCCTCATGTTACTGTGTGATGTATGCGATTCACCTGCTCACACCTATTGTGTTGGTCTTGGGCGGGAAGTACCCGAAGGTAATTGGTACTGTGAGGATTGTAGACCTGTAGCTATGGGATCCTCAAGTTCACAGGCTCAGGGTCGGTTGTCTGATCAGAGAACTACAAACAACATTTTGTCTAATAGACAATCACCCGTTGTAAATTTTGATGAAGGCTTAGAGATAGATCTTAATTTGGTGTCCTCACCTCGTTCACATTTTACTCAAGCATTTGGGAATCCATCATCCCCTAGAGTTCCTGTTGGAGGTTTTCAAGCAGCCTCCCCGGTATCTGGGGCTGGGGCACCAACTTTATCAGGGAGACGCCTAATACAGCGTCATATTCAACAACTCCTTTATGCTAATAGAACGAGTTACATGGCCAGAACGGAGAGGAACTCGTCTGATAATTTGAGTAATGATTTCTTAAATTCTCAAGCTGCTCAGGGGAGGGAAACAACAGTACAACATACAAGGACAGACGAAATGGAGGCATCTTACCATACGTTCTTTGAGGAGAGATTACAAGAAAATCCTTTAGCACAAGTGCAAGATAATGATTTCCTTTCTTCAACATCAAGCCATCAGAGAAGGCAAGCAATCCAGGATCCAACTGCACCATCCGCTGATAGATCTCTCAATGGAGCATTATGGCCTGAACTTACAGGGATGAATTCAATATCAGGTTATGGGCAGTTCCATCACATCAACAGTATACCAAATATTAGATCTGATGGTGGCATGCCCCCTACCCCTAATACAGCTATAGAACAGAGTGATTTTCACAAAGCAAAGGAACAGCTGAAAATGATGGTCAAAGGCCACTTGGATAACTTGTCCCGAGATATTAATTTAGGTATGTGAACTTTCAAGTGAGTTGTATGCAAACATCACCTAGTTCATTTTGGACTGATTCCGACGGAGGCATTTCTTCATTGATATGTGAAATGCCTTCATCTGAATCCAGCCCCTTATTCTTATGATTCTTATATGTGAGGCAGCCTAAAGAGCCTAGGAGTATTTCTGTACTTGACGAATAGATTTTTATCTACTGTTCCAATGGGAATGTTCAAACTCCTTGTATTCTTGTGTTTCAGACAAAGGAACTTTTAAGGAAATTGCGAGGAGATCAACGCACACCATCTTAGCTGTATGTGGGCGTGAGCACAGAAGCAATGAGGTAGTTGCTGTGTCTCCTCCATCAACCTGCTCCCACGTTGAATTAACGGTGGGTGGAAAGACAAGTCTGATAAGAGGTTGCTGTTCATCTTGTTTTGAATCTTTTGTAGGGGAAGTCGTAAAGAGGATCCTGGATACGAAACTACAGCAGTGGTTGAGATTAGGTCTTTAGGTATTTGATTCAACAAGTGTCTTTCTGCTTCCTCCCTTCCATCCCCATTTTGTTGTTAGGAATTTAGACAATTATTTGTTTAGCTTTGTTTATAGATTTGACTCCCACTGAGGTAAAAAAAAGACCCCCATTCTTATTCAATCCCATTACAGTAATTGTTTAGATAGGCTAATTCAAATGATATTTTTCTCTGTGGAATTTGATCCCACTATACTAAAAATGCTATGTATCTGTCTTTTCCCCAATTGCTTTGCAGCCTGATTGTTATTATTCTAGCTGTCTATGCTATTGTAAACTTTTTGCCTTGTCTTGGCTCATGCATTTACTATTTAGGAATAAAATAATGCTTTTGTCGGTTAAGTGGTTAAAAGTAGTTACTCTTGTATATGGGATCCTGAATTCGAATCCCCCTTTCTAATATGGATTCTATCATAAAAATGATGCCTCTGGTGATTAAAAAGTGACAATGGGGAAAAGCCAACACATATATGATTTTCTCCTTGGTTCCAGGGGATTTCCCCTGGAACCACCCCCATCGGTTAATAATCCGGGCCTCTCTCTCCCCCGTTATGTTGTGGAGAGGTTTTCCCTCCCAACTTTTGTTGGGTTTTGTCTACTCTTTGCTGTTGCAAGGGTTTGTTTCTTCCCTCTTTTCTTGAGGGTCTGGTTCCCAGTCTTTTGGGGCTGTTTTTTGGTTGATCTTGCTAGATCTGCTACTTGTGTGGTAGATCTAGTGTCGATCTTTCTGTTTTGGAGGTGGAGTTGCTGATTTTGTTGGATCTACTTTGTTGTGCTTGTGGATCAAGGGGGATTAGGAGATGCTGTGATATTCTTTGGAATATCCTGGTGGAAGTTGAGCGGTATTGCCCTTCATCCTTGGGGTATTTCCAATCCCATGAAGTATGAGAATTTGTTCTATGTCTTGATCTCTCTTAAGCACTGGTTGCTTCAGAAATAGGATCCTCATCATCTATAACTCCTTGTTAGATGGGCTTAAAGTTGTAAATTTGTTTTCTAACTATCTTGTAATACTTGAGCTTAGTTGGTGGTGTTGTTAAATTTTGTATTGCAAGAACCTCCTTCCAAGGCTGTGTTCTTATTGTTGTAATCTAGGTTTGTGCCATGTTTCTTCAATTGAAGTGCTACTGTTTCACAAAAACGAAAAAGAAAAAGTGACAGTGGGTGAATTTAACAAGCTACTTATTCATCACTCACGCCACCAGCCAGCCTTTTGTTTGTCATCCAACTCGACCCTCCACTAAAGGACCAGCATCACCAGGCCCACGCTCAACAGCCGGCCCCACCATGTCAATGCCACTAATGTTTTTTCACAAACAACTCAACTGTTCTATCATCTATGTTTCCAATGTGGTCCTTTTCTTCAACCGTGTGAAGTAACTGGCTCCATATGTTACATATCCCCTCAATTATGCTTCACACCCACCCATGACCCATTCCCAATTAAACAAACTTTATAGCGCCATTTGTTTTCTAGTTGGTAGGTGGTGGTGGAGATGACTGCCTTTCCCCAAATCCCAATCCCAAACATCTTTTAGCCTAGCCATGTTTGGGGCTTAAAACTTCCAATCATTTTAGTTCGGTCAACATTTGAAAAAAGTTCTCCATTTCTTCCTTCAATACGCTGCCTAAGAATTTGGTTTACATGTTAGAAAGATTGGGTTACCTAGAAAAAAGACTACACCCTCACATTTTAGACACACCAAACTTTCAATTTTCTACTTCTTGTCCCATCATCATCACTCTCTTCTTTTTTTTTTTTTCTTTTTTTTTTTTTTTTTTAAGCGATAGCCTAAATTATAAGGAATGAGAATTTCTCACACACACACAACTATGCTTTTCCACTGAGCTAAACCCCGTTGGCAGCCTTAGCTCATTCTTAGATCAAAAAGGAGGAGAAAAAGAGGGGGTTGATGGAGAAGCTTGAATTAAATTGCTTGGACAAAGTGCAAAAAGGAACTTGAGGGGCGAAGCACGAAAGAAAATATTTTCTTCTTTTTTTTCTTTAAACTAAATAACGACCTGAAAATAACAGATGATATGAAAGTTTGTTCAGGCCTATAAACTAAAGTTCACATGCCAGATAATTACACTCGATCCTACAACTTATTCATTCCATACACTCTTTGTGTTCAGTACATTTGCATACTCGCTACAAACCAACCACGGAATGCAGGTGCAGGGGCTCTCTCTTGGTTGTGAAAACTTCACTCCTGCAGCCTAATGGAAACTTCATAAACCGTCATCAAGAATGGTGGACAACAACATCCCCTGAACAAACGCACATCTTTTTGTCTTCTCTTCCTTATCTTTGATCGACAAAGGAGGTGACGGCACATTTCTGTGACAAAAGAACGTGTTAGAACTAGGATATTCAAGCATACCAAGGGGAAAAAGTTTAATAAAAACAACTAAGCCCAGGTTGCATATGCAACAGAATGGAGGAATTGCTGCTCTTGGTAGAAATTTGACACTATATTGTATTTGCAATTGTGTGAGGTTTTATGATTTTTTCAGAGATGTAAGTTATGCATGATATAGTTTTCTTAAAAGAAAAATGCATAGTTTAGCATAAAGCCACAAACATATGAACAGAACCAGAGTTTGTGTGCATTACCCCTTACAAGAACGCATTATTTTTTCTTTTTTTTTCTTTTTCTGTGCATGCCTACATAGTTTATGTGAACCACAACCCTTCTCTAAACATCGTATACATATAAGGAGTATTAGCTAGAAATCATAATTGTTTAGGGCATCCAGCTTGAGCATGAGGTTAGAAAGCCATAATTAGAGCAAGCTGGGGAGATAGGTTTTAGATGTCCATCAAAAGCAGTTGAAGATTTAATCACGTACCGTTCTGACAATCTCTCATCTATGCTTTTCTTGGCTGAGCTCGTTTCAATTGAGAAGTGAGGCTGAACACTGACGAAATCATCCGCCATAGGCAAAATAAATGATGACAACAATGGATCAGGCGCTGCATTGGATGAGGAAAGTATACAGGAAGATCCCCCGAAAAGAGATTGCAAATTGCCTTCCCGCAGCTCTTTCCTCAACAAAGATAGAGTTGAATGAGCTCCACCATTTCGGGTCTTCCTCTTGCGCTGCATGTAATTACTAGTTAAGGAATTCAAGCATTGGGTGAAATCTTCAATCTGATCAATCTTATATACAAAACATAATAAATCTCAGAACTATGATGAAAACCAAGAAGAAAACTGCTTAATATGACTTTAAGTCAGATATGTTCAAAGAAGAGAAAACAAAGTGTAATTTGAACAGTCATCATCAAGGCTACTTAACTGACCCTAATATGAGATTTACATGTTTGAGGTCTCCAACTAGATTTTGTGGAAGGTGCTCACAAACAGGGTGAGATAAACATGGAACGCTAAGAACAGAATTAAGAATTATGTGGATAATGGAGTTTGCTCTCGTGCAAGAAATGATAATTTACTATAACAATTAAGGACTCAAACCATGTCATTTAGCATATTTTTCAGACTCCATAAAAAGGTTATTTTGAAAGGGATGGCATACTCAAAAATTTGCATTGAATGACAAAGTTGACTATGACAGTATAAGATAACACATAAGATCTGCAAAACATAGCAACTCAAAAGAAAAGGATATTTTGAATATGCTTCCATGTTGTAGCGTAATGTGCGCAACCATATCAACTCCCACCCTCATTGCACAAACTGGGCACACCTGCAGATAAACAGTGGCACCATGAGTAAAATTAAGCTCAAACAAGACCCATCCTCATTGAAATAAGATAAGATGTAACATCTAACAAATAATATATCTTAGCAAGGTCACATAACTTGACGAAGCTAGCTACATAATTCCCACCAGATCACTACCTTATATTTCAAAAAGAGAGAACTGAAACCATACAAAAATTTTAAGGCTAAAATGCTAACTGTTTAAGAATCTGGGACCAACAAGATGTACCCCTTGATATTAAGAACCTGACTGGTTTTCAAATCAAGGATTTTGTGAAATAGAGTTAAGCAAAGGTTGTATTGACTTTTTTCTCTACTAAAATGATGCTTGGAGATGATATACTTTTTTATAAAACAAAGCATTTTCTAGACCTCTAAGAAAAGATAAACTTAAGCATCGAGGCTTTACGATTTCAATCTATATGCACCAAACAATTAGAATTTATTCACCTTAAGGTTGAAAGTTAGAGAAATTAGCTATTGATGGATACGGAAAAGAATTCATACCCCATTCTTGGCCTCCACTGGGTGTTCTTCATCGATGTGGCAGCACAATCCTACAATATCAAAATACTCGGAGCAAAACGGGCATGGAAATTCCTCCCTTATATCATCATCTCCATCAAATTCTTCAAACCCCATGAACATATCTGCAGTTACATAATGCCATGTTTTAAGTGCAAATCCATAAACATTGTAAAGCTGATTGACTGGGTTTCAGCATCGAAAAACCCAATTCATATGTCAACAAAAAAAAGCTCATCAAAGAAATAACACCACAATTATGATACTTCATTCCTTAAAAAAAAACATTTGACACAGTAAAACACTGAAGAACAACAGGATTTGAAGCCAAGTAGTTGGATTGAGCTCAGGTTATCATCTCTATTTTATTTTCGTGGGTCATAAAAAACTGATAAATGGAAATATTCAAGCTTTTTATTCTTATCAAAGAAAAAGAATCAAGCTTCTCATTTCTCTCCTTTACCTTCATATAAATTCTACATATTAATGCAAAAAATATGTAGGATGAAAATATACAAACAAACAGCAGCATTAGCCTAGGCGAGCTCCCTTATATCCTAAACTTTAAGCAACACAAAGAAAAATATATAAATTCAGATTAAAAAAACTTTTTTACATAACATTTCATTACCCACCAAACAAGGCATTAAACCAAAAGCAACAAGAAAGAAAAGAAAATAGAAATGGAAACAAATGAATGAGCTAACCAGATCGAGATTGAAGAGCGTTTTGATAACGCCTAGAGGCAGTGGAAAGACGAGCGCTCCAGGAATCACCGTCCATAGCTACCCTTTATGAAATTTAAGGAAAAGGAAGAGACTTTGGGATGCGATCCACCTTGGCTCTGATCTCTCAGATTTAGAACCCTAGAAATGAACAATTGGGAATGAGACAGAAACAGAGACAGAGGCAGATAGAGATTGATATGGAAGAAAGGAAACGGCTTTGGGGTTGAGCTTGAGGAATTGAGGCTGATGATGATTCACGAAGGTGGTGGCGGTGATTCTGGCGAAAGACGAAGATAAAGAGGAAGAGGAAGAGGAAGGAGCTATTTAATCTCTACCAGTTTATTTATCTATCTATATCTATCTATTATGGAATATGTATACGCTGTATATTTCTGTAATTTTAGTTTTTTATTTGTTGGAGGAAAAATTGGAATTTATTGGAGGCAGAAGAATTTTGCGGTGAATATGACAAATGGCCAATAAAATAAGAGAACAGTGACAGAGAGAGAATGGAGAGAGAGAGAGAGATTGATAGAGAAGGGCTCTCTCGGTCCTCTCTCACTGGCTGGCACACACCGTTTTACAGCTGAACCTTCTCCTGCTTGCTTACCGCTCTTCTGTGAGTTTTCAATACCTCCATTTTCACTTCGGTAGTTTTCATGACGTGCCACGTGGCCTCATACCAGAATATAATAAACCGAAAGGGTTAACTACAAGTTTGCCCTCAGAATTAAGAAAAGATAATATCGATAATAATGTTCCATAAAAATAGGGCATATTATCTGATTTTGTTTTTAATTTTTTTTAATATATAAAAAAAATATTAATTTATTATATTATCCTTATTTAATTAATAATTTTAATTCTTAATATTTAAATTAACCAATAATATTTTTTAATATTTTTAATGTTTTACCATTCTCTGCCTTTTACTTTATATATGTAGATGCTTTTACCAAATGTCTTTCTAGAAATGTTCCTGTGTCAAGCAAGTGACCATTTTTGTCAAGTCTTTCACTATTGGTCTTTCCTTTCATGCTCAAAAGCTTAAGATCAACACAAACTTGAATTAATTAGTTAGAGCAGTGTGTTCGTACTCCTCACATCAAAGTTTAAATCATGTAAATTAGAGTAATTTGAACTATCGCTTGTATTTAAAAATAATAATAATAACAGAAGGATCAACTTGGGATGAAAAAGAAGTTTGAGAACCGAACTGTAAAAGTTTAGGAGAGAAATTTGTAATTAAATCCTAACAAAAAGTGGAAAAACAAAAAAACTATTTAACTACTCAGGCCCAGACCAGGCCCAAGGCCCAAAACCCAAGCTCGAACGCGAAGAAGACCCGCGGTCGTAATTGTAACACCGGAAACTGACGAAACCTTAAAAACAAAGTTAAACAACGGCCTGAGCCTACCACCTCCTTTCTAAGTGTCTCCCCAAGACCAAAATATAAAGCCATTTCCAAATTCGCCGGGGCACGTGACTCGCCGTCCCGGATCTCCGATCACGTGACCTCCTCCCAACCCGAGAGAGGACTCGTTAATTTTTCTCTCTTCTTTGTTCACCTCATTTTCATGAGAAGGCGCGAACCCGACTTCTTTGTTTGTCCGTTGTTGGATCCGTAGATTTTGTGCGTCCGAGTCCGAATCTGAATCAAAACTCCCATGGCGACGAGGAACCGGACCTTGCTTTATAGGAAGTACAGGGATGCGTTGAAGACCGTCCGTGCTCCGACGAGCTCGTCCGCTTCGACGTCCACCAGCTCCGGCGGTGGTCCGGTCATTGAATTGGTCAGCACTTCGCTTCTGCATCCGAATCGGTCTTATGCTCCCCTCAGTACTGAGGATCCCGGTAATTCAAGGTCTCAATTTCTCCCTCTCTCTCTCTGTATGTAAATTGAATTGAATTTCTTTTTATTTAATTTGAGATTTAATTAAAGTAAAGTTTGGGAAATCTGATTGGGAAGGGAAGTGTGTTTTACTTGGCTGGTTAGATGTTGAGTTTGGTTTACGAGAAGAAGATAGATAAAAAATAGTAAAGAAATGAAACCTTCAGATTGTGGAGAAAGCAAAAGCCTTGAACTGAACTGTGGTAATGCATGTTAGGTGACACTGAATTCTGACACATAGATAGGAAATTGAACGCCGGATTATTAGATCAGAGCCATTAAGGCAATCGATGTTGGATGGATGATCAGTAGCTACTAGCTACAAATGCACAATTCAAAACTGGCTGGTAAGGATAGACTTATGATTGCTGGAGACGAAGATATGGTATAACCGTATATGGTTCCCTGAATGTGGGATTTTCATATTTGACTTACGTGAGTTCTCGAAATGTTTTGGTCCTCCTTTGATCCTTCTAATCTGTAAGGTCTATGGAAAGCCTTGTAGATTAGTTTTATTAAGTGTGAGATGTTAGGTGTTGCAAGAAATGGGGAATGAATTTTGTTTCATGAAGAACATTATCAAGTCTTCTTCTTACTAGTATGCACAGGAAAAAGCAATAAATAGCTGCAAGTATGGATGTTTCTTTATTTCTGAAGTATGACTGTCATGTGTTTTTATTGCTGCAGTAAGGGTGCACTTACTGTTGGTCTACCACCGGCATGGGTGGATCTATCTGAAGAAATAGCAGTAAATGTGCAGCGTGCAAGGGTAAAAATGGCTGAGCTGAACAAGGCTCATGCAAAGGCTTTAATGCCTTCATTTGGAGACGGTAAAGAAGATCAACGCTTGATTGAGGGTCTTACGCAAGAGATAACTAGTCTGATCAGGAAATCTGAGAAGAGACTACAGAGACTCTCTGCAGCTGGGCCTTCTGAAGATTCAAATGTTAGAAAAAATGTGCAGGTATGACTTAAAAGCCATTAGATATTTTTGGCAGTGTAGTGAGTCATAAGGTTTTCCTAACTTGGGTTTGTTCCAGAGTTTTACACTCAGCTTTATATATAAAACAACTTATCCCAAAGAACAGTGCTAATGTCTGCATGATTCTTTTGCAGCGATCTCTTGCCACTGACCTTCAGAACCTCTCCATGGAACTTCGGAAGAAACAGTCAACTTATTTGAAGCGTCTCAGGCAGCAAGCAGAGGTCTGAAAGAATTTTTACCTTTTAATGATTCAAGACAATGGATAGTTATGCTTCATAGCTTTGTTTTAATATTCTGTGGTTACTCTGGCTTTGATAATCTAATTCATGCATAATATTGCCATTTTCTTTTTGGAACTTGGAATTGTATTTTCATACATTCATTTTGTATACTGAGGAAAAGTGTGTGACATGCCTTGGTATTGAACACTAAGTTAACTTTTTTAGTTATATTATTTCAAACATTCCTTTTTTGTTTTGGGTGATATAGGGTCAGGATGGGGATGATTTAGAGATGAACCTAAATGGAAATAGATCCAGAATGGATGGTGATGATTTGGATGACATGGTAAGCTCTCTCTTCATTATCATTTTTTCAAGATCTTGTCAATCATGACAAGTATGAGGACGCACAATTCCCTAGACCATGTATCTGTAGTGTTGTTCAATAGATCAAATGTTGAATACATTTTTTACCTTAGGTGAAAGTAATATGATAATAATACACATATCCTGTCAGATGTTTAATGAGCGTCAGATGGCCAAGCTAAAGAAAAGCGAAGCGTTCACAGCAGAAAGGGAAAGGGAGATCCAACAGGCAAGTGAAGATATTTACACATGATCTTTGTTTTTACGCTGACCCAATCCTTCATCATACTTCTTTCAGGATTGACTAGTACTCTTTTCCCTTTCCAATAGGTTGTGGAATCTGTGAATGAACTTGCTCAGATTATGAAGGATTTGTCAGTACTAGTGATAGACCAGGTTAGTACTCATGTCATTTCAGTACTTGAATTTTCTCAGAATATCAGTCACTATCTAAACATCTTTCTTCAAACAGGGAACTATTGTTGATAGGATAGACTACAACATTCAGAACGTAGCAAGTACGGTTGAGGATGGCCTCAAGCAATTGCAAAAGGTCCCTTTATCTTCCTCTTCTTACATCGATCATTGTACTTCATCTATAAGTTGTTTTTAGCTTCTGTCTCTGTGCTTGTTCTGATGGCATATTATGTTTAATGGATTGAGCTTACAGGCTGACAAAACGCAGAAACAAGGGGGGAATGGTGATGTGTGCTACAGTACTCGTTATCATGTGCTTTATCATGCTGGTCCTCCTAATCCTCAAGGAGATATTCTTGTGATCTGAGAGCGAGAGGACAGTTGTTTCCAGATTTTGGTTACATTCTAATTGTCATAACCTTCCCTTCGGACTTCTACACGTGCAAAGATGCTCTCCCTAGCAGAAGATTAGAGGAGTTTTGGAGTGCCCTAGTTAGTTACATATACTACATTAAGTGACTATTTGTGAATTCCTCCATATTTTCTGGGTATTAGTAAAGAGGGAGTGGGAAGGGGTAATGGTTCATTAGGGAATGAATGCCGCGGAATTTGTATAGAGCGTAAAATACATGTTGTTCCTTGGGGAAGGGTGTTTTTGCAAAGGGGTCTATATTGATTCTTTCAATTTTCATTTGCCGGGATTTTGTGTTTTCATTCCCCACAACTCATATGTGTAAGATGAGGCTTTTCTCTATTTCATTGTTAGTTTGATCATTCAATAAAATAAATTACATCAATTTTATCCAACCTCCTGGATGTATGGCAGTGACGCATACGGGCATGTTACTATATGGCACACCTGAATAATACCATGTGATTGCAATCAGAAGCCTGCTTGCTAACCAAGTTGCAGGACTTCCAAATTTGAGCCCAACCTACAATCTAATGAATTGTGCTTAATCTACACCTTACAGAAAAGAGTGAGTGAAATCGTTGATTTAACGGCTATAAACTGCGTTCATATTGAATGCAAATTCATATTCTTTGAAAAATCCTACTTAATATTTGTTTGTGGTGATGAGCTTATAACCGAGGTGTGCCAATCCAACATCCTTGCAAAAATGATAACTGAAAATAAACAAAAACAAAAACAAAAGGTGGATTTTGTAGAACACTTGTTTAAGATAATGTGGAGAAATGTGTTTAGTTCGACTCAAACCTCAGTGAATCAAACTTCACATTTCTAGTTTCCGAGGTAAAGGAAACGGGCATCCTTCCATTTATACATAGGAGAAAGAGAAAACATTAATCTAGGAATGGAAACTTTCCTTTCCCATTATGCTGCTTTTCACTCTGTTAGCTCAACATATTAACAACTTTTCTGTCCTCAAGGATGCTCAAAGCCGATAATAAAACTGCAGAAAAAACTCTAAGACCCAAATACCCTTTTCTAAATTTCAGAGCCCCTAAACTATTACCACCTGAACATTGTTGTTCAGAACTTCAAACGACTGTCTTAAGAGTTCAATCTTCTCAAAATCCCAACCAACACATGCATACATCAGATAATCTTTGTGATTGAATAAATATTGGACGTATGTTTATCTAAAAAGCAATGTTTTACAGTTACAATTATCAGATTTTTTTTATTTTCCAACCCCACCCTCACCCTACCTAACAGGTGCCGTTACTGCCTTCAGAGGAATCTACAACTCGGACCTCAAGCTCTGCAAGAGGCATCCCATGCCACTGGATCATTGATTATTGGTTACAATAATACATTTCAGTGCTGCTGAGAAGAAGCATGTCTATCTGGAACTCTTCTTCTTTGGAGTGCCAATTTCTGAGGCTGTGAAAGCATCTTCAACAAGACTAGCAAGCGGGAGTTTCAGCATATAAGTCAACCTTTGAAAAACTGCTGCCAGCACCTTCACGTCTGACATGGCTCTGTGAGCTGAACCATCCAATGGAATCCCAAGGTGCTCACGAAGGGCTTGCAATGATATGCTTCTTGAAGAAGGCTTTGATCCTGTTCACAAAGTAATTTTAAAGCCTTAGATATCTCATCAACCACATTTTTACAGGGTGGAGCATGCACACACAAACAAACTGACCTTCAGACTTCATTGCTTCACGTCCCATAGGAAGGGTATCCTTAAATAGCCAATCCGAAGGAATATCTACACCACAACGCCGGAACGCATTACAAAGAAAGGGTACATCAAAAGTACGAGCATTGTGAGCAACAAACAACACACAGCCTCCCGGTTTTTGACGGCTTTTGACATACTTCAGTAAGATTGGTATTAGGTCCTCCATCCTACATGGTATTCACAGCAGCCAAACCATAAGTAAAACTTTTGAAACTATTCACAAGCGTATATGTGTACATATCACATGCACAAACGTATGCTTCTCAAATTTATTAAGGAAAAATTTCACTAAAAAACTTGATGATGCTTTGTATATGACAAATAGTTCTATCTTAGCTTTTACTACATAGGAGGATGCTACAAACAAGGGCCTACATGGGTGGGTCCATAAGTGAGCCCAAGCCCATGAATGGCTGGGATTGAACCATCCCCCCCATAGCACCTCTCTTTAAAGGAACTGCTACCTCCTGAGTCTAAATTAAAACAATAACTGACGTCTTTAGAGTAAAGAGTAAAGAGATGCAAGGGCTTATTCTTCAACCAAACCAAGGAAGCACTGTGCTTCCGTGCATGCATGGACAAACCAAGAAACTTCTGCGATATTTTCTTCTGATTGTAGTAGCAAATGCAAATTTCACATTATATTTAACTTTAGGAAAACCATTTTAACCCAGCAGAAAAGAACGGGAGTGTTTCCAATTAAAAAGATCACTGGCATGTAACATATTTTCTGTAAAGAATTAGGCTTCATATAAACAAATTGTGAGCTGATTTCTGTACTAGAAGAAAATAATCTAGCAAGTTAAAAAGCAGTCAGGGAAGATTACCTTGGAACATCAGGTCTGTTGACCATATTTGTTGTAATTCCATGAATGTGTGAATTTAGAACTCTGCGTTCAGGGTTTACCAATGTCTGGAAAGCACTGTTTTCACCCCCTTCAAGATCTTGAAGTGCAATCTCTATGATATGATCTCTCTCTCTGCTAAACCCAGTAGTCTCAGTATCAAAAACAATGACTGTCACTAGGCTGGCTAAATCTTTATTCTGAGCAATCAATTGTCGAATGTCAACGTGTTGAATCTGTTGGTATTGACTTGTTTCAATTTTATTTAAATTCAGAGTAGCACTTGTTGAAACCGTTACATCCAAAATTTCTTGCCTAAGTTTTCTGGGATCACTGCACTGGCCACTTTTGTTTCTCCCTTGTGTGTTTGTAGTTACAGATCTTCTAGTCCATTTCCTACTGTTTCCTCCATCAAGCACATAAATTTTGGAATCATATAGCTTAGAGCTAGAATTGTATCCACAAGTCCTACTCAAATTGTGGAAACGTTCACTCCAAAAATGAGCGAAGTTATAAATTCTGCATCTGGGAACTTGCGAAAAAGAAGAGAAGCACATTGAAACTGTTCTCATCTGAACTCAAAAATCATCAACAGCAGATAGATTCACACTATAGAAAGCAAATGGATTTGACCTGAAAATTAAGACGGAAAAGAGTCTACAATGAAAAATAATGACAACAACCAGTACCAATCAATCTACTACTTCAATAACAAGAGCAACAATTAAAATAATACAATTCAAGCAAGGACGACTGGATTAGTAATCCACATTATACTATGGATCTTAAGACTATTGATGAAGAACAAATTTAAACTTAGATTAATTATCAGACCTTGCATATTTTCTCAAATCATAAAAAGAAGTAAAGTAAGGATATAAAAAAGACAAGGATACGCATGCTTTCATTCACGGTGGTTCCAGGAATTTCATATTATCAAACATTTCATGAAGTCCAACCTATGCCCAGTTCTACCTCTAGCTACATTCTCCACACACGGACACAGGTCTAACACCAGAATTCCATTTTATTTGGAACCTGGAAAACCAATTTCACTTTTACGAACTAATTTGAACTATTTGGCAATTATCATGTAAATTTGTGCCTCAACTAAAATATGATCTTATTATTCAAATTTTCATAACTTTTGACGTGTATTATCATCAAATAGACGTTAAAGGAATATCCAAGAGCTGATTAATCCTCCTATATGACAGTAAAGATACTCAAAACCCAATCAAAACATTCACGGGTAACATTTCAAAATCAATCTATGACAGATTGAAAGCGAGCAAAGGGGGAAAGGAAGGTCCTTGAAGCACATACAGAACAATTAGGATTGTAAAATGCAATCTCGTTCACATAAAACCCAATCAAAACATTCATGGGTAACATTTCAAAATCAATTTGTGACAAAATGAAAGCGAGCAGAGGGGGAAAGGAAGGTCCTTTAAGCTCATACATAACAATTAGGATTGGAAGTAATCATATTTACAACAAAACGAAGGAACCCACGTTAGGGAATAATGGAAGCTCCTTGATTCCAATGTAAATTGCATACGAAATTTAGAAAACAATAAGTTTCACTGAAATTTGCAATCTTTCATAACAACTCTAAACCAAAGCAATGAGGTAGAGAGATAGAGAGAGACTTGCCTGGAAATTATTTGAATTGATTAGCAGAAACGTCAAAGATGAAGTATTTATAGGTAGAGATGGTTAGAAAGAAATGGAAAATGAGTCGTGTGGAGTGCTATAAAGAAGTTTTGAGGGACAGAAGAAGCTCATAGTAACGTGGTAGAAATTGCGAATACCAATGGCTCTACTTGCGGATCGCGTGTTCGATCCGATTTTGGCTCCAATGTCTTTTTCTTTGAGAGGGCTGTGAGCCTGCCTTCCTTCCTTCAAACTGCTCACTGCACCAAACTTTTTTCCCACAAATTTTTATTATATATTTTACAAAATTATCTAAAAATACGAACTTGGGTTTTTTTTAAATAAAAAAAGGGTTGCGAGTGACTTTAACTCCAGTAATGATTTTATTTGTATAGATTTTTTAGAGGAACGAAGACAGAGATGGGTGGGGTGAATATTAATTTAAGGATTTTAAACTCAAATTATTAGACTAGAGTTGGTCATTTGAAAGTCAATTCAACACATTTGATTAAAGATGCAAATCTTTCTCCTGTCCAAATATACCATCCTTCAGGGTTCAAGTCAATAGTGGCATTTTAATACACAAGGGAGCATCATGTGGTATTATTCTTGCGTGAGATTGTATAGCAAGCAATATGAACCTAATCCGGTACAAGTAACCTATGCCAATTTGGCGTGAAGTTTGAAGAACCGCAGTTATTTTCTCTCTTTCTTTGCTTATTTTTCTGCTCAGATTAAGGGCAAGTCTGTCGAAAAAGCTGAGTAATTGAATTGACTCGAGCTAGAATGGGGCTCTGCATCTTTGGACAGAGAAAAGGTACCTGCCCGTATATCAACTCTCAGACTTAAATAATGGGCCCCTAGGGGCCTGCCTGGTTTCTTGGCATCTATTTACAGGCAGCCCTCAAACGATAGGCATTTGGAAAACCCTTTTGTTTTGCCCAACATGTCACCATTTTCAGTCTCTTGTTGACGGGGAGGTTAGAATGAGGGGTTATTATGAAGGATTATTGTGTGAGATCCTTAATAGTTGTTCGATTCAGTACAAAGTTATTATTGAAATGTTGTGTTTAACCCCCTCAATGTAACTTGTAATCCCTCATTATAGAAGCTCTTGTCTTATCATGGCTCATTTGAGACTGTTTCTCACCCAAAATGTCACTATTTTCATAAAGTTAATTACAAAAATTACAAACACCTTCCTAATTATACAGGACTGATATAAATCAATATTTATAGGCAACTTTTTGAAGTAATTTAACGCAAATTGCAAAGAAAAACACATGGTCCAAAATCCCTCAAACATTGTATTTTGGTCAGACCAAAACATAAAAGATACAGATTACTCATACTTCCATTAATATGTACAATATAATTAAAATAGTACCAAAATACAGGAATGTCATTGCCTCGAAACCATCACCCTCAACATCTTTGACCTTCACTTCCCAGACTATCACTAAAAAAGCAACAACAACAAAACAAGGAAGACCCCAAAATAGCATTAGCAAGGGTACAATCTTCCTAAGTTATAATTAGTAAAAGTGGCTACAAAGAGCATCATCACAAGTATATTGGTTTATTGGGGTTTTAATTTACTAGTATATACTCCTTCACATTTTGTCCCCTTCATGCAAAAACAGAGTCACATGACATAGCCAGCAAACACACAGCTGCTTGTTCCACCTCTCCCCACTCCCTCCACTGGCTCTGTTTCTCCCCCTCCCCCTCTGCCTGCGAGTCTTGCAAAAACACCTCCTCACCAAAACCCACAAACCTCACCCTAGGAGGCTCATTCAAATTTATGCCACCACCACCACTACCAAAAGTGCTTTTGGCTGTTGTGGCAGAAGCATTATTGTATGTGGCAGAAGCACCAATATTATATGTGGTTGTGATAGTACTGCTACTACCGCCACATGTTTTCTCTCTCCTCCTCTTTGGTGCTTTGCTCATCAAGCTCACAGTAGGAATTCCTCTCTTCCTGTGTCTGATCCCACATGCATTGCACAGTGACTGAAAAACCAAAACAGCAAAAGAAATTGATCGATGAAACAACTTCAGCAAAGGCAGATAGAGAACAAAAATATATGAACAAAGAACAATACCGAAAGGAGAGAAACGCCATTTAGGAAAGAGAGACAAAAATAAAGAATTCCCAAAATCAACTAAAGGTTTGAGAAATAAAGTGCAATCATCAAATGAGCGCAGCGCACAGGAAAACCAGAGCATCAGAAATCATACAGAGAAAGAACCGAGACATGGGGCCCAAAAGATCAAATCCAACACAAAGTAAGCCTCATTTTATAGGAAAAATGAACAGTAATGAAAGAGGGGGACCCAGTAAACAAAATCACAAACAGAATTCAAAAATCAAAGCATTATAATGCAGATTGCTCAGCTTTGCCAATGCTAAATACAACAAAAATCACCTGGGTGTTGCTCATTCAGTTGAAAAGCACAAATGCAGGAAAAGATGATGGAGAAATTCCCAAAAATCAAAACAAAAGGCTGCATGAAAAATTGTCTAGAAAACAAACAAGCATGTTAACAAATGGTGGGTGGTCGGGTCAGACCTTGGGCCCAGCTGGGCCACCTCTCCACAAGGGTGTCTCAGTGGTCATGCAGTCAGAGCAGCGCTTCTTGTTCCCATTCATAGCTTGAGGAAATGGTTCCTGTTTCCAAATTCAAGAAAGGCAACAGATTTTACTGAAAGTTCAAACAAAACCCAACAACTGGAAGGAAAAATAGAATGCTCTCAAATCACTGTACTATCAAAAGCCACTACCTTTCTCCCCAAAACACTATCTAAAGCCACAAATCTTCTCCCCCAATTCATCATTCACCATAAACCAACCACAGTAGCTGAAATTTTCAAAAGAGAAAAGGAAGCGAGAGAGTGATATAGATTGGGTTAATTGGTTTTTCTCAGAGAAGCCAAATGAGATCATATATGTGAAAGCAGCAGAGAGAGAAAGGGACTGATCAAATTTGAAAAAAGACTTAGATCAAAACCCAAAAACAGAGAGAGAAAATGCAATATACTATAACGAAGCAAAACCGACATGCAAAGCAGAGAGAAGAGGTGGGGGAAGAGAGAGAGAGAGAGAGCGACAGAGACAGAGAAGAGTGGTGCTCAGTCAGGTCAGGTAGTGTGGATATGAGCCATGAACCAAAACCCTAGTGCTAGCCGCTAGGAGGCTAAGGGGTTTGTGTGAAATGACGAAAATGTCCATAAATGTTCACTTTTTTGCTGCAGTTGCATGCACCCGTCAAATTCCAGAGGCAGCCACGTGGCAATATGGGTCTTTGTTTTATCAGTCGCGGGGACTAAGGAAAAAGTGATACTCGCTACAGGATTTGATGTGTGTGGATGTGAAGCTTGATGCTTGGGGAATAGTAGGAGGGGCATGCTTTGGTTTGTGGCTTCGAAAACCAAAAAGCTGTGTTTTCTTTTTTATTGCGAAAAGGAAAATGGTGGTTCTTAACATTCTTTTGGTATGTGCAGACTTTTGGGTCCCCAAAACATGAAAGTTTCTGAAAGTTTCTGCTGTTTTTGAACAAAACCAAAAAGAAAAAAACAGCAAATGCACTGTTTGGTTTGGTGCCTTTGTTGTTAGAGAATTGAGAAATAAAACAGAAAGGAAATTTTTAGAGTAGAAGGACGTGGAGAATCTTGAGCATGCAGCCAGCGAGTTTTTCTAGACAGTGGATGATGCCCTAAGCATGATGCAATCTTATCTGGTAATTAGAGATAATCGATGGCTTAATTATGCAGTGATTAACTGTTATGGTAAAAAAACAAAGAAAGATAGTTCAAGTCTCAAGAATGAGAATGTTATGAAACATTTGGGTTGGGGACAATTTCAAAAGCTTCTATTGTTTGATCGGCTAATAACAGGAAGGAGAAAGAAAACAAAAAAGAAAGCTCTTTTTTAAAGACAATTCCTTCCTTTTGTCTCGCATGAATGAAAGGGAAGACATAAAGCCGCCAAAAACCCATCAACGAAAAGGGCCACATTATCATGTCAAGGCAACGCCAAAGTCACCCCCCACCATTCATTGTCGTTAATTTGTAAAGCATGCAATTTCCAACCGAAGTCCCCGAATAGAAGAAAGTTGAAAAAATTTAAAGTTTTAGGTTTCTTAAATTTGCTTCGACCAAAAGAAAAAAGGTTTATTAAATTTGCTTAAATTTTTATGTTTGTTCACTTGCATATATCTTCACGGCTGAAAAACTTGTATAAAACGAGAATAACACTGTTTAGCTATCTCATGCTACTTACAGACTATCACATGAAAAAATTATCATACGTTACATACTATACTTGACCAAAAATAATAAAATAATGTTCCTCATTTCATGTAAGTGTTTCTTTTTGACGAGGTTTCAAACTATTGAAGTCGCAAAAAATTTCCATGAAAAGATGTGAGCCTTTCAAATCCAAGTCCTCTCTCTCTCTCTCTCTCTCTCTCTCTCTCTGTAGAAAGATTATCTTTCAACCTTCTAAGAATAAGACACAGCACAGCTAAGCTAACTAGCTATCCTCTCTTCTCTTGCCAATAGGCTTGTTTGTCACCATTCACACTCTATGCATCTCTCAACAACATAAGAAGAAGAAGAATAATGGCCTAAAGCTGGCAAAGCTCTTTAGCATTTGTTTTGTGGGGCAATTTATTGCATAATCAATTTGTGCAAGCAAGCAATAGATTTCATGAATCTCATCTCATTATAAGATTCCATCTTCTTCCCACTTTCACACCTATAATGTAAGAGGGCCCACAACACAAATACGTGTCATCATCACACATACACAAAGGATAAGGAGAGCCCATATCTTATAATCTCCCACCCAATCCAAAATGTACGAGGAAATAAAGAGTGGGAGACTACAAGACAAATGCGCTTTTATTCCTTCATATTCATACACGACCATTTATAAATCCAAACAGAGAAAAGGACATAGCAAGAAAACGATTGCCCACCACATTTGTGTTTTTTGAAAAAAGAAACCAAAAAGAAGATAATATTTGCTGGCTGGAGCTATAATACGGGCCTGGGGTTCTGCCCTGTATCACTTCCAGGTCTAAAGTCTCTACAGCATTTCCTAATTTTACTGAATACAGAGCGTGAATAAGCAAACACTCTTCCTCTCCAACATACAAAAGATTCAGACAACTTTTAATTATATATAACCAATAAAAAGGTATACCATTTGGCAATATATTTGACCCAACAACAAATCCGGAGCCCAGAAAGCGAAACGACTCAACAACACATAACATACAATCTCGACAGGAATAGAAATCCTTGCACTAGGTTGGAATGAAGGAAAATTATAATGCAAGTTTGGGAGTTCCAAAACACTGGTAAACAACTGTAGGACATGTGACCGACCAATACCCACTTATATGACACAACTAAACAAATGGAAAACAAAATAACAAAAACTCTTAGCATCTTGCTTCATAGGATAGCCCGACTACTCTCCGAAAAACTAACTCCGGTTTTTTCTTTTTTCTTTCAATCTTTGTTGCAGATAGATGTCCATCATATAATCAACCCATGGGAGCCAGAACCAGTTTAAACCACAACTGTTGCAAACACCTGAGCCAGCCACCCAACAAAAAACCCTACAAACAGGACCCGAACATATAAAGACGCCTGACCTGACCTGACCTGACCTGACCTGACCTGACCTGACCGGATTATTGCCTTGCCATACTCAAGGACTTCACTGTGTAATGAGGAAGATTTCTGCAATTGATGGAATAATACATATTCAAAGCGTCAATAACACCATCCACATCCAAACATGAAATTGTACAATTTGTGAAAACAGTGTATAACCTCTAGCTGAAGTTGAATCCGCCGGATGGGACAGTTGGCATGCCACTCCCTCCAAAGTTGAACCCAGTTTGAGAAGCATCGCCTGGTGGCATTGTTTCATCTTCATCCTCCACCCAATATGTCTCAAGAATCTTTACTGCTTTCTCATAAATCTCAGTGTTGTCATGACTCTGTAGATTCTCAATTTTCTCTAACCCTTCTGCATCATCAATCGCCTGAGCATAGAGATTTACACCTCCAGTAGTGCCCAAGTTCTTCTCAGCTTCTCCAACCTTCAATATGTTCTCCAGGCCTTCTAAGCAAACCGTAACAATTCTAGGATCGGGGCAGATAAGAAGATCACACAATGGCTTGATACACCCTTGATCTACTAGGATCCTGTACCCCAAAAAAATAATTTAAATCCAATCAGCCAACGAGAAGTTTTACCATATTATATAGCAAAATTAACAATATCGTCTTCATACTTTATCTGCTCATGAGAACCACCAGATGTAGCATTTGAGATTGCCCAAGCAGCCTCTTTCTTTATATCAAATTCAGCACCTTGAAGAAGACTAACAAGAGGAGCGATTATACCAGCATCAATTACAGCCTGTTAAATTCCAAACGAAATTGGTAACATTAATACCTCATATGCCAGACTTTACAGAAACTCTAAACCAAGTTTTAAGTTTCAAGATTTAAATGCCAACATATAAAGAAAGAGCATATCTTTGCATTACCTTAATCTGATCCTTGTTTCCGGCTGTGATATTTGAAATAGTCCAGCAAGCTTCCTTCTTGATGCTCTTTTTATAATTATTAGTCAAAAGGGTCAGCAGGCAAGGAAGAGCTTGATGTTGGATGATAACCTAGGAAGAAACCAAATCTCATTAATTCCAAAAGCAGCAAAAGAAATAAGCCAATGGAAAAGGAAGGGAAATCCGTTTGTTATTCCAGTAAAACCTAAATTTATTATCCCAAACTAGATTTTTCTATATATCCTTTGTGTGCATGTGTTTACTTTAGTTCTATAATTAAGGGTACAATGTCTGCTAAGCAAAGATGTGGACCATGCTATATTGGATCAACCAAGGAGAAGGGATAATATGTTGGGTCATAAATCATCTAAAACAACACCTAAAAGGGAAAACAAAACATCCAAAATGCCAAAGAGCAAACAATACCTGAGTTTGCATATCATCTCCAGTAACAATATTTCCAACTGTGCGGAGGGCAGGAATGAGTACTGAAGGAGATGGATGACTGAAAAGACACATAGGAAGGTCAGAATTTATAGCACATACTAAGGGTTAAAAATACCAACAGGGAACCATGAACACTCACAGTAAAAGCTCAACAAGCCTGGGGCATACTCCAGATTCAATAACAGCTTGGATTTTGTCATTTGTACCATCAGAAAGATAAGACAGAGCCCAGCAGGCATCGGTCAATACTTCTTCATCATTTGAATGAATCAAACGTGCAAGAGCTGGAAGGGCAGGCTTAACCTGAAAAGGAAAAGAAAAGAAAAACCGCCATTAATGCATTGACACCATCTGAACTGACTTTGCATATATAAAATATGGGCTATGATGCTAAAGTATTACAACTACAGGTACTATTAAAGCCATTTAACACCTAACTTCAGAATCTTTCAAGTCAAACATAGCAGAAAACCCCTAACCTGGTCAAATGGAGGCTGTGGTTTGCCCCTGCAAAAGTTTGAGAGTGTCCAAGTAGCGTTTCTCAGCATAGAGAGCTTTGCGTGCTCATTTAGCTGTGAAAGTAATGGAATCAAAGCCCCATTGCCGAGTACAAGATCACGGCATCTAGGGGAATCACCAGCAACATTTCCCAATGCCCAGACAGCCTGCAAGTTCAAGAGGAAAATGGATGGAGTAAGTGACAGTGAACAACCAAAGTACATAAATAAATAAATAAATTACATGAGCAACAAAAAAAAACCATATAACTTGAAGCAAACCCTTAATCTATCTTCCCAATGTTTACCTGCTCACGGACATCATCACTTGGAGAACTAAGCAGTTTCACAAATATTGGAACAGCTCCATGATCAATCACCACCTTAGTGTTCTCAGATGTCCCAGAAGCAATGTTTGTCAGAGCCCAAGCTGCCTCAAACTGCAAGAAATTGTGAGCAAAGAATGTTTACACAGGCATATATAAGAAGGTATCTATATTGCAGGGAAGTCTCAGACCTGAAGTTGTGGAAAATCCTCCCTCATTAGAAACTCAACAAAGCGAGGAACGACACCCGATTGTATGACTTCCTCAATTGGAGGGCTACGTTCTAGTGCATGGAAAAAGAAATGAATAAGGTAAATGCAATCTAATGTATACAAAACAAATGTACAGCCACAATCTTCTACTCACCAATTGAAAGCAACTTCCTAAATTGAGTAGTTGCCTCAAGCTGCAGACTGCTCTCATCACTCCAAACACCAGCAACCATAGATGGTAGATGCTCTAGCTGTATTAAAAAAATTCAACCATAATTAGTACAATCCCCAACAAGACATCAACACCACCAGAAGTAAAAGCATGGCTAGTACAATTTACAGGCAACAATTTCTCTTCATTTCCAAGTCTTGAAGGTTGCATAAGGTTTTTGACAATTGCAGAACCTAGCAACGCTTGAAACTAAAATAATTAATACAAGTCATATATAGAATATTTCTGCCAATCGATCCAGAAACAAAAAATGAAAGCATGTTATTCTTAGACACTGAGGAGTGTATTAGCAGATTGAAATATAGTAACTGACTTACCCAGAAAATACCAATCATTCATGAGCAGCAACAACAATGACACTATAACCTCAATACAGTTCAGTAACTTCAAAATCTAAACATTCTGAACCCTAAGCAATATCTGAAACTATAATAGAAGACAAGACTAACCAAAACAGCAACAAGTCAGCATGTGGTCTTAAAGTCAACCGAATATAAAACACTCACCAACTAAAGTCCTAAATTGATTGCACTAGAGTAATCGGCATGCATTTAGGAGCCGCACAAAGGATAAAAACTATTAAGCGCTTATCGTGAACTCAATGATCTCATACCCCCAACTTCAGTAGTCTGATTAACTCTCCAAAGAATCAAACCTAAATTATGACATTTACTCAACAACAAAAAATGTTTATGAAGCCACTAAAGCTAGCATCTTTTTCAGCTAAAGGAATGAAGTATAGTTGAAAACGTTTAATAATAACCTGTAATCAACCAATCCAATCTAATTCCAATCAAAACTAAAGCAGCAAAAGCATAAAGTACCCAAAAAAAAACACATACATTTATCTTCATCAGTAAAACCCAATTCAACAAACCTAATAAACACCCTATTAATCAATTCAATCAAAACCCCCAATCACCTAGAATGGGAAATGGAGATATAGGCGCTAAGGCCAGTCAATCGGAACCTCAATCAAACATTAGGTTACCTTCTTCTCTAGGCCGGAGGAGTGAAGATTAGAGGACAATTGCGGAGGTTGAAGGCCCTCGCGACGTTTCTTCTGGAGGCTTTCTTCTCTGCGATTCTTCCTGATCTCCACCATGTTGTCCTCCCTCCGCCGACGACCCTCCTCCGCGTCCACGGCCACCTTATACCTGTTCCGGCGGACCTCCGCCCTCGCGTTCGGCCTCAACGACATCGTATCGGTTCAATGAAAATAAGAATCTGAAACCCTAAGAGAGAGGCAGAGAGATGGAGGGCGATAGGGTTTTAGAGCAGGAGAGAGAGAGAGAGAGAGAGGGTGGATTGTTTAGTGGGACTTCGTAGTGGTTTGTGTTTTGATTTTTGAAGTGAGAGAGGGATGGGAAATGGAGACGATTTTATAGCGCTGGTAGGGAATGGATGGTAGTGGACTTTCAGGCTCGGATCGGCAGGTTATTACGGAAATTGCCACTTGGTTTGAATTTGAAGATGAGGGAAAAAGTGTCATTTTCTTGGTTCGACTGTCCGATGATAGATAGATGATAAATGTTTTTAGTCCTTTGCTTGTGAACCTGAGATGCGGCCCCAAACGATCACAATGGTTTTGGTTTTTTTGGTTGGTCAAGTAATAGTCTGGTTTATTGAGTTCCTCTCTCTCTCTTTTGATCAGATCTTAAAAGAATTCGAATGTCATACCTCGGTCAATTATATGAATCATTCAGACATTGGTTTAAGCCGAACTAACTAATAATATGAATCAATTAGTTGGTGCAATTTAGATCAATGGGTACTTCTTTTTCATGAATTTAGGAACTCTCAAATTTAGACTCCAACCAAAATATGACAATTTAATTATAAACTTTAAATGACAATTTTACATTATAAAATTGAAATTTAAGTAAGTTCAAACATTTGAACTTGTGCAAAAACATCGTCAATAAATTGATTTTAGTTTTTTAAAATATTTGGTTAATGACTACACATCTTATAATGTGATGACAAAATTTATCTCAAATTTGTGTGCAGAGATAGCTTTCAGAATAAATACTAGTAATTTTATAACATTTTGTGTGGGTAAAAATGTAAGCAAATACTACATATCGGTAATAGCGGCAAGTAATCCAAATTATATAGTAAAAAACTAATTGTTCAAGAAGAAATGGTAATTCTAGAAAACGAAAAAAACAATATGAGTCGGACTTAAGTGCATGCATGTATTTAGGTGTGACACCTCCGCAAGTAGAGATATAAAAAATCAGGTGCGGATTCAAAAATTGAGAAATATAGTCTGCCAATTAGGTTTAGGGGACTTCCACCTCCCCATTTCATTTTAAACTTTTATTATGTATCATAAGATTTTAAGTATTTTAGCTTGAAATTTACGTGCATACATTATACCATATACATATTATTATGACATACACTATATGTTATGTTCATATATTATATGAGTAATGCTACTCTTACCACATCTGTATACCACATTCTTATACCACCTTATGTGGTAGATGAAGTGGACAACCAAATCAATTAAAAAATGTCAATAAATCATAAAAGAAAAGAAAATGTTAAATTAATTTTAATTGATATGATTGTTCACCTCATCTGCCATATAAAGTGGTATAGGAATGTGGTATACAAATGTGGTAAGAGTAGCATTATTCATATTATATTAGTGGACCAACATAATATTTTACTGAAAAAAAAAAAAAAAAAAAAAAAAAAAAAATAGAGATGGGGAACCCGACACACAATGTAGAATCCGATTCCCTGGTTGTTGGGAAATGATCTACCTATGGGCAATGAAACAAAGATGATGATAGGAAATTGTTGCTGGGAAAGGAATGCGAAGGGCAGACTGACCCTTCTCCGCTCCAGTTATATTCGGCCCATGGGCTTTTAAAGACAAAAGTTTATTCGGCCTAGCCCAACAATACTTTGTATGTATCATTCATTTGCCAAACTATTGGCCCAATTAAACTTTTTTTTGGCAATTTTGGAACAAAGCCTCCCATTAGACTTCGGGCTCGTTTAAGAGTGATTTTGGATATGTTAATAATCAATTCTACATAGAATCACTTCTCCACTCCATATAATCTCTTTAAGGTCCTGTTTGGTTCACAGAACGAATTTGAGGTGGAAGATTATTTTTCCTACGTCTTGTAATGCTGAGAAAGTAACGGGGAGATATCACTTTATTTTCTTTCCTATGTTTGTTTTTAGTAAGAATGGAAAACAAATTTGTATAAATTTTCAATTATATCCATATTAAATCAAATAAAAAAAAGCATTTAATGATATATTGTAATTCTAAATTGTTAATTGGGACAAAATGATCATGAAAAATGTTTATTTAATATTGACTCATTTTCCCAAACTTTCTTATAAGGAGGAAAAAAAAACCCAAGTTAAGAAGATGACTTAACTTTCCCCCCTTACTTTTCCATGAGCCAGACAACGATTTCTTATATCCGAACTTATCAAACATGGGAAAACAATTAATTTCTCATCTCTAAGTCTCATTTCTCATAAATCAAACAGGACCCAAGTGGTTTTAAGTAATTTTATAAAAGAAACACATAAGAAGGTTTCTCACCTATAATCACTTCAAATTGCTCAAAGTAATTATAAGCAGAATCACTTCAAATTGCTCAAAGTAATTATAAGCAGAAGCAAGAGGAGGTACTTCTCCCAGAAGTGGCATATCTAGAAAAACAAATATGTAAAGCGTTGAGAGTAATTTTCAGGTTGGTGGAAATGAAAGAGGGGAACAAATGTGGGGTCCAAATACAATCTCGAATCCAAACACACCAAAACACAAGTAGCAAAGTTTGGGAATTTGGATCCACACACACTAGATTCCATTTCTCTGATATTTTCAGAGGCCGAAGGCAAGCTGACACCTACCACACACACCACAAACCACACTTGTGTGCCAAACAAATATCTCTACTCATTGCATGGCTTAGGTATTGGGTGGTGGGGCAGACTGACACCAAAAAAAAAAAAGAAACCCTCGTGACGTCGGATCGCACAGATGACGTCATTGGACCTCCTCACACAGAACTCTTTCCAACCCTAGACCGGTTGAGTTTTGTTGGGATGGTTAGGCCTTGGCCCTTTTTGGGAACTTGGGATTGATTATTTTTCCTTATTTGATGAATAACAGGTGGCGTCAAGGGCATGTTGACAAGGAATTGCAAAACATCTCCAAAGCAAAATGCTGGCTGTATCCTCCATTTTTTTAATGTAAACAAAAGGAGGGGAATATATATATATTATATATCAACATCAAAAGCAATCATATTTTAAAATGACAAAAGAAACCTATCAAATGAATAAAAGCTAAATTTTTATTATTAAAAACGTACCAACTAGACTGTCACAACAAACCAAACTGGATTAACCTAAACCAACCTACCACTTTCACATCTTAATTTGGGAATTAATTAAAGTTTAAATCAATTCCCAATTGAAAGAAAGGGAACAAAACCGGAAAAAAAAAGTACAATCGGGTGATAGGAGAGGACATCAACTTCCGTGGTCAGGTACAGCGCGCTACCGCCGAGACGCGCTGCGCTTGGCGGTGTTGGATGCACCGACACGTGGCTTCTTTGAGGACGTCGGACCCATGTCGCTGAAGTCGAATCCCATCGCATCTCCACCACCGACCATGTCGGCGAACATCTTCTGGAGGTCTTCGAAACTGTTTGCCTGAAGTCAATTTGATGGACCCAAAAATATCAATGCAACTGATATTATGATTTTACCCTTACGTATAAGGTAAGTAAGTATCCTACCTCGTCCTTCACATTGTTCATCATGGACAGCATCTCTTGCATGAAATCCGTAAATTCCTGCCGACAAATTTACATAATTCAGGGACATAAAAGGAAAAAATCAATTAGGTTAAAAAGAGAGTGACATCACCAAGGCAATCATTCACCGTACGATGTCGTTTTGGAAGTGTGCATATAATTTTTTAATTTTATAAAAGACACACACGCGTTACGTACGGTGAACAATTTGGCCTTGTGAGAGGATGAAGAAGTGATTACGGACTTGGTCTTCTTCTTCAAGAGGGTCGTAGAGGCCGGCGTCGTAAATTGATCTCTTCGCCCGATCCGAGAGAACTGCGGAGACCAAATCGTTAGCTCAAACACCGGGAAAATTAAGGTCATCATGCTTTTAATTGACTAACGACGTCGTTATAGTGATAATGTTACCCGAGTAGGCTTCCTGGATCTGCTGAAACCGCCGCTTGGCTTCTCCGGCCACCGCTTGGTTCCGAGCCCTGTCTGGGTGACATTTCTTCAAAACACGAAAAAAAACAATAATAAAATCAAAATCGAATTCAGATTTTTCAGATTGTTTAGAAAGAAGAAACGACATCGTTTTTTGTTTGCAGAAAACAGAGGACCCGGAGGAAGGAGAATAATTGAAGAAACGCGATATCGAAGAAAGAAGAGGAGGATGAGGGGGAACGAGAAACGACGGCGTTTGAGCGTAATTAATTTTACCAGAGCGAGCTTGCGATAGGCGGTACGGATATCGGAGAAGGAGGCGTCCCTGCGAATCCCGAGGACGGCATAGTAGCAAGATCCGCCGTTGGAACCTCCCTCCCTATCCATCACTCACACACCCGACAAAACCCTCAATCCACCCAACAACACAAAAAATAGAAAGTAAGAAAAAACAGAGCCTTCAAAGATAAAGCAAAAGCTTTAATTATAGCAGCAAGCTTCTCTCACACCATGGAGAACCAGAGGCAACAAGCAGACACAGAGGAATGTCTGTGAGCCTTTCACAGGGAAAAAGAACAGAGAGGCCCTGTGCTTTTGTCTCGGTTTCTGTTTCGTTTGTTTCTTTTTTTTTTTAGGGTGGCGTTTTTGTTCGGAAACAGAGAAAATATCTTCTCACTGATACGAAGGGGGAACCTTCGAGAGATTTCTTTCCATCCGTGCAATACGACTCGCCCGCCGGGTGGCTAGATATTTTATTGGGAACATTCAGAGAAGGGCCCGTGGTCAGGTAAAATTACGGGTTTTGCCATTGGGCCTTGTTCCAGGTCTGGCCATATGGGCTTCTTAATTGTTGATCCTTGCAATGGGTGTTAGTCGCATTCGTAAAACAAGGGAGTGAGTGATTTTGGAGTGCGAATAACATAATTTTTAGGTTAGTTATTAACGGAGTGAGTGAGCGATTTCATTAATAAATCATTTATGGTGATTGATGGAAGTTTAATTCTTTGTTAAGGCGGATGACACGTGTAATGTTAACCTTTGGGATTTCTAATTGTCATGTGAACATGAAATAGTAAAAATTGAAGAAGAAAATTATTCCAACCGAGCTCTTATTACCACATACATTATATAAAGTAACTGAGATCCCAAAAGGAATTGTTTGCTAAATACCACATACATCACAGGAAGTAACTTTTTGATCCATGTCAAATGGCTCCCTTATTATTTGGGGAAAATTTCACGAAATGTCGACAATTTCTATATTATTAACTGAAAAACAAAACTATTGCGACAAAGTGCTAGAAATATCGACACCCTAAAAAAAACAAAATTGGCAAAATATTGTGGATAATTTTGAAATTTCAGACCATGCCTCACATTGAAAACCATGTAACAATTGATTTTTTGGATTGAGCTTACTGATGAGACTGAAACTGAAACTGGAAAGGTTTTATTCTGTAACTTTCAGAAACCACTTATATATGCGTCATTTGAACACTTTGTACACTATGGCCAAATAACTACAACAAAAGAGAAACCCCATCCCCCCTTTTGCACATTTATACACAAAGGGAGGAAAAACTGCAGGAAAATAAATCTGTGAACGACTAAAGCTTAGCACATCTAGGACTAGGAGAAGCTTACCTCTTACTTTTTAGGTACTTGCTCTAACTAGTGCATACAGAGGCCAAATTAACAAGCTAAAGAAAAACTATGAGACTACATTAGTCTAGTAGTCCAAGTACAGAGGCCTTGCCATCCTTCTAGCAGCCACATCACGTCTGACTGAAACCCACCATTTAATGGCGGCACGAAGCTTGCACCAGCATGCCTTGGGTTTTCTTGTCCCTGAATTATGTACAAGACCAGAAATGTGTGGGAAATGGCCGGCTTCTGTTCCGTTACTTGAAGGACCAAAGCAAAAACTGTTTGCTTGTCCCCATATTACATTTGTACTCGTGGGAGTAGGAGACCAAGTTGATGTTTGGACCTGGAAAAGGTTCTCTGTGCCTAAATGAGCACTTGGAACAATTGGCACTTGAAAACCATTGAGCGGCGGCCAACTGCTTTCTCCATTGTAGTGCATGGAGTTAAAATCCTCCGTCGAAAAGCTGTTTCGCAGCGCTGGAGTGAACACTTGCATTGGATGACTAGCCTGTGCTAGAGAGACCACTAAATGATTGCTAACTTCTGGTTGATAGGGGCATGATGTTGAGGTTGATGCTTGGTTGAAACCTAGTTGCATTGAGGGTTCATCTGTGCAAATTACTTGGTTTCAGTTACTTGGGAAAAGCATAATATTGAGTAGGGAAATTATAATGGCAAAACTAGAAATCAGCAAGCAACCATGTCATGATTTCAAGTATATTTACAAGGCTATTTCATGTGCTTTGAAATATGAAATTGACCTAGTCTATAACCCAAGAGCAACTTAACACAGTTGGAATGTATTCCTTAAGTTAACACCAACCTCTTATCATGTGAAGGCCATGCTGTTCAAAACTTTACTACCAATATGTACATAAGCATTCAAACACTTCAGGCAAACAGGCTTTAATACCATTTTACACAATATAACATTTACCTTGCTGTGTGAATTGCAAATCAATCTGTTGCAGATCTGGATTTGGGACATTGAATGACTCAGCTTGTAGACTTGCCAGAGGCCTTGAAAGGGCAAATATCGCCGAAGTATCCACGGGGACTATATCTCTTACATTTCTGTAAGCATGCTGCTTCAAATTTTCCACCAGATTCTGCGAATAGAACCAGGGAGCTCATCAGTTTCTCATCCTAAGGTATATATTAAAAAACAAGAGAGACAGGGAGAGTAACAGTGGTAATGATATGGTAGAGAAACGTTAGGCACAAAGTCATAGCAACCAACAAATGACAGCAGATCAAGAAAAAGTGTGAGATATTAAAAATAGGAGGAGCTCCAAACTGTGTATGCATACCGTCTGAAGTGGGGTGAGTTCATCCAGAGAACAGTATTGGCCATTAACCATTGCTCCCACAACCTTGTAGATGGAGTTGAACAGGAGACTTACATCTTGCTCAGTTCTATGATAGGCATAGAACTTGTGATCATCTATCTCACAAGCCTTAGCATGTTCAATGATTATCTCCCATGTCCTGTTCGAGATCCCTTCAAAAATCTGCATTTTCACAGCGGAAAATTAGATGGATGATCAAACTACATAAGTCACTATAGACACATTATCCAGCAGAACAGCTGACTCTCTTACATTCCGTAGCCAGGATGGATCTTTCACATATGACTGCAGGAAGTCCTTCACAGTGTCAATTCCGAAACGAGATAATCTCTTGTGGAAGGCGCCTTCTTTTGCTATCTTTTCCAGGCGCCATATCTCATCATTTAAGGATGGAGGGTGGTGTTTCCTATACACTGAATCAACATTTTCTTTGTCATTTTCATTTAGACTGAAATTGTTACTATAAAGCACACCACAAGCAAATAATGAAAGAGATGGTTAGTGAGTTAAGTTTCTTGAACTTACACTCTCCACGGTGGTCTTTTACCACGAAAGGTTCACTTCTAGCTTCTCTAATTCGCACTTCACTAGGAGCTTTGGCTACAACCCTAGCTGCTAATCTGAACTTCCGGCATCTTATCCAGCTTGAGTTGTCGGTGAAGACAACATCACCAAGAGAACCAACTCCCTCTCTCAGTGTAATGTTGATCTCACCAGTCACCAGTGGCCTTTTGCCTTCTCTTTCGCGCACAAGATAGTTATTGAATTCTTTCTCGGTCCAATCCTCTTGATCATCCGACCCAAATTCACCATTGAGGACCAGAAGTTCAATCTTTATTGAAGATAGGGGACTGGAACGGACTATACTATTAGTACTGGCATCAATCAGTATAATTTGAAGAGGTGAGCCATCCTCTGCTTCCACCCTACTGCCTGTAAATATGGTAGACGGCAGTTTATTGATAAAACGCAACTGCAAGCCTCTTCCTCCAGATGTACTTCCACTTTCAAGTGGGGGCCTGTTACAAAATTAACAACAAATCCAAAACTCTTGTCAGGTAGCTTTGAGGATTAAGAGAAGATTATAATTGTCAGATAAATAAAACAATTTAGTGCAGGTTTTCTAAGTCAACAAATATTTGACTTGAAAAGCTAACCTTGGAGATGCCTTGAGGAAGGGAATGATCACACGTTCGACCTCCTCTCGTACCTATATGACACAAATTTGAAGTGGTTCGTTATGAATTGTCACAACCCGAAAAGGATTTCAAACACATTCGCATAACATATCTTCTAACCGAAGTCTACAAAGCAAAACAGTTGTAAAATATACGTTCTTTTTGGGAAGGCTAATGGCATATCAAACCTAACAGTCAATAAGAGTTTCCTTGTAGTAGTTAATTAAGCAGGGTCTTCTTTTTCGGTCAAGAACAGGGTCTTCCTAATCAAAGTCAATAAAACTGAGAAAGCATAGCAATGAACAAACCATGAAAATGGGATTTTGTTCCTTTTACAGAGCAAGTGCAAGACATGAATAAAGCATGGCAATGATAATTACAGTTAAACAGTTCAACTTTTGCAGATCAACTTCATATTGACAAATAAGGGAGATTCGAATCTAACCACTCTCCGAAAGAAGTGTTCCCATTCGACTTGGTTCACTGTGACATCTCTCATCACATCTCTAACAACACTGCACAAATATCACAAAACTCATAGTCAGAAACCAAAGTCATCACCCAGAAAGCACAAAACAAAGCACCAACTTCTACTCAAACTAAACCACCCACTTCTTGAAAGTAGGCCTGCGTTTCGATTCTGGAACTGGAAATTCGAAGTCCTCACCACCCTCCTCATGAAAATGCCTCTTAGGTACCATCAAAAACCCAACAACTAAATTCTCTCCAACCACCCAACAACAGCAACAAGTTGTTCTCTCAAAAGCTCACAAGGATTTCAAACAAGCGAAGCGCATGTAACCAAATCAATCAAACAAAGTGGCTTTAAATACAAGCTGAGATTGACCCTTTAAATGGACAGAACAGAAAGAAGGTACAAGGAAGGTTCATAATGGTAACAAGAAACACGCTAACCATGAAAGTCAAGCAGAAATGAGCTCATACTATAAACCAAAAAGAACCCAAAATCTGTATTATGATATTAATATTTTTGGATATTACAAAGTGGCCTGAGCTATATAGGATTGATCGATGACTGTCTGTACTTTTGTCTCATTTTTAAAGAAAAAACGAACAAATTCAAGATTCTCAAGCATTGGAATTTAAGACGATGGCTAATCAGACGCGTCGTGATTGAAAAGTACTCAAAACAGTTTAATGCCATGAGATACATGACAAAGAAAGTCAGTGACAAAAAAAAGAAGAAAATCCACGTGGACAGACATTAGACAACGCGTGTTAGAGAGTAGTATAGACGATGATATGAAGGTTGCAAGAAGGTGCAGACAATATGTTGATTTTCCATATACACGCGTTTGTTTTGTTTATGTTTGTGACAGCATCATAGATTGTGGTTTTGAACAGAACCCATTTCCCTGAAATTTGATCTGAAATTTCATTTGAATTTCCATGCAAAGTCCTAGCTAGAGCTGCAGCTCGTATATGTATAACGCGATTTAAAATTATATCTGCTAGCCTGCAGCTTCCACTAACTTGACTATGTCACTATCTTTGTCTGCCCACCTATAAAAGGGTTGATTTTTGATCTGAATATAAAGCAGAAAAGAGAAGCTGATGAAAGATTAAAAAAACATAACTATGGGTCTTCGAGTGAGGGACTGTTAGGTCACTTGACTGACTTCAACTTGGTTGGTGAGATTGCATATGTTTGCATGTTCTGCGAAATTTTCCGGTGTATACAGTTTTCTAGGAATCTATTTTCCGGGAAAATTCTGGGAACCTCTCTGGAGCTAGAGCATACACTCTTTTCTAAGTCTTCCTCGGACCCGGGAAGCATTTCTATTCTAACTGTTCTGAGTTCTGATGCAAGCAAGCATCAATATTGACTAAGCACATTTTAAAGTACTTCTTCAAGCACTTAAGCACAAAAATTATACTGTTTTAATATTCTAATAATGTTTTCCGCATTCTTTTGAGATCCTTTCTTGCTTAAGACTTCATATTTTTTTTATATATGCAAACAAATATCATGTGTTAGCCCAAAAAGAAAGAATTAAAAGATGTTAGCTAAAAAGACCCTTTAATTAGTCATCTCATTTAATTATCAGAATAGTCAAATGATGTTAATCGAATGATGAAGAAAATAAGAAAACCATATTTCACGAAATTCGTACAGACAGCACACACATCATTTTTAGAGCTTAAAAAATAAGAATTTACATCAGTAAAAAGAAAGAAAGAAAGGGGCTTTTCTGAATTCTCATCTTGTAAACGCAGAGCAGAGTCATACCTGGAAATCGATCCAGCAAATTTGGCCTCCAAATCAAAATCACCAAAATCCCAGATACCAATTTCCAAGAGAAATGGCCTCTGCTACCACAGACCCACCAACCCCTTCAACACTCTTTGCAGCCATTGACATGGGTACAAATTCGTTCAAGATGCTCATAGTTCGTGCATACCCAAATGGCAAATTCTTCACCATAGACCAATTCAAAGAGCCTGTGGTTCTTGGCCGTGATACCAGCACATCATCAACAACAACCCCGTTTACACTTTCACATCACTCCCAGCTCCTTGCCCTTGAAGCCCTTAAAAGATTTCAGAACATCTTGAAATCCTACAAAATCAACAAAACCCATGTCCGCTGTGTTGCCACTGCAGCTGTACGTGAAGCTGTAAACAATGTTGGGTTTTTGAAATGTGTGAGGGAAGAGGTTGGTTTAGAGATAGATGTGTTGCCTGGTGAACAGGAAGCTAGGCTTGAGTATCTGGGTATGCTTCAGTTTTTTCCAATATATGAGAAATTGGTGCTGGGTGTGGATATTGGAGGTGGGTCTACTGAGTTTGTAATTGGGAAGCAAGGAAAAGTCATTTTTGGTGCTTCATTGAAGCTGGGACATGTGAATTTGACCCAAAAGTTTGGGAACAATGAAGAAAATGTTGCACATATGAGGGAGCACATTAGATTGGTTGTTCAAGAATCTGGGTTAGTTGACAAGATTAAAGATTGTGGCTTTGAGGTTGTTGTCGGATCTTCGGGTACTATAAAGGCAGTAGAAAAAGCAGCCCTTTATGGGTATGCCAATGTGAGCAATATGCTCCAGGTCGGGAATATGGTTTCTTTTGGGGACAGTAAGAGGTATTGGAAGTTAAGTAGAGGAGAACTGAAGGGTGTTGTTGAGAGTTTTTGTGGTGGAGGAGAGGCAGAGAAGATTAGGAGGGAGAAGTTCTTTAAAATGCGGTCCGAGTTTATCGTTGCCGGGGCTGTGCTATTGGAGGAGATATTTGAGGTAATTGGCATTGAGGAAATGGAGATTTCTGGGTATTCATTGGCAGAAGGTGTTATTGCAGAAACTTTAGCTAAGGTTAATGATTATGATTTGAATGCCAATGCAAAGTGGTCGTCTATTGTGCGGCTCGCAATGAGATTTAATAGCAACAAGAGGATGAGAGCGGCTGCTCAGTGTGCTAGCATTGCAAAGGTATTTGGTGAATTTCTTATTTTGATTTTTTTTCTTCTAAGTATCTGTGATATAAGCAGAAGCGAGTGCAACATCTAGTGTTTTGAGGAGATGATTTTTGCAGGAATTTTTTGAATGTTTAAGAAAATGTGATGATGAGCTTGCTGGCAATCAAGTTGCTGCCTCCCTAGATGACAAGGATCTTGAGTATCTTGAAGCATCATGTTTGCTTCACAATATTGGGCTTTCCATCGAGAAAAAGGGTTACCATAAGCATTCTTATTCTATTATCATGGTAATGTTTTTTTTTCCCTCTTAATAATTCAATAAACGTGCATTGAGAATCAGCTGGAAATATTCTGCATGTGTAAAATAAAACTTGAAGTTCTATTTACTTATTAATCTTTGATGAGCTAAATCTTTTTTGTGTAGAATGGTGGCCATCTTCAAGGTTACAGTACTGAGGAGGTCAAGGTATGTCAAGTGTGTATTTGTGTGCTCTTTCCTGGTGCATACTTTGTGTAGTCACTTTAGTGATAATCAATTAGTGAATCTACAGCTGATAGCACTACTTGCAAGACACCACAGGAAGAAATTACCAAACTTTGGTCATGTTTCCTTTAAGGAGTTTCCAACAGAGGTAGTATCTTTTTAAACACATCCAATATTTTGAGAACTTTACTTATTTGTGCTTTTATGTTTATTTCTGCGTACTTTCTTTTTGAACTTTCAGGTCAAAAAGAAATTCAGATTTCTATGTGCAATTATCCGTATTTCAGTTGCACTACAACAACATCGACGCATTGATTTCCAACAAATGGAATTTTCACATTCTTACGAAGGTTTTAAACTGGTATTCTCCAATCTAGTTTTCAATCAAACTTTCCCTCCTAAAGTAGGGTTCTTTTTCTTAGCATTTGTAGATTGTTTTTTATAAAACTACATAGAGTCAAACATGTCCTGTACTATTAACAGTAGAGTAGTATTTTTGTTGCTTTTTAAAAAGAAAATTAGTGATATTTGCATATGCATACAACTTCTTGTGCCCAAGGGGGAAAAGAAAGGCTTGGTTGTTGTTATTGTATCTTCCAAATTGATGATACAAAGCAGAACTTTCATCTTAAGTTCTACAGTTAAGCAGACCATTGGACTGGTGGTAGGGACATCAAGATATCCAATGCATTTTAACTATCACATAAGCTTGTTTGGTCTATATGCTCTGCATTTGCTTTGTAATTTTCCCCCACAGAATGTGTAGAGGCTATAAAATATGATACCAAGATTGCATCTATCATAGCTTATTTACTAACTTAAATCTTGAGTACTGCTTAAGGCAACTAACTCATGCAATTTCTTTTGTTTTTAGGCATGCGGTGGTGTAAAAGTTCAAAATTCCCCACCTTGCATTCTAGAGCCTTTAGCTGAGGATATTGGAGATGACCTAAGGCAAGAATTAGAACACTTTAAGATGGTAATTTCTTTTTTAAAAATTCCCTATTATTATTATTAAATTTTCTTATCTAACTGTATTTTCTTCAATACAATAAAAGATGGACTTATATTTGTTGCCTTCAGGTATTCCATGAAGAACTACTCCTCCTTGTTCCTTCAAGTGTTTCAGGATGATCTGAGAGATAAGGATATCTTCACACAAGGTGTCACTTGATATGTCTTGAAAAAGTTCATATAACCCATAAATTCAGCATATACAAGGTTCTATGCTGTCTAGATCATAACACCTGTTATTCCTTTTGCAATGCCGCTTTCATATTTGATAAGTGATATGAGCAGTTCATGCCGTACAATTTTAGTAATCTGATAGTAGATCACACTTTATGATTGAGAGAATGTACAGGCATTGGCATGGAAGGACAGTCATGTTGCCCAAGTTGCAGGATAGCTCGTGTGAACCATTGACGTGGAGCTCATGGGTTGAATTGTGGTGTTGATACAGACTCATTTGTCCCAGACGATGTGGTTCAACTGAAACAGAGCACAAGCTGGAGAATTGGAGGTATTGTCCATTAAATTGTAATAGTTTTAATCTCAGAATTTCAATGTGTAACAGAAAAAGTTGTATGTCCTTTTAGTCTATAACAGATAAAATTACGTACAGGCCAAAGGGAAAGATAAATGAAAGTCTTGGATCTTTTTTTATTTTTCTGCTGGGTTGCAAGGATGTGAAATACAATGGTTCAGTTGCTATATGCTTATTGGGTACTCATTTGAGTTGAGACTTATCACCCAAGTTCCTTCCCCCCTCCTTTCTCTTTCTTCCCTCTCTTGCTGATCCCACATATTCACAAAGGCAATAGAAAAATGTGTGATCTAGTAAAGTCAAAACGCTGAAGGCGTATTATTACCATGGAAAATAGTATCATCTGTTAGGCGATAATATGAGTATCTTTGGCTCTGTTAATTTCTCCAAGGAGAGTCAAACTAGTATTTGTCACAACCTATGAGATGGAATGGATGTATAGAGCAGGCTTGGTCCTCCAGATTTGAACATGATATTTGGAATTGAAACCCATGATATCTGGTTGGCCTAAAAGCTATGAACAGGTGCTTTTGACACTTTAATTTAGGCGAAGGTTGTTTTCATCACCAAATTACTCACCGTGGTACTTTTGGCGGTCCTATTCATTCTCACGATAGGAGAAGGATTTATCATAGACGTCAAGTACCAGTAGCAAGTATGGTCACTGATGGCACATCATTTACATTTACATGCCCTTTTGTCTTGTCCCAAATTGAATACCAACCATAGTGTGTGAAATAGGGAGACCCATATCACCAAACTTGCGACTTAACCCTAATCATAATGCATATTGCATATTGCATAATGCATTTGGATGGAGGACAGTTGAATTGAGTGTAGACTAGTTGTGTGCAATCGATGATAAGGAAGTTTTTCTCCCTGAACTAGAACTAGGCTCATTCCCTTCAAGTTCGAATGAGTTCAAACTCACTCAGTCAGTAAGTAATTTTATGCTTTCTCTAATCTCCCTTATAATATTACCCAATCAAGTTGGCATCCTTGTCCTCAAGTTATGGTGGTGCTGTTGTTTTCTTTATCTATAATCATGATAGGGTTTACAAATGCACATTGAGCAGCAAGTAGGGGTCATATCACTGAATGACTTGGCATAATCTGGTGCTACTTGTCTTGTCCTCCTGGATAAAATAAAACAAAATAAAAATCATCTTTGTATTGAAAAACATATGTGGACAGCGACTAAGGCAGTGCATGACAACATGAACAAAAGTGCATAGCATAAACAGTATAATGAAGTAGACAGCTTAACAAAATATTTGTCTTAAAATGAATGATGAATTTTCACCACCAATTGGGTATCTCATCAGCTCCCTGAATTGTTTTGTTTATAAAAGTTTCAGAAAGTTCATCATTTTTCTTTCTGACCACACATGGCTAGATGACAGTGACACCATTTCATGATTCATATCGCATCTAATTTTGCAAAAAGCCATCGATTGCAGACCCTTTTTTGTACTCATGTACGACGTGGAATACACCAACTTGATCAATTATATCAATATAGCATAAGATAATAATAGATTCTAAGGTTTAAAGTATTAGATTAATGTTACTTTATAGTTAGTATTAACAAATTTATATCATACAATGACTTGATTTTGACATCACAACGAGTGACTTTCATAAACAATCACAAAATAATGTTACTTACGGCTCGTTTGAGAATGTTTATGTTTATAAGTACATTTTTAGAAGTGTTTCTATTAGAAGAATGTGAAAAAAAATTATTGAAAATCTAAGTGCTTCTTTATAAAGCGTTTCTATGATCATAAGTACTTACAGACGACGTCATAGGTGTTTTTGATTGTGAGTAAGTGATTTTAACCATATCAAAAGCACTCCCAAATAGACTTAAATAATCTTAAAAGACTATGGTGTGAGTCATGTGATTGTGACCACTTTAATTAGAACGTTACATTGTATGCAACAGACCAAATTTTATCTTCTTTTATTGTTGTCCCAGGCAGGCATCGTACGTGTACTTGATGTGTCAATGGGTAAAGGACGGTCCATCAACTGTATACGACACGCGTCAGTATGTAACATCAAATGTATTGGGGGGCCTCTCGGGCCAAAGCCCAGAAGTTGAAAAGGCGTGATGATCTTTTTGAATAAAACTATGAAATTGCAGTTTTTTCTTGCAGGCCGCAAATGCATAACGGTGAAACTCAACTTTCAAAGCCTGTCATCAAAAGCTCTGAAGTCACATCCAAAACACATTCAATTTTTTACCCAAAAGAACAATATTATATCAAATTCGCATAACACCTTGATAACGTGTGTGAGAAAAACTCCACCCATCTTTTTAGTTTTGACTAACAACGAAAAAACAAATAAATATTTTATTTTATGTATATTTTCCAGTTTACCGACTGTAGTTGAAGTTTAATTGGAGTCAATCTTATCCAGTTGTTGGTTCGTCCGATTATCTTATACTCATCATGAGCACGATGCATGGTCCATGCCCAGCGCGAAGTCCCATTTATACATAAGTAATGATGTCCTGCGACGCACCTGTATGCTCACTCATATAGTGCAGAGTTTCGTCAAATAGGCTATATATACTCTTTGGTTTTTTTTTTTAAACAATCTCTTTTAATCTTTTAACTCTATGCAAACTTTACAATCTTTCAAATTTAACAAGAAGTTACACCAACCTTTTGCCCCCAATTGCTCTCTTAAACTCAATATGACCTTTTTTCTCTCACCTTTTTTGTAATAACAAATGTGTGGAGAAAAACTTATATAAACCAATTTTTATACACATGTTACAATTAAACGTTTCTCATATTATACGTTTCTATATGATTGCATGTATTTTATATATACAACGGACACACCACGTGCTTTCATATATATATATATATGTATAATTATTATGCGTTCGACAGACGTACCGTGTGCATTTCATATTACATATTGCATTTCAAATTTCACTTTACTACTTGAGAGTTTCCCAAAAGACTTTACTACCCCGAAATTTGACACTAAATTACTTAGAAAATTGAAGAGATATGAAATGCCCTTGGCCACTTATCAAAGAGTGAAAATAAATATTGTAACAAAAAAATAAAGAGTATGAAAAACCAGTGGATAGGATTTGCACAATAGCCAATCTTAGCATGGGCACTCTCGCACCAAATTACTCAGAACAGGTGGCCTTGGTCCTCATCATCACGTTCCCTTTCCTTTCCAGGACAACTGCGCTCAACGAATCACCTGGCGCATTATAGCATCCACCACCACCAGCCTTTTAGAGAGAGATCCGTTTGCGACTTCGCATGAAATAAAAGCTTTTTTTTTTGTTTTTCCATTTTCGGAAAGAAAAAAAATCCGGTGGGCCACCCCGTATTGCAGTGCCTTCTGATTCTCTTGACTTAAAAATTTAAAAAAAAAAAAAAAAAAAAAAAAAAAAAAATGTAGGTAGTTCTCTATTCTCTATATATATAGCGTTGGGGCGAAAAGTTAAGGAAGCTCGACGGCAGAGTTTACAGAGCGATAAAAACGGTAAGTTTCGGCAGGCACTGTTTGGTTGCTAAGAAAATTGAAGAACTCAAACGAAAAGAAAATTCCGAGTGTTTAACTTTCATTTTGCCGTTTCTTTTTCTTCATGTTGTTAGAAACTAAACTTCTGTGCTGTTTAAAATAGTTTCTCTCTCTTATTATAGAAAATAGTTTTTTTTTTCTCTGCCGCAATGGTCAATGCTTAATGCTTTCGTGCATGTTTGTGTGATATTTTTCATATATAACATATGGGTTTGTGTTTCTGTATGTTTGTGTGATTTTTTCATATATAACATATGGGTTTGTGTGATTTGTAATGCTTTGATCAATGCTTAATGGTAGTTCAGTTGCACTGTAAAAGAAGTTCTGTTCTCATTATAACTTGATGCTGTGCCATTTAAATGCTCTTTATATGACTAATTTTTTAGCGTTATACGAAGACATATCAGCTAGTTCTAGGATTATTTGTGCGCTATGCTACTTGTAGAGCCTCTGTTATGTTGATCATTGATTAAATGGCCATGCTTGATTGTAAATCAAACTTATTTTCAGTCTCCAATTAATTAATTTTTTAAAATTAAGAAATGAAATAAACTGCCTAGTTGGTAGTGTGCATACTGTTTTTTCTTAACTGGATTATGTTTATTGCCTACACGAGTGTTATATCTTCACAGGGTTTGAGTATTGATAGATAACCTTGGCTTTGTTACTTGCAATTGAATGATCTATAAGAGACCAAGAGAGTAAGTTGTGGGGTCACAGTTGCTAGATTTTATTTATTGCATTGAAGTAGTCTTGGAAGTGATATGCGTTCTGTAACTCACTTACTATTTCAAACTAATTTTGGTTCAGTTTCTGAGGACCATCACCGATTCATTCTGGCATGGGATTGGAGGAAAGGATCGACACACGTAGCAAGCAAGGCAAATTTAATCAGACATCGACTATTTGCAAGCATGCCTTTTCTGACCTAACACATATTTCTCCATTGGTATTCATATACCTCTTGAAAGCGTGCTATTTCAATGGTAAGGGTAGTTTGCTATCGATCACTAATTTCGCTGTCTTTAAGCATGATTCTGTTGTGATGAGAAACTTGATTCTAGCTTGTTTGCTATTGATAGTTTCACTTTCTGTAAGCATGATTCTGTTGAGATGGGAAACTTGATTCTAGGTTGTTGTGCTTTTCATCACATGATGGTCATTTACTCAATCACTAATTGTTGCCTAATGTCACCTTCCTGTAGTGTATTAAACCATCAGTTAAAAACCATGCTGCCTTTGTTTTTAATAGTTATTTTTTTTAATGGACATTTGTTCAGTCATCTGATTGCTCAACAAAACTTCTGCCCCAAGGTGTTCTAGGCATACAGAGGCAAGATGCATATGGAAGTCTTAGTATTAGTAGTAGAACCAAATGTTCACTCTTACAGTCTAGTCTGTCTGCCCTCAAAATAAATTGAACATCCCTTGGCCCCCATGAGTGATGAAACATTTATGTCTTCACTCTTCAGGTTAGATCACCTTTAGATATTTAGGATGATTTTTTAAACTATTATGCTGCCCAATCCTGCAGAAGTTCCTTGGTACTCCTAGTTTGTTTAAAATATCTTATTTACTCAGCTTTTCAGCATGTATCTTGGAAGTAATTCTTCTTTTCTGCCTGTTTGTTTCCAATTGAAACGTGTATTAGGCACATATAAGGCAACTAAGAAGTTCCGAGTGCTTCAAGATCAGGTTCATCTAGTACTGCGCAATGATCCCCAACCTGGACCAGCTACTTTTGTTATTCAGTGCCTCTATGTCTTGCCTATATTTGATTTATACTCTGAAGGGTTCAGTCATTTGATTATATCTGCTCTTCGCCGTTTCCTGAAAATGGAAACTTCCATGTGGGACTCTTTAGAAGCAAAAGACCTGGCTTCCCAACTATTTATCGATATTGTTGGGGGCTCTGTCAATCATGATGAGAGGATAGTTGAGAAGATTCTTGAAGCTTTTGATATTCATCTGGCAAACATTGATAAAGTAATGTGCCTGAGTGCAAAGAATGATTGCAGATTTGACACTGCAAAAAAGTTCGTTGAGCAATATATATTTGGACTGATAGAGTCTCAATCATATATGACTGCAGTTACTCTTTTAGAGCACTTCTCTATCCGCCAATCTGGCCAATCTTTTCTCCTTAGTATGATAGAAAGAAAACAATTGAAAGCAGCAGATAAGTGGGCAACATTCATGGGAGAGCCAATGTTATGCGTTCTTGTTCAGGAATACTTTGACAGGAACATGCTAAAAAATGCTTATGAGATTATACAGAAAAACAATCTCCGACATGAATTTCCCAATGTTTATCATAAGTACAAAGAAAGGTAATTTTAATTCATACTTCGGCCGAGTTACTGAAATAGTTTCTTTCTTCTATTATTTTCCTTCAATAAATTCTATATGATAGTCTTAAATACGTTGATCTCCTTTGTTTCTCCCTGAAATTAAACTAGTAAGGATTATTCATCAAATTTCAGCTCACTAAAGAAATTAGCAGAAAAAGGATGCTGGGATGTCGCAGAAGCAAGGACAAACAGTAATAGACAACTTCTTGAATATCTGGTATGTAGCTTTTGGCATAGATCACATTTCCTCAATCACTTATGTTTGTTATGTGTGAATATCCTTTTGAGTTATGCAATGTATGTATGCATATGTGTAACATATGCGTATGTGTGAATATATGCTTGGTTGCATTGATTTCATATTGAATGTTTTAGAAACAAGAGATGTATGATTTATAATGATACATGACTTTATTATTTAAAGTAATTATACATATCTGGTATTGGAACCTAATTGCTTTTCATTATTTTTAAAGGTTTATTTAGCAATGGAGGCTGGTTACTCAGAAAAGGTTGAGAACTTTGCGATCGATACTCGCTTGAAGGTTTCTTGAATGCCAACGGTACAACTAATGTTAATCCTTCCTGTCATAGTACTTGCACTTATTCTTATAAAATGATTTATCTAGAGTTAATCCAGTGAAGTTGTCCATCTTATCAATCTAAGTTTTTTTTTCTTAAATACGCCTGTATTTTTGTTGTTTCTAGCAATTGAGGACAATGTATGAAATAAAAATTCGAAGTTGTAAATTTTGGTATAATCTTTTATACAGTACCCGAGGCAAGTCTTCTCCATAGTCGTTTTTTGCATCTCAGTGAGCTGGTTGTAGAAGGCGTTGTTTGGGTTGATGAAGTCAATGCCTTGCACAATGCAACCTCTCATATTGAGGGATGCAAAGTTGTGGGTCTTGATTGTGAATGGAAACCGAACTATGTAAAAGGCAGCAAACCGAACAAGGTAATCAAAGCATATTGATTTTCGTTCTTCCTTAGACTTTAGGGGTTTTTATTTTTTGGTTCTCATACCTCCAAATTCTTTGTTCGGTCCATAATAAAAATGATACTCTACTCAGATAACAATTTTCCTTTTGTGTCAACATGCTTTGTGTATATTGTTGAAGTGTTTCTCTCAATGTTTCAGGTTTCTATCATGCAAATTGCTTCTGATAAATGGTTTTCATATTTGACTTGATCAAGTTATTCAATGATATCCCTGACGTTCTGGATGATTCCTTAACTCGCATTTTGCAATCTCCTAGGATTCTAAAACTCGGTATGAGAATTGTAATGCATTTGGTGAAGTATTGTTTCTTACAATGCACATACATGATACATTCATACATTCATGTGTAAGTTTGTGTGGGTGGGTTGTGTGTGTCCACATCCCATCAACAAACAAGGATGCACTTTTTTCCACCCTCTTTGTCCTAAAAATGAAATAAGCTGGAAATTTTTGCATAGAGAACTAACTTGCATGACTCTGAATTATGCTTCTTGTAGGCTATAATTTTCAATGCGATATGAAGCAGTTGGCTCATTCATATGAAGAGTTAGAGTGTTTCAAACACTATGAGATGCTACTGGACATCCAGAATGTATTCAAAGAGCCTCGGGGTGGTCTGTCTGGGCTTGCAAAGGTAACAAAAGCATGAACATAGTACAATCTTTTCTATTCTTAGTACCCAATATTAACATAAGTTGTGTGTACTCATGACTCTATCCATCTATATATTTGCAAAATAATACTCATTAGTTATGCACAATTTATTTGTGTATCATCAGAAAATACTGGGAGTTGGTTTGAACAAGACAAGAAGGAATAGCAATTGGGAGCAACGGCCTTTGACGCAGAATCAGGTAGTTTCTTGCTTTTTTGTACATCTAGAGTTTACCATATGCATACACTTGTATGACCTATAAATTGCTTTGGGAGCACAGTGAAGGAGATACTTGAAATCCTCCTCCCATTGTTAAGGGAAACTAGAAGTTAACTTTTCCTAAGATGTCTGACCTTAGAAAGCGTCATATATTAATTTTGAGTCAGAAAACTACTCAATTATGGTTGAAGTTTTAGGATCTGACAAGATGTAATGTTTGATCTGTACACCCAATAGTTTAGTTCAAATAAACTAGTGCCATATTCTTGTGCAGCTGGAATACGCAGCTCTTGATGCTGCTGTTCTGATTCACATATTTCGCCATGTCCGTGGTCATTCTCAGACTGCTGAAGGGGAGGGGCATGGACAACTTGAGTGGAAATCCTGCATTGTAAGCACAGATACGAAAACTTTTCCAATTGACTGTAACTGCCTGTTTAAAACGGTGTGGACATTTATGCATGAATCTTTCTTCATTTAATCATTTCATATGTTGGGTTAATATACAGGTTTCCCACATGGACAACATCAAGAAGTCCAAGAAGGGCAGTAAAAAGGAGTCATCAGAAGCTGAAACGAAGGAGGATCGGCAATTTAGTTAGCTGTGTAGTAATTCTCCCCTCTCCACTGCATTAGCTTGATATTATATGTAAATTTATCAATTAGGTCGAATGAGACCCTGTTTAACCATATAGATGATGGTCTATATATCATTTGCCTTAAAGTTTTCTAAATATAATCTCCCTTGCTGTTTAATATATTATGGAAGCCGTCTCAGGTCTGACTCGCCCTACCTGAAGCCCAAATTTGTTATTCGGGCCCGATTTTATTTATGTGAATTGGGTCTAGGCTCATCTTCATCTTCTATACCAATTGTGCGCACCTACCTAACAACCCCAAAGAAAGCAACAATTTTTCAACAGATTGGAAATTTCAGAATAACTGTAACTAATGTGATGGGGGAAGTGGGGTGTGCACGATTTATCTCATTAATCTTTTAACAGTAATACCGGTGCACCATCTAAATTTACTTAGATTGACATGGCCCTGAAAACCGTGAACAACAAACCCTGGCCAACAAAAATCCAACCCAAAATTCTTGGTCTCTCCTGCCTGTCTCTAACAGAACAAAGAACACCACCTAATCACTTCTCTTTGTTCTCAACCACCCCTTAATATATTTAAAAGGTAAGAAAAAAAAATCCTAATGAAGGACAAATTCAACCGGGCTCGGAGTGAGCTCTATCCCTCTCCCTCTCTCGGGCAAGAGGGTGACAATAAATCTCTTCAGAGACAGAGAGGGGGAGAGAGATTGATGGAGGAGACTCGCTACCGCTCCTATGCAGGAGCTGGCTGCCAGAACCTAGACATGGTGAACGTGAGGAGATTAAGCGAAAACCGGACAATGTACATGGGGAGATCTCATTTGCATCACTCATGGTCATGGGCTCCCTATCCCATGAAAACAAGACAATGTGATATTCAATTAAGCATTGGTGGGAAGAAACCCAAAGAGAGGTCCTCTAAGCCATCCAAATTATGGTGGAACGATCCAGAGCTCAAGAGAAGAGGCCGAGTGGCCAGATATAAGTTGTATGGCGCTGAGGGCAAGGTCAAGAGGTCTTTGAAGAAAGGTTACCGTTGGTTCAAGCGCAAATGTCTCGAGATTGTACTTCGTTGAAGCTTTGATCCATTGGAGACATGGAGCTAAATGATCAAGTTGTTAATTCGATTTGTATACGTATATTATATGTATACGTATAATTACGTACGGGTTTTCGTGATTTCATGCATGCAATCTTTAAAAGCGATTGTTGGTTTCTAACTTCTAAATTTTTTTAGAGGTTTTTTTCTCGCTTCTGGAATTTGGAGGGCAAATGCTCCACTAATGTTATTACAGATTACAATTGCGTGAAATGATGTATGTTTGGATTGCAAGTAAATGAAATGTGTTCAATTTTAAAAAGAAAAATTGTTGACCCGCCTTTGAGTATTGGGAGATGGATTAAGAAAATCTTAACAAATTCAAATCCTTGTAATATAACCCTCAATTAATTTACATTGAATTTGTTTTGTTTTGTTTTTTTGAACGAACAGTTTATTTGATTGGGCCTGAGAATTTTTGCCAGGCTTCTTTTACTTTGAAAATGGGCCGGAAAAGGCCCATAACCAAGAGCAAAGCGTTACCTGCAACGACATCGTCTCATTGCTTCTCGTCCCCTATTTAAACGGTTGCCGGCTAAATTTTTAGGTTTCAAAGCAAATTAGCGCGGGAGATTTAGAATGGAAGGTCACGATCTGGAAATGGAGAAAGCTCGATTGCTAAGCTTGGCTCTCAATTCTGGGTTCGATGAAGAATCGGCAAAGAAGTGTTTGGATCGTCTGGTTGATCTCTACGGTACCCATTTCAATTCACTCGTACCAATATTTTGTCAAATTCATCAGATAAACAAAAAGATAATATACAATTTGGGTTCATAATTTGGTGGGTTTTGTTTTTGTCTAATTTTAGCTGAAATGAAATGGGTTTGTTGGGTTTTGTGCTATTTTTAATTCCAATATGTTTGAGAAGTTGAGTTGTGTGTGATTTGATAGAAATGTAGTTAGACTTGAGGTCAATATGTGTGAAGTGACTTTGTGGTAAAGTTTCAACAAACATTTTGCTTAGTTTCCTAGTATTTCTACTGTGGTCTCGAATTTGTGCAGGCATAAGTTAACTATGATTAGTTTTAGCACCAAAGTAAGTAATGATAGGGTCATCTTCTTCTTTGATCTTCTTTTCAGGTGACGATGGCCTAGATTTTATTACCGTGGAGCACTGCGGTGATGATTTTCTTGCAGCATTAGCTGAATCTATGCAGGACACTGAAGAATGGGATGATATACAAGCAATGGAAACTGAAGCTTGTGGAGTTTTGAATAACATGTTTGACAAAGACATCCTCAACGGTAACGAACCAGATGATGATAGAGGCAAAATCAACGTGGTAGAAGATTCACCGGAACGTCAAAAGTACCCAAATTTCTTGCTGTTGGATTCTAGTGATAGTGAAGAATTAGATTTAACAACTCCAATGAGAAAAGACGCTGGATCAAAGCCCTCTTCCTTTCCTGTTTGGAGCAGTTCTGTCCCACCCCAGAATTTGGGTAAACGTTCTTCAAGATCAGTGGTAAGCAGAACTAGTTTTTCACAGCTTTGCCTTTACTGCTTTGCGGAATTCATAACCAGTTGTGCAACCGGCTGCAACTTTCTTTGAATTTCATGGCAGTTTTCTTTGGTAACTACAATTTTCAAAATACTGAAGTTGTTTGTTTATGTTGAAGGATTGTGAAAGCAGCATTACTCGAGATTCAGTTCCATCAATTTCTAGTAAAAAGCAGTGCGCCCGTACATCAAAATATGAATCAAAGACTCTTACTTATGAAGAGTTACAGGCTCTGGATGATGCTGAGCTGGCCAATGTTGTAATATTTGGTAATAAGATATTTCGACCCTTGCAGCATCAGGCTTGTAAAGCAGCTATGGAAAAGCGAGATTGCTTTATCCTAATGCCTACTGGAGGGGGTAAAAGCTTATGTTACCAGGTAGTTTCTCATATATAATATGGCTACAGCTGCGTCGTTTTGCTTTGTTGATCTATTTGTAATATTGAAAATTGTTATGATCCATGAAGTAATTACATATTATTTTTGTAGAAAATTTCAAATTTTGGATTTTGATAACTAGCTCAAAACAGACCAATAGTTGTTTGAGTAGTTAAATACTGGAGTGATTTCTTCCAAGTCACTGACGGGATGTATATTATTCTGTGTTTTGCACAGCTTCCAGCAACCCTGAAACAGGGTGTGACAGTTGTTGTATCTCCACTGCTTTCCCTTATTCAGGATCAGATTATAACGCTGAACCTCAAGTTTGGTGTACCAGCAACTTTTTTCAATTCTCAACAAACCACTTCCCAAGCAGCAGCGGTCCTTCAAGAGCTAAGGCAAGGTTCTTTCTTTTCTTTTCTGTTCTTTTGGACTAAGGCAATCTGCCTGTTTTTTTCTAGCATAAATTTTCTCCTTACCTTTTTATGTCTGAAAATTCCCTGATTTGCATGTGCAACTGTTTTTATTTATAAATGTATATGCTTTTGATGCTGCTTTGTTTAAGAAAATATTTTTTATGCATCATAAGATTAATAAGTTATAATATATATATATATATATATATTTTTTTTAAAGTACTTGATTACCTGATAATTGTCTTTGATGGTTATGTTTTATTCTCTTGTTTCCAGGAAAGATAAACCATCATGCAAGCTTCTGTATGTGACTCCTGAGAGAATTGCTGGAAACCCTTCTTTTCTTGAGGTTCTGAAATGCCTGCATTCAAAGGTGAGGTTCTTAAGGTTACTGACCAGTTCACTGGTACCATCTTTACTTGCATCAGCTGTTACAAGATTTTATGTTCCAAACGTAATTAATGTTTTGGACTAAATCACAGGGACAGCTAGCAGGATTTGTTGTGGATGAAGCGCACTGTGTAAGGTATGTTCTTTGTTAGGTGACAATTATCTGCAGAAACTGAAAATTAGTTCTCAAAGGAGGAAAAGTGGTTTGATCATGTTACATAGCATCTGGTGTTAAGGTTACTTCATCATATGAATATTTTGTTACATTGGGCATAACAATGTATAACAAGTTGTGCTACTCTTACTAAGCTATCTAATAAGATTATTCCAGTCATCATTTCTTTTAATCTTGAATCCTGCTTCCCAGCCAATGGGGGCATGATTTCCGTCCAGATTACAGGGGATTAGGATGTCTTAAGCAGATATTCCGCGATGTTCCAGTGATGGCATTGACTGCCACAGCAACCCATTCAGTTCGTGAGGTAGGATGATATACCAGAATGGATTTTTCTGCCTCTTGTAGGAAGTAGAAATGTTTCTATGGATGGAAGTAAAAATGTTTCTATGGATGTGTTGCAGGACATATTAAAAGCTTTGAGAATCCCTCGTGCTCTTGTCCTTGAAAGAAGCTTTGACAGACCCAACTTGAAATATGAAGTCATCGGCAAGACTAAGGAATCACTGAAGCAGCTTGGGCAGCTATTGATGAGTCGTTTCCAGGACCAGAGCGGGATTATATACTGCCTTTCAAAAAGTGAATGTGTTGAGGTTTCTAATTTTTTGAACGAGAAATTTAAGATTAAGACAGCGTATTACCATGCTGGGATAGCAGCTCGCCAAAGAGTTGCTGTCCAAAAGAAATGGTACACTGGAGAGGTTCAAATTGTATGTGCTACAATTGCTTTTGGGATGGGAATAGACAAGCCGGATGTTGTAAGTCCAAATAAACTTTTCATTTCTTTCTGTCTCTTTTATGTAAATTTTGAAAGTACTGCTGTTGTCATTTGTAATCCTGCACTTCATGAAAGAAAATGTTATCTCAGTGATTAATAGTCTACTTTTGATTTTTTAAATATTTTATCTTAAATGACCCTCTTATTCCTTTTTTCCAATGTCTAGCGTTTCGTCATCCACAATACTATATCCAAATCAATAGAAAGCTATTATCAAGAATCTGGAAGGGCTGGCAGAGATGATCTTCCTGCAGTATGCATCGTCCTATACCAGAAGAAGGATTTCAGTCGGGTTGTATGTTTGTTACGAAATGGTCAAGGATGTAAAAGTCAAAGTTTCAAGACAGCTATGGCTCAAGCACAGAAAATGCAAGAGTACTGTGAACTAAAGGTTAGCAACTCCAAACCATCATCAACTGGTTATTCTCACATTGACGAAAGAAGCAAATCTAGCCTTTTTATAGAACCATGTGTACTGATGAGAAATATCGTTGGTTTCTTTGCTTTGTTATTCTTCAGACTCAGTGTAGGAGGCAAATGTTACTCAAACACTTTGGAGAGTCCTTTGATGAAAATGCCTGCAAGTGCGGATCGAATCCTTGTGATAACTGTCTCAAAGCTTCTGAGCAAGGAAAGAAGAAAAGATAGCTACCTCAAGACTTCCTCCTGACCCTGAGGATATACATGTTTATTTGTCCTGCTTCTGGTGCAAGTAAGGAGTTTATTTAGTTCTTGGTTTAGAGGCTTGAATTGCTTGCCCAATTTTGATGTGAGGAAGGTAAATGAGTTACTTTTTGCAATGTATATGTGTATCAGTTGAGCCTCTACATATTGACCTTGGGAAAGTTCAATTATTACACTGCCAACCAGTTGTCCTGTCACATCGACAGGTTTTGTGGTCAAACAGAAAATGCATCATGATTTTGATTAAATCTAAGATCTAACAACTAAGATCTACAAAACCATAAAGAATTATTTGACAAATGGCACATGCAATCATATGATTAACATAATACTTACGTTCTGCATTAGTAAACCATCTAGATTATACTTGAGCATGACATGTTAACCACCATAAATAATGTATTTCTTGTGGGACTGTTTCTGTCTGTGATTCATGTGGGGCTTAGCTTTAAAGTCCAAGCTCTCTTAATCACTTGTTTTTTTATCCTCCTAGCAAACAAATAGTGATATCAATAATATGTCCGTATATGGAGATTCTTTAATAAATATTTCATGTTAAGAATTGGTTACATACTTTTAATTTTGGTCGTTGGATTGAATTTATTAAATGTGTTGATAGTCTTTTAGATACAATTTAACTGCCGAAATTAAAAGTATGTAACTAATCCTTAACTAAAATATTTTTGAAGAATCTCCTTCTATATGTGTGTATATTGACAGTGACGCCACAAAATCTGGAAAAGGACTGAATAATTTTATTTACAAGAGGGGAAAAGGAAAGTGGAGCTTTTGCATGGAATCTTAACAAGAAACAAAACAAGCTATGAAGTTGGCGACATTGCCTAGTTGTGAAATGTGGGGCCACCATCCAAAAATAAACAGTAGCATGATGAAGGAGATAGAGAGAGAGAGAGCTACAAACAAAACCCATCTTTGTTGTTATTTTTTTCCTAAGTGGACTGTCGACCACTTGAATTTTATTGATGAGCAGTGGACCACTTGATTGATCCATTGGTCTCTAGCTTGTAGCTACTATTTAGTGTCAAAATTTTAGACCAATTATATACATTCTTGAGTGCTTAGACTGTGAATTTTATTTTTCTTATTGAAGAAAAATGAGCTTTTTTTTTCTGAATTTAAATTGAAGTGGTAAAAAACATGAGACATTAAAATTTAAAAAAAATGTAACAACAACACAAACACATTTCTATGAAAAAATTGGAAATAAAAATGGGGAGGAAAAAAAAAGTCCATTTGATTTTGAACTATCGGCAATTCCCGAAAAGGACCGAAACTGATGACTAATATCGAGCGGGGCCCACAGTTTTAAAGCCACGTGGCAGGGGTACATGATTTACACACAAAAAGGGGAAGCACGACTCGTGGTGGTCCATTAAATAAATATAAATGAAAAGAGTAAGAATTTTCACAAGAACTCATCAGCCACTCAGCTCTCAGAGCGGTGTGTTTCTTCCGCCTTGCGATTCTTTGCTCACAATTAACGTTTCTTCTTCTTCTTTCAACTCTCTCTCTCTCTCTCTCTCTTGCATTCTTCAGTCTTTAGTCTTTACCATACCCCCCTTGACTCTCTCTCTCTCTCTCTCTCTCTCTCTCTCTCTCTCTCAGTGTGTGCAGTTTCCTTCTGATTTCGCTTGAAGCTTTTTTCTTTTTTTGCTGTAGTTTTACCCAAAGGATTTTGTTGCTCTACACTTTCAGATCTTTAATCTTTTCCTCCACTCCCGATTGTGTTTGTTATTCAGCACAATAAACCAAAAATAGAAAGAAAGAGTTGGCTTTTCGAAATGTGGGTGCTTGGGTAAGGAGAATGTGGTTAGATTGATTGAAGGTTACTCATTTGGATGAAGTTACTTGATTCTTGGTTACTGAGTTTGGAAGCGTGGGTTTTGAGTGAATTGCTGTCTACAAAAGCAAAAGAAGAAAAGGAGTGAGTTTTTCGGAGTGTGGAAAATGGGGTTTTGCAGTTGAAGGATTTAAGGTGAGATTTTGATTGAAATGATTAGAGATTTGTGCTTGCTGTTCATTCTAAAGGGTGCCATTTGGATTAGACACACTTGCACGCACAACTGTGGTTGCTGTTTTTTTCATATGTAGAATTAGTGGTATAATCCGATCTGTTTTCTTGTTGCCTTGAAAAATGTGGTACTAAGGAAATTTTAATTTGTCCTGCTTGTCTACTTCTTTCTGAAAAACTGGAGAATGCTCTCTCCTCTGGCTAAAGCTTTAGCTTCTTTTTTTTTAAGTTGTCAATGAACAATGTAGGTAATATCTAGTCTGATTGCTAATAATTGAATTCCTTTATGGATGGTTCAAGCATGACAAATTCTAGTACAAATTGGCACATGGGTTCTGTTTAATGATCTTTTTAATCGTAATCTCCAACTCCTATAGGTTTGCAGAAGACTAAAATGGAGGTTGAGAAAAAACGTTCAAAAGGAGGATTTCTAAACTTGTTTGATTGGAATGGCAAATCTCGGAAGAAGCTTTTCTCGAGTAATTCCGAGTCATCTGGTAGATATCATCTTCTATCTTTCTTTCTTTTTTGGGTATATATCTTGCATATTTATCTGTATGTGCTTCTTAGTTGAGCATTTAGTTTACTTTCACGCCATTTTGAATGTAAAGGATTAAAGCAAGGAAAAGAAAATGTGGAGAGTTTCTCGAAGTCGGGGCTCTATAGGGTATGAATCCTCTACCCTCTCATTTTGATATTTCTCTTGTTTGTTTGTCATGTGATATAAGTATCAAGAATCTGGTTTTATATATATTTGCAGGTAGAGGGCGAGGAGAGTGGAACAACTTCAAGTAATAAAGCAAGTAGTGATTGGCACTATGCTTCATCAGTGACTAGTGATGAGGGATGTCGGAATAGAGCCCCTGGTGTAGTTGCTAGATTAATGGGTCTGGATTCGTTGCCAACTTCAACTGTCCCTGATCATGACAGGAGCAATCGTAATTTGTGGAGCGATTTTTATGCCATGGAGTACATAAATGTGCCAAAGAAGCTGGATGGATTTTCTTGGAATCCTGTAGAATCTAGAGCACAGGGAGTGCAGAACCAACCAATTGAGAGATTTCAAACTGAAGTTTTGCCTCCAAAATCAGCTAAGTCAATTCCAGTTACTCACCATAAGCTTTTGTCACCTATCAAGAGTCCTGGCTTCATCCCAACAAAAAATGCGGCTTATATAATGGAGGCAGCCTCAAAGATCATTGAGGCAAGTCCTCGAGCATCTTCCAAGAGCAAAGGGTCATCTGTAGGGCCTTCTTCAATTCCCTTGAGAATTAGGGATTTGAAAGAGAAGATGGAAGCTGTGCAAAAAGAATCCAGACCTGAAAGACCCAAGGAAGCTGGTGACATTAAGTATATGAAAGGACTACCTGGTGATAGGATTCAAAATGGGTCAGATAATGTACACTTACCCAAGGCTTCTGTGAACTCAGAAAGACAAAGTTACAGGGATGGAAGGAATAAGGGAAAATCAGTATCACTTGCGGTACAAGCAAAGGTCAATGTTCAAAGAAAGGATGGGTCGAGTTCTTGTAGTAATAGGAGTTTCATGAATCAGAAGGAACAGAATGAGATGAAACAAAATCAATTTTCTAAGAGCAGGCCAAGTCCACAAAGAGCTGTGCATAAGAAAACTTCCCCTGACAGCACCAAAAGTGTGCTCAAGCAGAACAACCAGAAGCAGAATTGTGTATCTAATAAAGATAAAACGACTTCAAAAAATATGGTTCCTAATCCACCTACTAGAAGAATGCGGTCAACTAATGGCTCTAGTAGGCCAGGTAAGACTGTAAGTAAGGTTCTTGTAAACTCTGAAACTGGATCTGGAAAGATGGGCACAATGGGAAATGCTACTGGAAAGGAGTTTTCTTTATCCACAATGAAGAAAGTCTCTGGAAAGTTAAGGTCTGTTGGCCAGGATGTTCACTTAGAAGAAGCCGTTTCTGATAATGCATTTATCAGTGAAGATGAAAGGTCAGTAAAATGTAATGTTTCAATGGATGGGTGCACCAGTTTGGGCGCAGATAATAGGAAACAAGCCATGGATGTTGTTTCGTTTACGTTCACGTCTCCCCTGAAAAGATCCATCTCTGAATTGCAGTCCTCTGGTCAAGTCATGAGTAGAAACAACAGCTTTTATATTGATTCTTTTGGTAACAACGATCAGCAGCGCTACCCAGAGAATTTCACATTATATTCACCTGGGTTCAACATGATTGGTGGTGATGCCCTGAGTGTCCTTTTGGAACAAAAGCTTCAAGAGTTGTCATGTAAAGTCGAGTCGTCTCAGTGTAACCCAACCAGTGAAGAGACTTCTGCAGCTGCTAGTTATTCATCTGGCTTGCAAGATATGGCTTCTGGTGTGGCTAGTACCGCATCAAGAGGCAAGAAGTTCGAACTCAGTTTGCGCAGAGATGAATTTGACAGCATAAACCACTATGGTTGCTTGTTGTTGGTTGATGTGAACCAGCAGTGGAAGGTTTGTTTTACCCTTAATTTTCTTGACTCGTGGTTTTTCACCCTTGGTTTTTCATGATCGAGTTTATAGGCACTTAAGGTGTTTGATGGTTTTCCTCAACCAGACACAAAATATAATACATTGACTAGTTGTACTAACAAAATGAAACAAGGACCAAATGCACATTCATGCTAAAACTGTTTCTGCTAACAAATTCACAGCAGATGAATGAATATTTGTGTTGTGGATAGGCCCTACAGGTAATGTAATTAGTTAAGCCAGATATGATACTTTCTGACTGGGTAAAGTTGTAGAAACCAGACTTTATAGACAACTAAAACCATATGTCCGTTCTTAAAACTGTGCTTAACAAGTCAAGGTTCTGTAAAAATTCAAATGCCAATACAGCAGAGTGAGGATTTTAGACACAATGTAGAGAAGTTAAGCAATCAGCAGTAGTCTGTATTTGATCCATTTTTTGGACAAGATTCACATTTTATTAATATTTGAAATTTTCGATGCAATATTTCACTTTGGTTCCATTATTATCAATTTTGTATATGCCTTTCAGGAAAAGAAACGTGTTTTTATGATTCTGAGTTACATCATGAAGCTATTTAATCAGCATGCTTGTCAAATTCTCTTAAACAATTTCAGGGATCAGAAGGGATGGAAGAGTGTAGCAGTAGCAGCATAACCAGTGCAAATGGAAAAGAATTTGATTATCAGAATCTTAGTCCACTTTCAGCCCCCTCGTTTGAGAGTCGAAGCTGCACAGATAACAGAAATAGTGCCAATGGTACAATAACAGTCTTCTTTCCTGTTTATTCCTTTTCCAGTACATACGTTCATAACAATGTCAGTCCCAAAATATTTTGCAAGAACATAAACTTTACACAGATTGGGGATGTCTATGCTAGTTGAGATTTTGTAAATCAGCGAACAGCCTATAATGTTATCAGATAAGAAAAGCGTAGTGCAACCTCTTGTATGAGTCAAACCACCCCCTCCTCCTTTGACATCCTTTGTACCGAAAAGAGAAAAAAGAAACCTCTTTTATGAGTCAGGCATTATGTTATAATGAAACACATACGTGCTCTTGTGAAAGAAAAATGACTGAACATATATACTCTACTCTCCATTTACAGGCAGTGACAGTGAGATATGTTCATTGGCTCAAGCTCAAAATCAAATGGATTTATTCTCTTCATATGAAACCCTACCAGCATATAATGTTTCAGAGTTGTTTGACTCAGCCTCTTCTGCTTCCACAGGGGAAGTGAGTGGAAAGAATATGACTAGAATTTTGGGTTCCCATTATCTTAATCGAACAAACAATTGGGAACTGGAATATGTGAGATACATCCTTAGCAATGTAGATTTAGAGATGGAAGATTTTGCGCTGGGTGATGCTCAGACTGTCATTACCCCAAGTCTTTTTTATCATTTGGGGGATCAAGAAGAGTATCCGAAGCTCCAGCGGAAGATTGTATTTGACTGTGTAAATGAAAGCCTGCAGTTCAGATGCGAGCAATTTTTTGTCGGAAGCCACAAAGCATGGGATAAATGGGCAGCATTGTCTCAGAGGAATGGATGGTTAGCTGAGGAATTGTACAAAGATATTCTGGGTTGGAAAAATATGGCAGAATTGCATGTGGATGAGCTTGTGGACAAGGACATGAGCACCCAGCGTGGGAGATGGCTTGACTTCGACATTGAAACATTTGAGGAGGGTCTAGAGATTGAGAAGGAGATACTAAATTCTTTGGTTGATGAGTTGGTGTCTGATTTTTAGCGCTTTTAGTCCCTCTTAAGTTGGCCCTTGTATTTATAACCCACTGCAATGTATTATATCCAGTTTGAGTTCTTTATCTGGTGGAACTTGTATGCTTTTCCTTATCTAATTTACCTTCAACATTTTCATCTAGCTGAGAATTTTCTCAACATAGAATTTACTGCCAGTAAGACAATTTTTCACTTCTAGTTTGATAGTGTGTTACTACAGTAATTCAGGCCACTGCAAACTGCAATATGTACGATTTAACTGCAATAAAAGCTCAATGTGTTTTCCAGGAAGAAAGCTGTGTAAAGTTATTGCACGAAAGATTTTAAGCTCAACCGCTCAGATGCCAATCAAGTCTCTAAAGAAACAAGATTTTTGGCCTTGTGTGAAATTTGATTAAGGCCTTGTTAGGGAGAAAGATTGGATAACATTATTTTACTATCTCCAGTAAATAACGTTACGACACGCGTGATAACACATCACGTGTCGTAGTAATATTGACTGAGAATAGCAAACGCAACTAAGCTTTTCTCCTTGTTAGTGCCTTTGTCCAATTGATGAACCACGTGATTAATGGAACCAGTCTGACATCTAGCCGGCCCAGTGCTGCTAAAAGTTGAAATTATAGTTACTATAAATTCCCCAACTGATAGATTCAACCATACCTAAGAGTCTAGCCTCCTAAAACAATTTTGACTTATAGACCAAATGAGGGCTTAAATTATTGTGATGTAAAAGCAGTCCAAGACCTGGAGTAGAGGGGGAACAAATGGGGCAAAATGAATAAAATTCTTCCATTTCTTACGTAACCCCAAACAGAAGAACCAGAGCTATGTAAGTAAACCAGTAGAAGGAGTTTCAAGTTTCAACCATTGAAAACGAACCGTTCTGCTCTTCACGAGCATTTCTTCCCTCCCTTGAGGGGGACAAGGTTCTCTGTATAATGAGTGCATTGTTCCACACACACACACACAAAAAACCTTCATCGTCTTGAAGACTTTATCTCTCTACTTCATCACTTCCACCTCTTCATTCATACCATCATATTAAACTAAGCTAAACTTTAAAGTGTATGTAGCCCCACATATTAAACTAAATTTATATTCTATCCCTCTTTGACATTCTATTTCCTTCATTTGGAAGTTGAATATAACTGAACTATTAAGATTATTTTTGCTAGTTATTGTTTATATTTGTTGACGCTAAAAAATGGTTTGGCAGTTCTTGAGGCCAACTTAGTGATGTGATGCCTTCGGTATGCTCTGGGCCTCGGAAGAGCTCGTGATCTGCAAGATAAGACACGCTCGGTAAGACCTATGGCACCAGTGTGGAACTGGCCGAAGGCTCTCTGATGCTTAAGTAAATACGAATTTAGTAAGGGATTTGAACATATCCAAAAGCAGTATGCCGAAAGTTCAGATTACCTCCATTTTGGGGAATTGTGTGTTTTTTTTTTTATAAACCTTAGGAAGTGTGCAAGTTGTGTAGAATTTCGATGTGGGACTGTGGACATTTATTGTGGATATGTCACGCGTCCGGTGGGCATTTGTGTTTATACTCTGCGATCGGCATGCACGGGTGCCGAAGGCTTCCCTGCCGATGAAGCGCATTGTCCACGTGTTTAGTTCTTATTGATCGCTGATGCTGGTATCAACAATATTCATACAAAAAGGAAAGATTATATGTAATAGACTTATATTTCAAGTGGTTAAAAGCATTATCTTTGCATCCGAGGTCCTGTGATTGAATATCTTCAACCCCAATATCACTCACATAAAAAAAGAGAAATTATGTCCTAATATTAACAAACCAAGTACCAAATGAGAGATGGCAACCATGACCATATTAATATGTTGCATTTTCCTGCTTGCTTCTTAGCAGCTCAGTATTTACTGTCGAGATCCATGTAGAAAAGTTCTTGCTGGGTTTAGAATTCTTACCAAATGAGTGATTCATAAAAGTATCACAAAAATCCAAACATCACAGTTTTCCTTATACAGACTCTCGATGGAAGCTGCCATTTTGGTAATCATGTGTCACCAAGTGGGCCTTTTGTGCGACTTTTGCTTCTGTACAAGTTTGGATCAGAACAAAAGAGCTTTGCTTCACTGAAGGACCGCCTAACTAACATAACACTACAGATCCTACAAAAAAACAAAAGCCATTACTGTGGATTTTTTGACAAGAAAATTCATAGAAGCCAGAAGATTGCATTTGTATATAAACTATAACCCCATATTATTTAAAGCATAGGGTTCTTTCTTGGATGATGAATTCATGGGGGTTCAATTAATGTTCATTGACTAAGAAGCTTTGTGGATGGGGGAAGAAGAAAACAGATTTATGAACAGTGACCCAAGAAATATTCACATTTGTGCCCAATAAACAAAAAAACACATCATGTGCTGGTGTGGCAAAATGCACATGCAGATGCTCAATTGCTTGTCTATTTTAGATTGGTTCTCGTAACATCTCAACCAGTCTAATCTAATCAGACATCCTTTTCAGCTTGGTGGTTAAAACTTAAAACTTCAGTGGGCAAGCAATGACTTCTTGTTCTTGACACTGGGTTCTAATGTAATCTAATGTGGGCTCATCACCAAAGCAATATTTCCCATACCAAATAAGTATGGCCACTATTGTCTCTCTCTCTCTTTCTCTCTCTCTCTCTCTCTCAAAACCAATATTCTTATTTCTTGGGTAGAGAGAAATCTAAAAAGAGACTCCATCCACAAGGTTTACAGATTACAAGATTAATTAGTATGTTATCTTTATTCTGATTAAACTATAGTTTAATTAGATAAATTGCTGTTATAATGATTAATTATTAATTAGAAGGGAGGCCACAGATGCAGAACCTCAGCCTTGGGACAGCTGCCCAAAAGTTAGGATCCTATGAAGAAAGACAGAGAGAGAGAGAGAGAGAGTGAGCTATGACATTGTGCCTTCAATCACCATCCATGCCTTGCATTTAGAATTTTCAGATTATATTATTTACTTGGGTACAAATCTTTATGTGTTTTCTTTATTCTCGTTTATCAGAAAATAGAGATGCATTCAACTACATGTACAAAAGGAGATGAAGAACAATAATAATAATAGTAAAAAGAAGTTGAATGCTATGCAGCCGTCCGATGGGACAATAAAGAAGTCTCAGTGACCATTAATCTCGATGACATTGGACGGCCATGGCAGGCATGCATTGTCTTAAGACTGCAGAGAAAGAGCAACACTTCATGATAAAGGTGGGAGAGGAGGACAAGCAAACAATAAATATTTGAGGGCGATGTGCAGCCCTCTTGGTCTTTGGCCTCAACAACACTTTATTTAACTGTGTCCGAGTGAGATTCTTTTATTAATTGACACAAAATGACATGTCCTTCAAGTTGAGTTGGGATTCTTTTATTAATTGACACATACCAGATACTTGAACTTGGAAGGAGCTTGGTGCTCAAGGCCGAGTGAGATTATCTTCTGCGCCAGTTGAATTAGAGAAATTCTATTTTACATTTTCTAACATTAAACGAGAAATACCATTAGACTAACCGTTACATGGTCATTTTTCCTTTTCTTTTTGGGTTTGGAAGGAACTTGGTGCTCAAGGCCGAGTGAGATTATCTTTTGCGCCAGTTGAACTAGGGAAATTCTATTTTACATTTTCCAACGTTAAAAGAGAAAATACCATTAGACTAACTATTACATAGTTGTTTTTCCAGTTTTTTTAATAAAAGAAAAAAGAAAAAACGAGATGAGCTAGTTTGGAGCATGGTACAAACCTAAAGTCAACAAAGGGTATGATAGAATTGTACTGAGAGGCAGTATTGATGATGTATTGGGTTAAAAAGGTATTTATACCTACGAACTTAATATGGATAACTTGTTAGATGTTGTGACGTAGACATCTAAATAGTACCAAAGTTTATTAAATGAAAAAATAAAATGCAAGGATGTCTTTTTTTGGCAAAGTTCATAATAAGTTGTTAACAAGATGGTTTAATGGTCCACGTCAATTCTAGTTCCAAACTGTCTTGATGTCAAAAGATTGACCACTAATTAATCAGTCATCTATTTGTGTTTAACCAATTCATGAGGTTGATTAGTTTATTTGGTTAAGTTAATTCACCCCTAATTAAAAAAAATTAATAAAATAAAGTAGACCTCTAGTACGGAAGATGAGAAGACGACCATGGCATTAACGAAATAAAACGGAAGTTGAGGGACAAAATGTAATACCCACTCTCCATGCTATATTTTCTGACTCTCTGAGCCTCTTTCTGCTAAACGAGCACAGAAAATAATGGAGCTCAAAACTCCATCCAACAATGGCCAAAGCTCAAACCCTGAACCAAAACTCGAGCCCCCCAACCCTAGCAATGGCGAAACCCACAAAACCGATGAATCCCATATCTTCTTTGAAGACATTGATAGCACTTGTTCCACTCCGTATGTTAGTGCACCTTCAAGCCCTGGCCGCAGTGGACCCGTTAGTGGGTTCTTCTACAGTGCTCCAGCTAGCCCAATGCACTTTGCTTTGACCTCAAAGTCAAGCTCTTTCGCTTCGCCTCAGGGGTCTTCTTCTTCGTTTGACAACACCTCTGTTTCTCTGGGTTTTGAGTTTGAGTTCTCTGCAAGGTTTGGCTCAAGTGGCTCTGGCCAAACAGGGCCTATGAGCTCAGCTGACGAGCTCTTCTTGAATGGGAAGATCAGACCCATGAAGCTCTCGACCCACCTGGAAAAGCCTCAAGCTTTAGCTCCATTGCTGGATCTTGAGTCAGAAAACGAGGAGCATGAAGCAGAGCTTAAGTTTGAGCCTGTGAGAGGCAGAGATCTGAGATTCCGGGACAAGTCTCTGCGTAGAAGAACAAGATCTATGTCCCCTCTAAGAAATGTCCCTTTTGAGTGGGCTCAAAGCGAGATTGAAACTGATGAAAAAGGCTGTTCCTTTGTTCAAGATCTGAAAGGGGGTGGCTTGAAAGAGAGCAAAAATGAAGGAGAAGAAGAAGAAGAGGAAGAAGTGGAGAGCACAACTACTACACCTTCAGTTTCAGCTTCAACTTCAAGGTCATCATCAGCTGGTAGGAACTCAAAAAGATGGATTTTTCTGAAAGATTTTCTTCATAGAAGTAAAAGTGAAGGCAGAAGCAACCACAAGTTTTGGTCTTCAATATCGTTCTCCACTACAAAAGAAAAGAAGCCCATGAAACAGAGTGCTCAAACTCAGGGCTCTGTTTCAAAAGATCCCAAATTTAGCAACCCCTTGAATTTGAGCTCAGAGGCCCAAAAATCCAAGGGAAGTGGGTCCGGCGGTTCAGGGAAGAAGCCGGTGGCCGGAAAACCCACCAACGGCGTCGGGAAACGGCGGATGCCGCCGTCTCTCCATGAGCTGCATTACACTGCTAATAGGGCTCAGGCTGAGGAAATGAGGAAAAAGACTTACTTGCCCTACAGGCAAGGGTTGCTTGGTTGCTTGGGATTTAGTTCAAAAGGATATGGAGCTGCTATGAGCAATGGGTTTGCTAGAGCGTTGAACCCAGTTTCTTCAAGGTAAGATGAATTAATGTCATATGATGTGGTTTCAGAAGGAAATGTATAGATTTTTTCGGAACTTCTTTGGTTATGTGATCATCTGTGTAATTATTGAAGGCTAGCTCTTTGGATCCATCTCTTTTCTTCTGAAAAAGAGAAGCTGCAGCCTTGTCTGTATTTTGATGGGTATGATGCAAATTATGGGATAAATTCTTTTATTCCCATCTAGATTGTGTAAGATGCTTGCCCCTGTAAATTAATCTCTGCTGTCACTGCTAGTATGACGGAATCAATCCATTTATATATGATTATATTCTGTGTTTTTAATGCCTTCTTTCTCATGAGGTTTCTCTTAAAACCTCCGAGCCAGCCAATGTGAAGATCCTTAGGATAATGATATGGGGGAGTGATATGGTTCTTAGTTATAACCCTAATTGCATCATTAAGAAACATAATCCCATTTGCAAAATTAATAAACATGATCATGGAGCAAAAGCATATGCAGATTTTGCATGAGAATGGTTGTTTGTGATGTTTGGAAGAAATTATGAGGTGACCCCATTTGCTTTTTGCAAATTGTTTTGTTTTGGGACCCCTAAGAATCTACTTGTCTCTGATGTAATTACTTGGCCTTTATTATCCAAATATGTTTTACACCTATGAACTATGAGCTTGGTAGATCTTTAGATTGACTTTGCTAAAGTGAAGTTGAAATCTTAATTTACAAGGGACATGGTGCCTCCTAAGCATCGACATAAAGAGTGAGTTTGGGATTATGAGACATTCCATTCTCATGAACTTTTCATGCATCTTTCTTTTCCATCATTTTGTATCTTTTTTTGGATGCTTCTGCGGAATTTAGGTCTACCATTTTCTATCAACATTTAATTCAATTTAAAAGAGCTTGCAGAATTGAAAAATAATTCAAGTTATATAAGAAATCACAAGGCTCTCTTTTTTTTTTTAATTTCTTTGTTTTTTGGGGGGGGAGGGGGGGAGTTGAAGGCGTTTCTGACCTACAAACCATAGATTTTTATTTATTTTTTATTTTTTTGAGGACTATAGATCAGATCTGAGGCCCCAACAAGCATTATTCTGCTGGGGACATGTAATTTTTGAGCCTGGAGAAAGCAGCAGCAAAAATCCCATCATGGTCCCCTAGCTCCATTATTGTTCATGGGCTTATTTATCCAGATATTAAACTATCCCAACAATCAATTAAGATGGCATAAAGTCTTGACTGTTACAGCAGGAAATGATCTGTCTGAAAATTTCTCACATTGTTCTGTCACATTGCTATCTGCATCAACTTGGGCAGTTCAAAACATCTGGTTCTTATCGCAAACGGTCCCATCTCACCATTAATCTCCACAAATCATATCCTAGGGATATGTTAGTGTTTGTTTTTTACCCCTAAAATATTGTAGTTGCAGACGTGAGTTATGTCGATTGATCCATAATTTAGAGTAGTTTAGAGTAATCGTTCTCTTCTGATTGCCAACGTTAGTGAAAGTAGAAGGGAAAACCACTTGAAAGGAAAATGCCATGAATGATAAATATCTTGGTTCGATGGGTTCCTCTTCTGTTTAACTTTTCCCTACAACGATGGCGACGGAAAACAAGCAGTCACAAACTGAAGATAAAATTTCCGACAAGCCAATCAGCCTCAAAGGAAAAGCTGATGTTACTAATACTTTGTAGGTTTCGATGGGACGTCACCTCCTTTGTCTGCATCCACTTCTAAATAATGCCTCGCAAGAATATCGAGAAAGCCCACGGTTCACATCGAGGCGATGGGTTAAAGCAACCGCAACCATTTCTGGTTCTGATGTTTTGGTGGGGCGATCATAATTCTTCCATGTGAAAATTTTCAGAGAATCCTCAACTACCTCCGCAAGTACTATGGCAAATTGTAAGTGCTAATTTGGAACTTAAGATCATCATGTAACCTTCGGCCCAAAGCTTAACCTGAGACAGGTTTGGCACCGTTGGACGTAGCGACGTACCGAATTGAATGGCCCATGATCCGCCCCATCAAAATGGGGTCAAACAATGGCCGCTCAAGAAAATGCATGCTCAATCCCAAAGAACGATCCACAAATGGTTTAACAGATGAAACAAACTATTGGGGTCCTCAATTCGTGCATCGCTGCTCAAAACTGAGTTAAAGATAAATAAGATTTTCGATCCCAAAAACACTACATTATTGTTAATGGTATGCCGGCTATCCTTCTCCCTACTACAAATAAGGACTTGAACGCACAAAAATGTTCAGTAAAAGATGTGCATAAATATTACACTGAAAACACTTATCCCTTCCCAAGATCAGGAGAATTTGGGAGATGACTTCCTGAAACTAGGTTACAGATTCCTCCCTGCAAGACAGGAAGTGCCTGCTCATGAAGATGAGGCAAAGGTATATAGGATGTTCTTCTTCAGAGTGAACTCATCTGCCTTGGTTGGGTTGACAGACTGCACCAACAAAAACAAAAACAAAAACAAATATGTTAGGGCCCACGCAGATCAGTAACCCATACATGCATCACTTAGGTGGTCTCAATCATGGCTATATTAGTCAGCATATAATTTTATTTGGTTTTTCAATTCAGAGTCTGGAACTCTACAGATATATTAGTTTGCTCTATCAAGGTTTTATATCCAGTCTAGTCTAATCCAAGTCTCAGTCAAATCATGCAAATCTATCCTGCTTGCCAAACAAGGGATATGTATCTTAGTTCAACATGGATAATATTGCATAGAGTGTGAGACCAGACCTTCTCGAGTATGCGTTCAAGCCGCTGAATCTCATTCTTTGCATAATCAGCACCTTTCTTTAAAGAGTTCTCGGCAGCTTTCAAGTAGATCTTACCATATCTGAAATTTGAAAAGAAAGATAAGTTAACTTGTGAATCAGAAGGCCAACTGTAAAAACTTGGATATAAAGGACTTTCTCTTACTAGCCATTGAAAAATATAATATGGTAAGCCATCAAAAAGTAACATTTCAATATTCGTTGAAGTAATGTGCAAATATCAACTGAGCAAACTAGGTAGTGATTGTATTAACCTTGCAGCAGAACCCTCAAGCTTCCCAACTTCCTCTTCTATCTTGGAAAAGATTGTCTTCTTCTCATCATTGCCAGCTTTCACAAATTCCTTCACTAAGTCGTCCAGATTTGCAAGTACACCAGCCTACACCAAAAAAAGATCATCCATGAGAAAAGGAAAAGATTTTGATGAGGTGAACTCATGATGAAACGATGTTACTGACTTTGGAACTAAGTTGGCCTTTCCCATCTCTACTAGTGCCAGATTTCTCATTAATGAAATCTACAAAATCTTCTAAATCTCTGCCACCACCATACTCTTCACCCTCCTTGTTGTTCTTTGGAAAAAATTTCAATGTGGGAAATCCACTTACTCCGTACCTGCATAGGCAGCCTTGCATAAGGTCGGTCCATATATTCATCCTCTATAAATCTCATTGTTCTTTTTTAATGTAATTTTTACATCAAAATACTAATACAAAACAACATATAAACTCAGTAGATACTAACTCTCCTATCATAAAAATATTACTTACTTTTCAGCTAAATCCTTGTATTTGTCAGCATCAAGATTAGCAATCACTACACCTTCCTCCAACTTAAATGCTGTTGCAACCTTCTCGTAAGTCTGGATATAACATAGAATAAATAATCAAGTCAACTGTTGTTCATGCACCAGATAAAGGGTTGCAATAACAGATTTTTAAGGAGCAAAATCGCACTCACAGGAGCAAGAGATTTGCAATGTCCACACCTGCCACAAAAATAAAAGGGGTGAAAACAGATTTAGAGTTGCAATGATACCAATTAAATTCCACTATGATTTATCACAAGGACCATGGGGCTGATAATTGGTATCCTTTTCCGCCTTTTACACCAATTTAGCTTCATTGACTTAGGCACAGAAAAACAGCGTTTGCTATTAAGTATATGAAAGAAAAAATGGAGACATAATCTTACCATGGTGCATAGAACTCCACCAGCACATCTTTTGTTTCGTCCAGGACAACCTCATTGAAATTATCCTGGGTAAGGACCACAACATTGGAGGGGGCTGCAGAAATCTTCACGTTGGTCCCTGAATGCAAAGAAAAGCTTCAAGATCAACCATAAGCTTAGGATTATTACATAAATGTCTGTATATTAGAATGTAGCAAACCATCCAAGAAATATCAACAGATTTATTCAGTTCACTTAAGTTGTAAAACATTACAAGGACAAACTAATACCTCCTTCCTTATTCACAAACTCAGCAAGAGCTTCTGCAGTGCGGCCACCTTCATACCTTAAACATGTAAAATTCAATCATAAAATGTACACCAACTACGACATACAAGGATGATGAACAATATTAAACCAAGTCTGAATTCTTTTAGAGGGTTTCGTGGAAAGAGTACCCAATGAAAACTTTCTTAAATGCTTTCATGAAACTAAGCAGGGGATGGGGGAAGCTCACTCACTTTTTGGGTTCTAGGGATCCTTTCGGAAACCATTGAATTGTGGGATACCCAGAAACTCCATATTTGCCACAAACACCCTTGTGCTCATCACAGTCCACCTATTGAGAACCATCAAATGGAGTAAAACTGTTAACATATTAATCAATCACTAGTAGTCATAATAGTATCGCATATTGCCGCAAAGCACTGTCATTAATGTTTTAAAATTCAAAAATTCAAAAGCCAGTCGAAAGCTAAAAGATGAATCATTTATCACGACACCTTAAAAAGAACCCAGCAAAATTAGTAATCACAATAATCAGCTAAGACACAAATTCAATAGTAACGTAATAACACAATTATCAGACAGTCTTACAAGGATATCAGGAATGAGGAATCTACCTTTCCAATTAAAATGGATTTTGCTTTCTTAAAACTTGAGGCAAGCTTCTCATACTCTGGAGCAAGCTTTTTACAATGGCCACACCTGCAATCGAAGTAAGAAGGTTATACCAACTCCCACCACATGACCTTTTTTTTTGGGAGAGGGAGGCATCACCCAACTGAAAATAACATACTTAAAAATAAATAGCAGGAACACTTATAGTTGTTTATTTTCTAAACATAACAGTATTCTTCTATCTTCAAAGTTTTCCAGGAAAAATGGTACTAAAATCAGAAACTAAACAAGGAAGCTTTAAAAGATAATATAACGCACTACACAATCAATGATAAATTGAACGTATAATCTTCTAATTGCATAGTGAAACCTCCGCAGTTCTGAAAGCACTGGAACTAATCCATTATTCGAACCAAATAAAATGTCAGAAAATCTTAAACAAGGGTTTTTACGAGCACTTAAGCTTGCCTCAATCCATCAGCAACAATTCAAATTTTAAATATAAGAAAAATCAATCGAGCACTTAAGCTTGCATCGATCCATCAGCAACAATTCAAATTTTAAATATAAGAAAAATCAATCGAGCACTTAAGCTTGCCTCGATCCATCATTTACGTATAGATCTAGAATCATCGATCGCCTATCACAGATCTCCAATCAACCGAACTCAATATCCACCATAGCTGACATCACTTCAACGTATCTAATTTCTAGTTGGCATCCGATAAACCAAAACGGAAAACTCATCATTTTGATTTCTACACTCTGTTAAACTAGGCTCCTACTGATTTATATTCATTTCGGTCAAAAATAGCAACAAAAAGAGATCATACAAGAGCTCAGAGGCTAATTTCATAGTTTTCTGACTCAAATCTCAGGAACCAAACAAACAGATGAAAATGATAAAGTCGGAGATTACCAGGGAGCGTAGAACTCGACGAGAGCGGCCCGATCTTGACCGACGTGGTTCTCAAAGTTTTCCTCCGTAAGCACAACGACGTCGTCCGCGAAGACCGACGCGACAAAGAGCAGAGCTAGGGCTCCGAAAAAGCGAAGAAAGTCTTTGAGCTCACCATCGTTTCAAACTTTTCTACGAGTTGGTTGTTTTCCGAAGTTCTGTTTTTATACTCTGTTTTTTATTACTCGCTTTTGTTGGATTTGGCTTTTTGGCTTTTGTTTTTTTTTTTTTTTTTTTTTTTTTTTTTTTTAAAAATAAAAAAAATGATTTTCCAACGTAAACTGAAAGCTACGCCACCTAAATTTTATCGCGTCATTATTTACCCGCGATACACCTGAGCGCCAGTCGTATAGATTGTTTGTGCCTTTATGTCGTATTTCGGATTCTTATTGAATATTGAATTATGAGTTATTTTCTTTTTTGAGAAAAGTATCGTCAGTATTTATTATTATTTTTAATTTGGTTGATTTAATTAATCTTGTCATCTATATATATAAAGCAAAAGGCAGGTAATAGTGAAACATTCAAATACCAAAAAATGCCCTTGATTAATGCAAACATTAAGAATTAAAATTATTATTAAATGAGGATAATATGGTAAATTAACTTTTTTTTCATATTTAAAAAAAATAAAAAGAAAAATCAGATAATTAATCCTATTTTTATGAAACACAACTACCCATTATCTTTTTTAATTCTAAAATAAATTAAATTTTTTTTAAAAAAAAACCTCTCACAGGCTCAGAAGCTCACTAATCTTCTTATTTAGCGATCCATCTACTTTCACCTAACCCTTCATTCGTTTTGGTGAAGTATAAAAAAAATGACTTCTTCTTCTCGTCTTGGGGAATTATACCAAATGATGCCTATTATGAAGTGATTTGGTTGTTGGACTAAAATTAAACAATTCTAATTCTTTAACTTTCTTCCAGATCAAAACGCTTTTATGTTGGCCAACCCTTTAATCTTCCATTTTTATACAAATATATAAATAAATATATATTTGATCTTTAAAAAAAAAGAAAAAGAAAAGTCTAAACTATAGAGGTTGATTCTCACACACGCTACTAAAGTGCCATGAGGTTTAGGATTTAAGATTTGGTCACTGGTCTGCATGCAAGACAAAGTCTGTTTTCACTAGGCTAGACCCATTGGCATGTTTGATATTTTGTTTAATTCAAAGTAAGTAAGTTTTGTAAGGGATTTGTAATTGAAAGTAGTTAAATGTATTTATCTTTGCATTCTAACTCTTAAGTTCACTTCCCCATTTCTCTAATATCGCTTATTATACAGAGAGAAGCTATAATGAGGGTGTACAGTAGGAGGTGAGGCCTATAGTTTGGGGAGGGCAATGGGCTTGGTCAAACAAAGGTTTAATTGTAAAGGCTTATTATCACAAAACATCCCTAAGGCTTACGAAACTATCAAATTGCATTCTTAATTTTTTCTGTCACTCGTGGTCCTCAAGGTTAATATGTAATATCACAAATGGTCTCTGCCGTTAGGTTTCATAAAAAAACTCCATTAGTGTGCTGACGTGTCATATATATATATATATATATATATATATATATATACAGAGAGCTTCCATTGAGGGATCCCTCAAATAAGCTTATTTGAGGGACACTCCTTGTAGGCCCCACTATGAATTGTATTTCACTAATCCAAACCGTCTATTTTGTAGATACTCATTCAAAGATCATCTCTACAAAAAATCACTTGAATCCGATATTATTTGATCACTCAATTGAGTTATTGAAATTTTAGTACTTTCTTGAAGCACCGTGTTCATTGATTTTGTAAGACACAATTAGATGTCAAAACGATTTCCGATTTGTCTAATTTTTTGTAAGGATGATCTATGAATGAAGACCTAAAAACTATATGGTTTGGATCATTGGAAAAAAAATTGTAGGGTACCCTAAAGGGCGTCCCTCAAATAAAATTATTTGAGGGATCCCTCAATAGAAGGGGACTGTATATATATATATATATATATATATATCACAAAACATGCCTAATGTTCACGTACCTATCACAAATGGTCTCTACGAAATTTTTTAATTTTTCAATTTAAACTTCATAACATTTTGGTTTTCTTTTTTAAATTATTTATAAATAAAAAAACCATTTATAGAATTATTTTAATCTTGAGGACCATTTATGAACCCTAAACCCTTAGTTTTTTCATTTTTAAATTTTATGAATTTTAAATTATTTTTAAAAACTCCATTAATTTGTTGATGTGGCATATATATGGAGCCCACATTTACAATAATGTAGTGTCACATATATTTAAAATATAATATATATTCTTAAAATTAAAAAAAAATTTAGGGACCATTTGTGATAGGTGCATGAACCTCAGGGATATTTTGTGATATATATATATATATATATATGTCATATCAACAAACTAACAGAGTTTTTGACGGAACTTAACGGTAGGGACCATTTGTGATCACATATACTAACCTTGAGGACCACGAATGACAAAAAATAAAATAAAATTAAGGATGCAATATGATAGTTTCATAAACCTTAGAGACGTTTTGTGATAATTAGCCAATTATGAATTTAGTGCACTCAACGGGGATGTAACTAGGCCCAACCCAGCCTAACAGAAGTCAAGTATTAATTGAGCCTATAGAAACTGCCTCTTATGTGGAATATCAATTCTTAAGAATCCATGAATAGAACTTGCCTTTAAAAATTGACTTGTAAGTTGTAAGAAAAAGGTGTTCAAGAGCTCTTAAACTACTATATGATATATTTTTTTTTTTCCCAATGTGGGATCTTGAGTCCTAACACTATAAGTGTAATACAATTCATGATAAAAACAAACAAACAAAAATATAGAAACTAACATTAATTTGAATATTTTTTAAGTTTAAAGTAGGAAACACCATTTGGCTTGTTGCTCATGGGCCAAAGTGGGTAGCCTAAGGCCCGATAGGCCAAATTCGGCATGGCTTGATGTTTAGGCCCGATCGGCCCTGCCCACCCATAAATAAAATAAATAATAAATAGAACAATAAAATTGGCCCAATGGTGTAGAAAAATACTTTAGTTGTCCAATAATTGGAAATGCTTTAATTTCTATGAAGACAAAGTTTGATAAATATTGGGAAACTTTTCTCCTATGTTTTGTTTTGCTTTTATTATGGATCCTATATATAAATTACTTGCAATCGCATCTTATAATGATGTACTCCCTAACTTTATTTTTAATTTAATTGAAATAATGTAGCATGCCATATGAATTAATAAACTTTTTATTTTGTTTTACACGTTTTATGAATTAAATTACTTTTTCAATGTTGGTCTAAAAATTTGTAACAAAGGATTTAAAAGATTTGGAAAAATAAAGGCATTGCTCGTTTAGGCCCATGGTGGCCAAGCCTAAAAAATTTAAAAAGCCTATAAGGTCTAGCTTCGGTCCGTTCCAATGACGAACTTTAGTTTAAAGCCAAAAAAATATTTTATATTTTGTTATAAATCTAGAAAATGTCATTGGTTAATTCAAATATTAAGAATTGAAATTATTAATTAAATGAGGATAATATGATAAATTCACAATTTTTCATATTAAAATTAAAAACAAAATCAGATAATAAGTCATACTTTTATGGAACATGACTACCCATGTTATATTTTCTTAATTCTAAAAATAAAAGAAAAAAGAAAAAAGAAGACCAGTTGGCACATGCATAGGGGCTAGTATATAGAATGTGGATGAATTGAATATATTTTTTCGGCTGATGTGGTACAATTTGTAGTAAAGGTTGAGAATTGTTAAACTTAAGGGTAAAGATATTTCGCATGCCCAACTTGACAACGAGTCATAGAACACTATACTTAAGAAGCACCAATTGTAGAGAAGGTCTTTTCGTCAACCACGATTGAAACAAGTGGCAAACTAAAGTAAAGTTCGCAGCGGAAACACAATAGCAAATCCTAAAAATAAGGCACATGACAGAACACATAAACCCTATGAGCACAGCAATAGGTAAGGCAGAATACATAAACTATGTGAGAACGGCAGTAGATAAGGCAGAACACAGAAACCCTGTGAGCACGGCAGTAGGTAAGGCAGAACACAGAAACCCTGTGAGTACGATAATAGATAAGGTAGAACATAGAAACCCTGTGAAGTGAAGGAGAATTCCTCCATATCTTCTTGACGTAATTCACACATACACAACTTCTCTTCACTCCCCTTCTCTCCTTGAAGAGAATGGGTTGTCAGAGTTAAGAAATGAGCAATATCTTCATGTGAATGAGAAATAGATCTTTTTCACTCACCATCCCCCCTTAGGGGGGAGGAGAGCACTTAAATTACAAGGAGAACGCAAGAACATGTCACACAAAAACCTGATTCTGATATCAAGTCAAACAAAGTATGGCAAATATTCAAGTATGCTCATATATGATCATATTATACAAGTACATAGAAGGGCAAAGTTGCTGATACTGGGAGAGAGGCCTTCCCATTGAAACGGAGAGGAAAACTAAAAACACACGAAAAATCAACTTACTTGAAAACATTTGCATTAAACCCATCGTCAATCTTGTACTTCAAAATGGAGTCCGGTGGAATGTTGTATGAGTTTACTTTCCAGTCATCATCGTCAAGAGGGACTCCATTGAAGAAAAGATGAAAATGGTTGGACGGTATAGAGACTCCTTCTTCAAGTTTCTTTTTCAACTGTGAAATGCTGTCACTCATAAGAACCTCTATCCTATAGTTTCTGGGATTTTCCATTTGGAAATTCAAGAACACGGGGGAGGGCTACTATGCTGTTTATTTTTGCTAGTGTGCAAAGAACTGAAAGTTCGACAGTGCGCTACTATGCTGTTTATTTTTGCTAGTGTGTTAGTTGTTCTGGGCTTTAGAAGCCTGTTTTTATAGACCTGGTAGCCCAACAAAAAATATGACGTCATTTTATTTGAAAGTTCGACAGTGCGCTACTATGCTGTTTATTTTTGCTAGTGTGTTAATTGTTCTGGGCTTTAGAAGCTTGTTTTTATAGACCTGGTAGCCCAACAAAAAATATGACGTCATTTTATTAAACCGCGAAGAAAAACAGAATTTGGTGGGGGCGTTGCGAGAATCGAACTCACGACCTCTCGCACCCGAAGCGAGAATCATACCACTAGACCAAACGCCCGATTTGGTATTATCCCTGGAATTTATTGTTTTATTTTTAAAGAAAATTTATACTCGATTTGATTAATTTGAACTCGTATATGTCACGCCTTTTGTAGCTTCTTCTTCCCCCTTTTCTTCAGAGCGCAGGGGATTCGATATTCTGCTAATTAGCCCCTCTCTCCAATCTCCACCTTTCCCGAGTTTCTGAAATTTCAATTGCATCCTTGAGGGTTGAACTGTAATTTAGCTCGAAGATTGAATTGGGCAGGCATGGCTAACACCAGCAATAATGTAAGTTCAATTTTCCAAAACCCTCACTTTCGGTCACTCAGAATTAATCAATGGAATAGTTAGCTTAGTTCTTGATTTCAGAATTAGAAACTGCATGAAAAAAGTTTTAATCTTGAAGTAAATTTTATTAATTTACTTTATTTTGGTATAGGCCGCTGGAGTAGATAATACTTTCAGAAGGAAATTCGATCGAGAAGAGTTCTTGGAGCGAGCTCGTGAGCGTGAAAGACAGGTTTGTGCCTTGAAAAGTCTCGTGCTTCTTGTTTTTTTTGTAAATTTGTAATATGCTTTTTGTTAATATGGGTGTTTTGCATTGTGCTTTAGGAGGAGGAGGGGCCGCATAAATCCAAATGTGGGTTTGTTTAGTCTTCTATCTTGGTCTCTTTGCACTCTTCAAGTTGTTATCTTTAGTATAAACTGAAATTATTATTTATTTTTGCTGTGTAGCTAAAGGCCCGCCGGTGCAAAGGAAGCCATTGAAGCACAGAGATTATGAAGTAGATCTCGAGTCTCGCTTGGGGAAAACACAGGTTAACATTTTATTGTTCGGATTGCATAGTTGTATATGGATGTATTTTTCCTTGTTGCTGTTTAGTTTGTTTATCTTTTATCTGGTTTCCTGAAAAGAAATGAGATTTTTCATTTCTTTTATCTTCAGTTGAGTTGCTTCAGACCCATGCTGTTTTGCCCCTTGATGAATCATTTTATTCTGAAGTTCCTGTATAGGATCTTTTATTGGATATTTGTTCCTTGCAGCTCTGATACTTGCCAATAATTATTACGAGTTTCTCATCACTTTTGTATCTTTAACTTATTTATAAATATTTCGTTGTATGTTTTTGCAGGTTGTTACTCCAATAGCACCTTTAAGCCAGCAGGTAAATTTGAATATCCCTAACTGAATTTTACGATTTGCATCTCATTGATGTTCTACTTTACTGTGTTCATGAATGTGCTTTTGTTTCTTCCCTTTCTTTATTCAGACTGTTGTATAATTACTTTAGTTTTGCGTTATCTATATGTTTACTTTTATGAGTAATGCTATCATTCAAGATGCTTCACATTCTGTGTGAAGGGTGAATATTTAAGGAACTTTATGTATGAAAAATGAATCCATGCATTGTGTTCCTAACTCGGTACTTAGCTTACTTCGGATAGCCAAATTATTGCTGCCAGTTTATTTTAATTTGATGCCATGGCCAATACTTACAACTGCATCATACTGTGTTAACCCAATTTGACTATGCTCACCAAAGGCTTTTTATTTCTTATCTCTCTTTCTCTCTCTCCCCCCTCCCCTCCTCTTTAAAGTGTATCCTCTCGTTAGTCAGCATGATGGCAGTGGCTACAGATAGGTGGCTGTGTAACTTTCCTACTGAATCCTTATCTAGCATGTGAAGCCAAGATTTGGGTGCAATGATTAATCATCAATTACAAACTACTGCTCACCTTTCTAACATTCTATCGTAATAAATTTCATTATCTGAAAAATACATTAATGTTATAATACTTGCGCTGTATGGTTATGGTATTTTTTTAGTTGATCTGATATGAGTTGTTATTCTCTAGTCTTGTTATTTCAACATTTTGTTTCCCCTGGTACTTTGTGATTAATTCAGTTCATTTTCAGGCTGGATACTTCTGTTCAGTTTGTGAGTGTGTTGTAAAAGATTCTGCAAACTACTTGGATCATATCAATGGCAAGAAACGTAAGTAATGTCCATCGACATGGTTATCATGTGAATTCATTTATGAATATGTTTCTTTTGTCATTATGATTATTTCCTTTTGGTCGTATTATCTTTTGAATGTTATTTTCTTTGTTCTAGATCAAAGAGCTTTGGGTATGTCTATGCGGGTAGAGCGGGCATCTCTCCAACAGGTAGAATATGAGAAATATCTTTTTATTGGTGATCAAAATGAAAGTTCTTTGTGAAAATCTTTTTCATGGGAATATCAGAGTTAAGCCTTGAATTCATGCAGGTTCAGGAGCGATTTGAAAAGCTCAAGAAGCGGAAAACTGATGGCACTTTCACAGAGCAAGGTAAGACATTAAAAGAGTGAGAAGTGAATCAATCCTTTAGAGATTTAGATCACTTATTTCACATGTAATGTTCATATTATTCTGGTGAGTAAAAAAAAATGATCTCTCTCCCTTCCCTCGTAGATCTTGATGAGCGGATCTTGAAGCAGCAGCAAGAAGAGGAGGAGCGGAAGCGCCAGCGTCGAGAAAGGAAGAAAGAGAAGAAGGTTGGTAGAATTGATACTCTTAATACTAACGTTTGTGAGGCAAAGTTGGAGCGTTGGATATCTTTGTTGAATTTTGTTGTGTTAATTTACATACTATTTTGCAGTTTCTTATTTTATATTTTCTTTTTGAATAATTCTTCTGAATCTTCTTTCCTGGCTTCAGAAAGAGAAGGTAGTAGAAGAGGAAACTGAAATGGATCCTGACGTTGCAGCTATGATGGGATTTGGTGGATTCGGTTCAACCAAGAAGTGATCATCTCATGCCAATTCAATTTTTGCAGCCTCTTTTTGAATCTAAGTGGTTGTTTACATTTCAAATTATGTTCTTTAGTTAAGCGCAGCACTGTACGAACCACTCAAATATTTAGGTATTCGGGCTTGTACAAAATGTAAGTTCGTAAGTTTTCAAGATGTTACATACGGAATTAGGGAAAAGGGAATAGTTGCTCAAGATTCATAATACATCTGGGTTTCATTCATTTTTGTTTTTTTAATTTTAATCTTTTTAATGTTGCATGGTTATTGTAGTTGTTTTTCAAGTCTTTTCCCTGAAACATAAAAATAAAAAGAAACAGCAACCAAAAACTACTTGTAAACTAGAACATGCATGAGCTTTCATCTGTAGAGATAATCTGTATATCTATCTGTTCATGTGGTACATTAAACCCACATAAATGTATGGTGTGGTTTCAACTTCAAATGTGGTACTTGGTACATTCAGTGTAAGATGATGAGAGAGCACCCAGTAACAATTAAGAAAGTGAAAAAGCTGCAAAAATTTGGCAGCTTCTGTGCATTGCTCGTTTCACCTTGTGCATACTCACCAAAAGGTCCAAAACCGTTGAACTTTCCTACACCATGCAGATATATATAAATCCATATCAGTTTCCGATTTATCATTTGCTATGCATTTAATAAATGTTCGTGTATTATTTATTTGTTACCTCTTTGGCTGGTGTAGCTGCAACCAGCACGCAGTGCACCTCTAATATCTGGTAGTGTTGCCCTATTATTGAAAACGAAGCCTGATAACATGTGATCAACGCAATTTAGCACTTGCTGTGTCTCAGCCAGACATGGTCCATGGCAAAACAGATCAGTTGCTTTAGGAGGGACATTGAAGTTCCCACTCTCATTCAATCTGTACGCTTCATCACAACCGGCATATATCTGATTGAAAAACGAAAGAAAAATTGATCAGAAAAAAAATAAATTTGAGGACCTGATGTTCCTGTAAACAATAACTGAATCTTGCTTCAAACAAGATATTAAAAAACGAACTGGCTAACATGGTTGTTGGTTTACACTCACAAACTTATTGTTGAAGCATGCTAAGGCTGTCACAAACGTTTGCGCCGGGTTCTCCTCTGCATATCCTGCTACATATCCAGACAAACATAAGAACACGATCAGATTCAGGTATGAACAGAAAAGAAAACGTACAAGGGTGTTACGAACATGAAGTATAACCTGAGTAGCAGCAAGAGACAGCGATGAGAGCAAGAGTGAAACAGAGGAACTTGTATGTTGGGAGGGCAATAAAAGCCATTGTAGGAGTTGTGAGCAGATGGAAAATTGGATGCGTACCTACTTTTAGTATGGTAATGTGAGTTCTACTGTGGTGTTCAGATGGTTTTATCTTTTAATAAGGCATGAGAGGTCACCCTGGCTACTTGGTAAACCGAAAGGAGAGATTGGTCTGGTGGTTTGAGATAGTTCTAGCAAAAAAATGGTTCGGAACAAAGGGACTTAGATGAGTGAATTTGGTAAGCAAGCCACCAACTTTGTACTTGTTTTTTGGGTATTTCCATTTTGAGTGTAAGAACTGAGAAATATATTATGTCATTCACTAAATAAATAATTAATTTCGATTAATATTTAAAGAAAATACTCATTGCTTGATGTGAATACATGCAAGCCAGCAGCAAGTGCCTCCCCTTCTAGTAAAAGGTTAGTTGAAGGAATCTTTAATTGGATCCACCAATTGGGCTCAATGGGCTTGGAGAGAAAAGAAAAGACTTTTGATGTAGCTTCTTGACCATGCGCGTTCATTTTTTATTTATTTTTTTATACAAACGATATAGGAGGTTTTCTCACACACATTGTCAAGGTACCATGTGTGAACATGAAGTCTGCAAGCCAAGGCCCTTTCCACCGGGCTTAGAGTCTTTCTTCATTCATACCGACTGCGACAGTGATTAAAAGAAAATAAGGTGCCTTGTGTGAAAATCGGACCACAAATCATCAACTTCTTCTGCTCATCATAACATGGACGGGTATATGTTTTGTCATTTAATGGAAAACAAAAAAAAAGACAAAATATCTCTAGCAATAAAATCTCGAAAATTGGAAATAACAAATAAGGGTGAGAAGCCTAGTCTTTACTTTGTGGTGCTCCCTACTTAATGTATTGAGAAAGCCACTTGAAGCCATCACCATAACCCATTTTGCGAACAATGCTGCACATGAAAACCTCGAGGGGGCGGACATTTGAGTCTGTCAAGTTTACTTTACCCTTGCCTGTGGTGAAGTTGTTCAGGCCGAGGTGGAATCGCAATTCTTCTTCTGAGGCAGCATATGGTATGTCAATCTTGTTTCCCAGAATAAGGAATGGAACATTGGCCAACCCCTCATCAGAGAGAAGAGCATCCAGCTCTTTTTTCGACTCGGCAAATCTTTCCTTGTCGTAAGCATCTACTAGGTAAACCACTGCATCCACCTTTGCAGAACAAAGACAAAATGGATTTACCAAGGATGAACATAAAGAGAACATAATATTAAGCAGCAAGGCAAAACCAGCATAACTTGAAATAAACCGTCAAATACTTATTAGCAGAAATACCATTCTTTCTTAGACAACAAGTCAAATCCCAAAAATCTGTCCAATTAAAGGTTCCAAAAGATGGTCAAGTACATAACAATCAGATATCCTCTGCGAATGACCTGTTTCAGAGCCGTTACATCTATGCTCTAACAACTTAGAAACAGATCCTTCGATGCATCTAAGTCATTCATATTCCAATGGCTCAAAAACTTAGCTCTATCTGAGGACCTTATTCGAGAATAACCGTTATATAACATAACTAACTACATCTTCCAGGTTCTACTATGCACTCTTTCCTTAAAAAATAGAATCCTTAAATGGGTCAAAAAGAAACAAGGTGATTTCGAAACATAGTCATCGAGGACAAAGGTCCCACTTCTGATAAGAAATCTGTTTGTAGTTAACCAGTTATTAATCCAGATAAAGAAAATTGCAAATTAAGGATGTATGGTAAGGTACTATTAGCATACCTTCTAAAGACAGAAGGTGCTATCAGCGAACTACCATTACTTATATCTGCCTCCCATGAATCAGATAAACACTAAAAACTTTTATCTGGGATTATGGAGGCACAAACATCCCCAGACTTAACCCCATGCACTCAGGGACCTTGAATCTTTCCTTCAGAAATCACTATTGCCAAATACAAGAACAAAGCTTCTCATTGAGCATGCTAAAGCTCAAACGGTTCATATATGCAAAAACCAGTTGCCATATAACAGGTATATCAATGTAACCTCTTACATTATATCATCAACAATACCTTGGCATAGTAATCTTTCCAAACTCTGCGAGCAATCTGATGTCCACCCAAATCAAAAGCCTTGAACTTGATTTTCCCAATGCTTAACTCTTCTGATGTCGGATACTGCGTCGGCTGGTGTTGAACTAATCTCTGCAATAATCCATCACCACCAAGACCCAGAATTAGAAAATAAAATTCCATCCTAATTATCACAAAAATATCAAAGCAAGTGACAAGAGTAAATTTGTTTCTTCCTTTTTTTTTCATTTTTTTTTCATACAAAAGTATTACAATTTGAGTCAGTCAATACTGTCTTAAACTACTTCATCATTCAATAATTTTCAGTGTAGGCTCTGATCCTACACAAAATCATAGGAATTACAGATAATCATAAAAAAGTTCAGGTCAAGCTCAAATCCTTTCTTCAATTCTATAAGAATTAACAACTATACTCTCAAAACTATTAACTTGGTCAATCTTTTCGTTTCCTTCACTTTCCGAGCAATCAAAAAGACCCCGCATTGATTAAAAGCAAATAAAGAATAAAAATTTCAATTGAAATCGAAATACCAATAATTCCAAAAGACCATCGAAGCATTGAAAAATCATAACCTTCACCGCATTCAAAAGCACCAAAAACCCAAAAACATTCGTACACGAATTTATGAAGGGAATAGAAACGAAAGAAAAACCTCATCTTTGAGCATATGAAGTAACGTGGTTTTGCCAGCATTGTCGAGACCCAAAAACAAGATCTTGGCCTCCTTCTGCCACAAGCCGAGCGATGCAAGAATCCCATAGAACCAATCGAACAAGAACATTGTATTTCACCCCAAAAATTGTCAGATCGAAAGCCACCCCAAAATCAGGGAGACAGAGAAATCTATCTCTGTGATGTTGTAGCAATCTATATGTTCTTTTCTTTAATCTGATGTAGTATTTATGTGGAAGTCTTACTGGGTTTTTTAAAATGACCAAGCGAACGGCTGAGGATGAGGTTCTGACGCAATTGGGCAATTTTGCACCGTCAGATATGAAATTACGAACAGCTGAGATCTGATTTTTTATTTATTTTAATTTTCAATTTTAGCTATGTTGGTCGGTGGGGATTGTTTTTCTGTTTTATGGCAATTTTATCCTTTTTGGAAACTTGGAGGCTAGAAAAAGCAAAATTTGGCAAGTACTTTTCAGTTTAGCAATATCTATGATACTGAGCTTCACAGATTGGGTTGCATTTGTAGCTTTTTTCTTTTTTTCAGAAGGATGTGTCTTGATTCACGGTATATTTTATGAGCTAGATGAACTTTCAAAGCTTACTCCATTTCTCACTTGAAACGTATTTAGGAGAAATTCGGATCACAAGATTAAAACCTCTATATTTTGGTACTACTCAAGGCATGTTTACGTATCAGTAATGGAGAAAGTAAGGAATCAGAGAATTTAGGAATCGGGGAACTACTGAATAAATATGAGAATAATCATTTTCATTAATTTTTTTACTAAACATATGGAATTAGTAAAGGAATGAGATTGATTCCTATTGTTATTGTTTACTAATTTGCATGAATCAGAATCCAAATTAATTTGATTACTAAAATGTCCTACACATTTTCACCACAGCACATATATAATTCTTAAATTGACTAACAAGACCAAACTAATCCTACAGCAAACTAGTAAGGCGGTGTAAACATGAGGAATCAATATGATGAACAATATGAACAACATGAGCTTAGTTCAATGATATAATGTTAATAACACCTTTGTCCATAGCCAATTTCAAACGAAAAAGTAAACTCCAATAAATATATATCTTTCACCTATGTAACTAGTAAACAATCAAATAATAATAACCATGCATAATCTTCATACTACCAAAAAAGAGATATATAATCTCCACAAAAGTCTTTATCCATGACCGTACTTTGTTTTGTGATGAATGTGAAGACAGAAGATAGAAGAAGAATAAGAAGAAGATAGATAGATAAAATGACTTTCATAGCACAAGGCGTTGCTGCTGCTTCTGGAGTAAACGCAAGGGAAGTCAAGAATGGAAATCATTCTCTTTCCTCCCATACCCATTACTGATATGTAAACATGCCCTCAACCTCATTCGTAATTCCATGTTGGTGAGTGTGATGGCGTATACGGCATGTGCACAAAAGAACTGTTCTTCATCTAGAGTCGTCATGAAAAATGGTTCTCTTGCAATGTTAAAATATAAGACACTTCTTACAAGAGACATATATTTTATATGAAGTGACGCGAAGTGTCTAACAAGAAAAGAAGGAGCAAATATTCATAAGTTACAAGTTTAGGCCATGCTCTTTTTTTTTCTTGAGTGTAATTTTAATTTGTTAAACCGTTATCTATATATATAAAGCAAAAGGCAGAGAATGGTAAAACATTCAAAATACCAGAAAATGCCATTGGTTAATTCAAATATTAAGAATTGAAATTATTAATTAAATGAGGATAATATGGTAAATTCACATTTTTTCATATTAAAAAAAATTAAAATTAAAAACAAAATTATATGATAGGTCATATTTTTATGGAACATAACTACTCATGTTATCTTTTCTTAATTCTAAAAATAAAATAAAAATGAAAAGGAAAACCAATTGGCACATACGTGAACGTGTGTCAAGGGACTAGTTATATGTAAGCAGCATATATACATTAAAAAGTAGATGCCATTTTGTTGTTTTTTATTATTAGGGTTTAGGGAATCTGTGGCCACATGTGGAGCCTCTGCCTAACATACACTAGTTAGGGTTCCATGATTCCATATCATCTTTAGAGGCACCTTGCAATGCAGATTATGCGAGTTCCCATTAACAAGACTTGTCATTTTTTTCTTCTTCTAATTTTAGTTAACATTCCTTTCTTGTTCTAGACTCTGAACATTCTTCACCTTTAACTTGGTCTTTTCTTGTGTGCACACCTCAACTTTCATACTGCACATAGTCTCTCTGCCCTCTTCTTTTTACATCCATTGGGTACAATATTCTACAATCAACATATTTAATCATCCCATCATTGAAGAGACAGATGCAGACTTCTAGCTTCCTGCTGTAATTGACAACTGGGGATTCACTAATGGAATACAATATCTTAAGCACAATTTCTCATTTTAAAAAAGCGATATTGAGGAAAAAAGGATATGAACGCATGAAATTGTATGAAATCACATGACAGCGTAATTTCGAACACATAGAAACTAGTAAATTCAAAAGTTGTTACACTCATGTGTATGAATTTACAACTCAACTTAGGGTTATGATATAATCATTGTGTTTTATTAATTTGTTAAATGTAACTTCTGTCATTGAAAAAAGTATACAAATTTTAAAATCAAGCACAGAATCTTTCATTATGTTGGGTACTTTCTTTGGTAATTTTTTTTTTAAAAAAAAGAAAAAGAAAAAAAAGCGGACTGGTTTTGGATCAAAATTTGACCTTAGTGTCAAGTAAAGCAGATATTATATTGATAGCTGGAAGCTTATCTTATCTCAAGAAGTCAGATAATCTTCAAAGAAGACAAATAAAACAGGCCCACAGTCTTCAAAACCACTAACCCAAAGAGCCCAAACCCACAAACCGCCAACAGGAAACATTGCATACTGCAACCAGCCAGTTTCATTTCCATTTTCCCACCCACCGTTTTACTATAAATACCCACTGCACCTCCTTTGTCTTTCAACTCTCTCTCCAAAAAACCACTTCCAAAAGACACACAAACAAACTGGTTTTCAACCGTCCGATCACTTACTAATGGCTGACGTGGCAGAAAGCGAGCGGAGGATCCTCGTGGCCGTCGATGAAGGAGAGGAGAGCATGCATGCTCTCTCTTGGTGCCTCAAGAACGTTGTTTCTCAGAATTCCAAAGATACCCTTATCCTACTCTACGCCAAGCCTCCGAGAGCAGTGTACACGGCTCTAGATGGCACAGGTAGGAGAGAGGATCCATCAGGTATTTTGTCGCGAGTTTTGAGGTTATTTTGGGAATAGGAAGAGATTCAGTGGTGTTTTTGGGTAATTTTGTTTGTGATCCAGGGTATTTGTTTTCCTCGGATATTTTGGCGGCGATGGAGAAGTACGGCGCTGAGGTGGCGGCCTGCGTGCTCGAGAAGGCCAAGAAGATGTGCAAAGACCTTCAGCAGGATGTGAGTGTCTCACACGATTTTGATTTCTGAAGGGTAAAATGGTCATTTAGATTTTGGAATTTTGATTTGGCGATTGTACCCCTCTGGGCCAGGTTAAGGTGGAGGCGCGAGTAGAGAATGGTGATCCGAGGGATGTGATTTGCCAGATGGCCGAGCAGCTTGGTGCTGACGTGTTGGTCATGGGAAGCCATGGCTATGGTCTCATCAAAAGGTGGGTCCCATTTTATTACAGAACAAATATGCAGGAAATTTTTTTTTAAAAAAAAGGGATAATGTAAATTTATTAAAAAAATTGTGCTATTTGCAGGGCATTCCTCGGGAGTGTGAGCAACCACTGTGCGCAGAATGTGAAGTGTCCTGTGTTGATTGTGAAGAAGCCAAAAACAAATGCTGGCACCAAATGACTTTGTTATCCTCTGCTCTTTTCTTTTTGCCTCTATATTTTTGTTTTGGTGGTGAATTTTTCTCTGTATTTTTTCTTTCGGTATGCGACTCGTGCTGTAACTATTTATATTTAAATTGAGGATTGAGCTAAGCAGTGAGAATTTTATGGTATAAGAGCCTACGGAATAAATCATCAACGTTTTCTTTGATCTCTTCATTATTGTCATTGGCAGAAATGTATCAAACTGTGCAAAAATTAATTTGTGAAAAGCATAAAAAGAAAAACTTAATAGGAATTAAAAATACAAAAAGAAAAATTAATACATATATCATATTTAATACATATGTCAATTGGCAGCAATAGGGAAACCTATTTAAGATATTTATGAAAAGTAATTACAAGGGAATGAAAGGAACGTAGGAAAGCCGATTTAAGAAAAGTAGTTACAGGGGAATGAAATGAGTTACAAGAGAAAGGAGGGATTTCTTTGCAAAATAAAAAGAGGATACTTCAGAATATTTTGACTTTCTAGCAAAGCCGTGTAGTAATATAAAATATAAAATATTCCAATCCTTAAATCAACAGGAAACCACAACCCCTATAAATATTTGGGTGCACGCTTACGTCTTCCACACAGACTCAGTCCTACACATACCATCCCAATCGCTTCTCAATTCACTTCCATTAATCAATCTCTGCAATGGCTTTCACCACAAGAAAAGTTTTTCAGGTAGGCGATGAGGTAGAAGTGTGCAGCAAGCAAGACGGGTTTCACGGTTCGTATTATGAAGGAATAGTAATTGAAAACTTGGGGGACAAGTATAAGGTGAAGTACAAGAACCTGGTGGAGGAGGATGATATGTCCACCGCTCTGGAAGAGCTAGCGGAGGTGGACGAGGTCCGGCCTCTGTGTCCTAAAGTTTGGCCTGACTTTTTTCCCGGCGAGAGGGTTGATGCGTTCGCCAACGACGGTTGGTGGGCGGGCATCATTACTAGGAAGAGTGGAGACGACTGGTTTGTCTACTTTCCAAGCACTTTTGAGCACATAGCTTACCCTAAGAAGCATATCAGGCTTCATCTGGAGAGCCGCCGCAACGGATGGGTTTCTCGCAATGGACGGGTCTTCTCTTGCCAGGGAAAGCCGCTGTCTTGCCAGAAGAGACTGAGTATTGTGATGGGAGGATCATCATCGACATCTGTTAAAGCTCGACTTGTTTAATTACTTCATGTGTAAACGTTTTTGGTGGTTTTTTTTTGTTTGGATTTCTTGGTAAGTTGTGTTGTGATTGGTTGGATGATTTCATTAATATTTTATGAATGCATCTCTCATTGTTTTTTAGTCTTTTTCATTGATTAATTTTTGTTTATTTATTATCTTCTAACAAACCTAAACCCTACATTGGTGTCCAGTTTCAGCAATCTTCTCCCAAGATTGTAGACTTCACCGAGGCCAACAACGTTGTCATCAAGAACCATCACTTTTTCTTTTCTTTTTTCCTTCTCTGCAATTTGAACTGCAGCCAATTCATGGGTTAATAATAATTTAATTTAAAATTAAGGAAGAGATAATGAGTGTAGTTGCGTCCTATAACATGTTCTCATTTTGTTTGTTTGTTTTTTTATTTTATAAATTTAAATTTTAATATAAAAATCTTATTAATTTAATACATTACCCTTAATTAATGAAAATATTTATTTCTTAATAATTTATTTAATTGAGGTTATTTTTTGGTATTTAAAATGCTTTGCCATTTTTCTTCAGCTTTGGTTTTCAGTAGTAGTAATGTCTGAGCAGTCAAGTCGATGAATTATAGAGAATCCTGACATGAGACAAAAAACCAATTTCACACAAATTAAAGTGTATAAAACCAAGGGCCCATTTGATAACCATTTCATTTTTCATTTTTCAAAAAACTAAAAACTTAAACTTGTTTGGTAACTAATTTTATTTTTCAAAACAACTGAAAAGTGAACAAAAGTTGTTTGGTAACTGATTTTGGTTTTTAATTTTACGTGGAACTTGGAAATGGAATTTTTTTGTTATGTTTGTGTCAAATTGTGAATTTGAGATCATAAAATAAAAATGCATGTTACAAAGAGTTCGTAGTATTTTTGGGTGAATTTTGAATCTGGAGGTGCCGATGTTTGGGTATGGGTCCAAGTCAACAGGTCCCAAATACCAAGTTTTAGTAACTGGAGTGCATTTCATGTGTGTTTATTTAAAATTAATGAATGAAAAGAGAGTAATTAATAAATAGCGGACAAAGTTAACATTAGAGTTACAAAAAGTAGAAAAGAGAGAAATTAAAAGGTAAGAGAGAGAGAGAGAGATTTTCATCATTGTGCTGTAGGAAGGAAGTCCGAAGTTAAATATGTTTTATTAGGTAGGTGTTAATAAAATAAGAAGAGTTGGGCCGAAATAAATATATATTAGGGTGGGCTTAATATTTACAATTGGGATAAATAAATTTAATTTAGTAAATAAATAGGAAACCCCAAATCCTAAACAGAATAGGAAAGCCAAAATCCCTAACCGATCAGGAAATCCAACCCAACCTCTATATATTGCGACCCTCACACATACTCTCCTCATACCATTTCACAAGAGCAACTCTCATCTCATTCTCATTCATTCTCCAAAACATCTCCCAAATGGGTTTCCCTGGAGCAAAGGCTTTTAAACAAGGCAAGAGGGTCGAAGTTTGCAGCAGAGAAGACGGGTTTCAGGGCTCCTACTATGGAGCAACCATACTGCAAAACATGGGGGACAACAAGTACAAGGTGAAGTACAACCGCCTGGTATGCGAGGAAGACCACTCCATACCTCTGGAAGAGGTGGTCGATGGGGATGAGATACGGCCTCTGCCTCCTCTGCCTCCGTCCAAGAAAACGAAAGCCGGGTTCGCTGACGGGGACAGGGTTGATGCGTTTGACAACGACGGCTGGTGGTCTGGAATCATTACTGGGAAGGTCGGGTGCTACTTTGGCGTCTACTTTGAGACTGGGCATCATATTGGTTACCCTGAGAGAATGCTCAGGCATCACATGGATTGGCGCAATGGAGAATGGTTCTTCTACCACTAGCTGCTGCTGCTGCTGCTTCATGAATTTAATTAGAAACTAAATCCACGTTTTGTTATGATTTCTTGTTCTCTAGGGTAATTTGTGAATTTAGAAACTAAATTATCGTTGAATGTAATTTCATCAACTTGGTGACTTATCATATATTTGAAACTTGGTAAATATATTTGATGTTGGTAAAAACAAATCACATTTGAAGCGAACAAGTAATTAGCGTTTGAGGGAGTGTTCAGCAATCTTCTCCCAAGATCGTTGAGTTCTGTCCTTGTTACATTTGTACAATGCAAACCGAGTTACGGTGAAAGTGAGGCCAACCAGGCCGTCATCCAGAGCCATCGCTCTATCTTTTGCTTTTTCCTTCTCTTCATCTGTCAACTCCCCATAGAGGAGGCTAAAGTGGGGCATACTGGCTGCACTTCAAAATTCAATTAATCCATACAATAATCATGGTTATTAATAATTAATCTCCATTGATGTCGTCTAAATTAGTGCTCACCAAACCCATTACAAGAATTTGATTATATGAAATGGGTAATCTAAACAAAATCCTTTGGTTGTTTGTTCATGGCATATAATTATCAAATTCAATTAGCTTACAGTTAGTATTGAGTAATAACATTTTTTTAAATACAAGCGATATTAGAGAAAGGGGAATCGAACTTAGGACCAGATGTACATGGGTAAATACTCTTTAACTTTAGTAGATCAATATCTATCAATAGGAAGAAAAAAAAACCCTAGATTCTGAAGAATAACTCAGTGTCAACAAATATATATAATACGAGTGTATTAATATATTGATCTCTTACTTACCCAATTGGTCGAAATGGTCAGTGAAATTTCTTGTTGGATAAGTTACCTGAGAAATTAAACAGAAAATAACTAGATATGTTCGCATAAATTTTTTTAAATTTTAAATTAAACATGTAAATTCAATTTGCACGAAAATATATTTATTTTTAAAAAAAATACCTCATCCGGATGAATGAAGAGGTAAACATTTTGGTAATAGAATGGACCGGGGAGCACGTCCACAACTGTACATGCGAAGCAAGAGCTTTGCTCACAGGCCTCTTTGAAAATTCTGATGACGTCGTCTTCCCTGGAGCGGATGGACCCCAGAACGGGGAAGTGGGGCGTGATCTCGGGCCCACCGAATTCGTCGCGGAGGCCTTCCATCACCTTCTTGATCCTGTTCGAGACGTGATCCGGTATGACGGCCCACGCCGCATACGTGCGCACCTTCTGTCCAACTGGGTTTGGCATTGAAGAAATTGTTATGGTTGGTTGGGTTCTGAGTTTTCCATGAGAAAATGGAATGAGTGAATGGAGAAGATTGATGAAAAGGAGTATTTGAACCCCCAACAATTTTCTTTCACTACCAATAATATTTTTTATCCCCATTTTACCCCTGAACCCCTTGCTTATAGGGGAGATGTTTGAAATGGTCTGTTTTAATGAGTCATTAAGGGCATGTTGGGTATTCAACTTGAATCCTACTTTTTAAATTCAAAAACATAATTTGAGTTCAAAATAAAAAAAACTTGTTTGGTAACCATATTTTTAAAAACTCAAACTCAAGAACAACTAAAAAAACCCCAATTATTAAAAACAAAAAATAAAGATTTTTTCAATTTTTTTTTTCTAACAACCCACAAGTTCTCAAATTTTTAAGATTTGAAAACAGTTTTCAAGTTGCATACCAAACAAGTTTTTGAATATTAAAAATAGATTTAAGAACTCCTTGTTTTTAAGAAAAATCAAAATTTTTGAGTTCCCTATTTGAATAGGATATCAAATTTGAACAAAGTTTATCTCCACCAATGTAGACAGAGATTCGAACCCCAATGAATATTGGGTAAACTCCTCTCCTCCAATCACTTGTACTCGAAGAAAATAAAAATAAAAATCCCACGTAACTTTATTACAATCTCAAGACAAATGTGCCAAAAGAAGGGTGAAATAAAAAAATGGAACATGTATTTTTATAAAGCCGAATAAAATCTTCGAACATAAGGGCAATTTCATATGGAAAATGATGAAAGAGTTAGGCAAAGAGGGACATATTGAACATCAAAATCTTGGAGGATTCATTCATGAGTAGCATAAAAGTGGAAAAGCATCCCCGACCCAAGTTTTTGATTTGAGTAGCATAAAACAAAAGTGTACTTCCAACTTCAGTGGTAAATGCTTTTTAGCTGCACCTACAAATTAAAGCAAATTAAATAGTTTTGGTTCATCTCAAGATCGTTAATCTTAATTGTTCAACTTTGCAGACAAAGTATCTGCAATTGTGAACCCCAGCAAAGCGTCCAGTTTGTTCCGTTAATTGAGACACCAAATTCATTCATGCTATTAAGTGAAAATCACATTTATTGATATATAGATGTTCACCTAATTAGATTCGTCTAATTTCTATTGGAAAAGTGAGTAAATATATATTACAACCAGTAAGTTTCTTATACATTGTTGGTTCATTATCTCACAACTTAAGTTTGTGAGATTAATGATTGTATGATCGGCCGATTATAACACCTTAAATTCTTAAAATTAGTGGTTTGTACCAATTTAAGAATTTAAGGTGTTATAACACATTGTTGGTCCATTATCTCACATTCTCTCTCCTCATCACTTATCAAATGTGAGAAAGATAGAAAGAAAAGGATAATGCAACAGGGATAACACTGTTTTATTATTCCCTATCAATCACGCTATGTTATGCGTGATAATTTTTCCACTTGACGTAGCGTGATTAGTTAAAAATAGCAAAACAATGGTATCTCCTTTTCATACAAGTTTTTATGCTCCCAAGACGTCCATTATTTTCTCCACTCTCTTTACAACAACGTAGTCCGGTGGGATGGCCCCTACACCGCAAACCTGTGCAGTCTCAGGTCGTCTTGGTTATCACTAGTACTACAACGTACGTACGTAATAGTTGCTTGGATTTGCCATGATATGACATTTACTTCAATAATTTGTGCACCATGCTCTTTGGATTCATTGAAAAGAATAAAGAAAGCAAACAGGAGTGGTGGGCCCAACAGATTGGGTTTGGAAGGAGTTTGATGGGGCGGAGGGTTGAAGGGGATGGACAGGTGTCGCATCCTGAGAGTAGCCTATGTTTGAGGGCTTATTCTTTGTGCTTCCTTTGCGGGGTGCAAAAGTGTCACTTACCAGTCAGACTAGCTAGGTATACAATAGGTATGTGTCGAAATTTTACTGCGCATTGAGGCTTGAGGATTATAAATATATATATATTTTTTTGAATTTTGGTTTTTGTGGTTCTTTCTATATATATTTCAGATGAAGCTGTTTGGATAGTCAGTTTGAATTCTGATTACAAGATATCTTTCCATCTCGAGTTCCTTCTTTTCCTCACCAGTTCACTTCCAATCATATATTATTTCTAAATATCTCTCTCACACCAGCTATCAACATTTCTTCTTGTTGCAGTGGCAGTGGCAGTGGCAGTGGCAGTGGAAGTTACATCAATTGCATCGACAATGCCAAGTCTTTCGAGTACTAGCAATCAACTTTTCCTTCTCTTTCTTTTTGTCATCTGTCCAAATCTTATACTATATTTGCTTGATGATTTTTTTTAAAAAATTTCCTTTTATGTTCTCTACTATAAAATAAATGTGGTTTTGTTCATGCCATGAAAATGCAGATATTAAAGCCAAGGTTTCCGCCATGAAGATGATGAATTCGCACCGGATCAAGTCTTGCTCAAGAGTTCTCTGGCGCCCCATTTGTTTTCTCCTCATTCTGGTACTTTTTCTTCAACATATTTTTCTAGCTTGTAGAAGCAAACTTCTCTCCTCATCCCACTTCTCTGTTGTGTATATTTGGCAGGGACTTTCATGCTTTATGATCTCAGTGTTGTTTAAGATGACGATTGAAATTGAACGACGTATGCTCTTGGAATCAAAACAAGCACTCAAAAAATTATTATCAGGCATTGACACCACTGCAAAGTTGCTAAGTCCATTAAATCCATCAGCAGTAAATCTGGCAAGATCTCTCAGTTCCTCACTTAATGGAACTGAGCTTAATTTCGCTACCATCCAAACAAGGGTTAGTGTATATTCTCAGACAGTTTAGCTGTGTTTAATTAGTAATTTTTGCTAAATAAAACATTCTCGTAATCTACGAACTGGTTTCGTGTTTTGTTGTCCAGGTTGCACCAACGTTGTTTCTAGCACTTTCAATGATCCCACATATCTCACAGGTTTCTTATATTGGATTAGATGGCCTTTTATTCTCACTTTACAACCATGAGGATCAAACTTTTGCAGTATTCTCCAACGCTTCATTTTCTTCAAATTGGTACACTCAACCAGTAAATAGGGACACTGGGAAGTTATATGGCGCAGCAGTTGCTTCAGATTCTTTGGTCACAGTAAATTCCACTTGGTTCCAACAAGCCTTGAATAGCACAAGTGGTTATTCTTGGCTGGGAAGAGGATGGGACAAGGCTCAACATAGCATGTTTTTAAGTACTGTGCCTATGGATGGCAGAGGGGTGATTTCCTTCGGTATTCCAGCAAAAGTTGTCGTCGATCATTTCACGGCTCTAGACTTCCATGGGGGTTACTTTCACTTGGCTACATCAAATGGGGATGTGATTGTGCAAACAAAGCTCCCAAAAACCCAATTTGAAATAAGCAACAACACGGTTTCGGTCCAAATGGTGAGGCCAAATAGTAATGCCACTGGTGATCTTGGTAAATTCTCATGTAATCATGATGATGATGACAAGTTGGAACCATATATTCAGTCATGGAAAATGAAGCGTATCAAGTACATGACTTATTGCTCCACCCTCGAGATCATCGGAGTTAAATCGGTATGTGAAACCATAGTTTTTGCACCAATTTAGTTTGATCTAACTTGCCTTACAAGTTAACTGCCGTTGTATCACTTCCCTTGATTTATATACATATATATGTTTCTTTTTTCTTCTTTTCTACAGGTATATGTATTGACTTGTCCCGCCAATG